CAACCGTTTCGGATAATAAAAAAAAATATGATTTTGATGTGTCAGTGCCCCTTTAAGGGAACAAGGCGTAAATGATACAGGAGCATGATCACACTAAAGGACACGCGACCAACCTCACACTGCTTGCACTGGCGTGAGCAGTGGCGCAGACAGGGGATAGTTTGGGGGGTTTCATGTCAAAACCACCCCCCCCCTCTCCCCCCCCCCCCCCCCCCCCGGGGACCGTAGTGCTTGCATATTGACAAGTTTGAAAGAAACGTACGCACTAGCAGAGCGTGTGCACCTTGCTCCTTGAAAATGCGCGTACTGTCCACCTCGTCCACTTGACTTGCTAAGTACATCCTCGGACTCACTGCGTTCGACCGTATTATTAAAAAATAAATAAATAGTGTATTTTCATTGCGCGCCATTCGCTCTGTCATGCCCTGCACAAAAACAGTTAAAATCACCCAAAAAATAAAAAAAGTCGGTGAGTTTGAACGTACTTTTCGATGCGCTCAAAAATTAGGAGGAGGACGTCTAGGACGACTTCTAGGACGACCTCGAGAACGACGCCTAGAGATGATAACAAGGGATCAGGACCTCGCCATCTAATAATGCCAAGGAAGGCTGACTCACGCTGGTTGCTCCCTCTTTTTTTTTTTTTGATTTTTATTAATTCATACTTGCCACGACCAATGGGGAGTTTTCTGTCAACATCCGCGGATGCATCCGACGTCCGAGGAGCGTCTAAAACGGTTAGGTTGTGTTTACGTTCGACGCAAAGTGGCGGACTTCATGACCACACCACCCTAAGGTCACTTTACACCAGCCCCCAAAACAGTTTTGCCCGTGACGTCACGTCTCCCGGGATGCATCGCGCTCTGCGATGGATGATCTCCGAGCGCTCGTTGGAAATAGCTAAGATCGGTCCTTTGGAACGAAATATATAGCCATCCGGTGGCGTAAGCAGAGGGGTGGTTTGGGGGATCAACCCCCCCCCCCCCCCCCCCCCTTTTTCTCCAAAACATTTTTATAGCAAAGCTGTTTATGGCTCTCCGAGCGCTCGTTGGAAATAGCTAAGATCGGTCCTTTGGAACGAAAAATATAGCCATCCGGTGGCGTAAGCAGAGGGGTGGTTTGGGGGATCAACCCCCCCCCCCCCCCCTTTTCTCCAAAACATTTTTATAGCAAAGCTGTTTATGGCTCTCCGAGCGCTCGTTGGAAATAGCTAAGATCGGTCCTTTGGAACGAAAAATATAGCCATCCGGTGGCGTAAGCAGAGGGGTGGTTTGGGGGATCAACCCCCCCCCCCCCCCCCCCCCTTTTCTCCAAAACATTTTTATAGCAAAGCTGTTTATGGCTAGGGTTTCGTGAATTTTTCATGTGCGTCAACAAAAACTCAGGTCCCGAAATTCGCGCGACCGGGTGACGCGCGACACGCGCCACCCGGTCGCGCGTGTCTAGTTCCCTCAGGCTCATGATTCCACGCGAATGGTTATAAATGGAATCGCTCATGATTCCATGCGAATGTATATAAAAAGCCAGAAAGACAAGTTGCCGTTCTCCATTTTCAATTTCACTTCTCTCGTCGTGATGGGGAGACCGCGTATAGTCCGGACTCCCGAAGAGTAACGCGCCTACGAAGAGCAACGGCGGGGACGGCAACGAGAATGTCAGCGGCGGCGACGGCGGGCGTCAAACACCACCGATGAAGATCGTGCACTGAACGCTCAGCGCATGAAGCAAACCAGATAAGACGACGAATGTCGCGAATGTCGCGATGACCACCGATCAAGACATTAGAGAGTTTTAGTAGATCGTTCCCATGACTCCGATAACGATATCCCGATACCCCGCCACCGCCTCCCTTGCGCATGCATAGTATCGTTATCGGGGCTATCGGAGGTATCGGAACGATCTACTAAAACTCTCTAATAAATGTGTTCGTACCTTTGTTCAAAATTCTGTGTCACATCTGAGTCGTGTGCTAAACATTTTCGCTGGTCATCTAAATCACAGAATGGAATGGCTCATGATTTTTTTTTTTTTTTTTATGTAAAGGAAGACAATATGTGCGTGACTACCGAACCAGCCATGTACGTCGATTACTACGCGGGAAAATGAGACAAAGTCTCCCCCCCCCCCCGAAAATAATTCCTGGCTACGCCACTGTAGCCATCCGTTCAAAGTACAAGTGCAACTGAAATTTTTTTTTTTTTTAAAGCGATATTAAAGGAATACGTCAACGAAATTCGAAATATACCCTTCGTGTTCAGAAATAGGCTGAATATGATCCACAATATCCATAATTGACAATCGCACGTTTGCATTTCGAGCCCGATGGCTGTATTTTTCATTATAAACGGCCCGCTCTGGCAAACGATCGGAGAGCAGCCAGCGGAGAGCACGTGACATCCACCTCAATCGTGACGTAGATTGTCTCGGAACGAGCATAGCTGCGGCGAGGCTGACGTCGAGAGGATGGCCTAGCCGTTCCAGCCACCGAAGTGACCGAAGCACGCCAGCGATCGGGCAACCACAACTAACCCCAAAGCTGCTTTTGTACTAATTTTGAAGTGACGGGTTAATCTTATATAATCTTGTAGAGGGACAATAGCGACGTCTGGGAAACACAAAAGGAAGTCTCGGGGAGAGGGGAGGTCAAGGTTTTTAGACGGGCATTACAAACGGGGCGTTAGCGACATCCACCAAATGCTGTTTGTTAGTCGCTTAATTGGCTTTAAAATTCGTTTTCGCGTCTTTTTCTACAAGAGATTGGTGCGTCTCATGTGATAATGCTTCCTTGAACACAAATAAAAAAAAAAAAAAAAAATAGGCGCCGAAATTTTGTTGTAGTATTTCGTTAAAACGATAGTTTTACGGGCGACACTTTGCAGAGGTTTCGACCTCGTCTCCTGTCGTCGCCAATGACTCCGGTTTGAAACACTTGTTTGCAAACATTACTCGCATTATGCGAAATCCAAATTTGGCAGTATCCATGTTGCTACGCGTCATGTTGGATGGTTTTAGAAACTTACACCGCGCTTACCTACTTAACGGATCACCTCGAGCACCGGGCACAAATATATATTTCGCTCACAGTGCGCGAATAAACGAAATCGATAGCTGCAGCACGGTCGCGCAATGCGGACAAGCACATGTAGTGGGCCGCAAAGGGCCTCTAGGACATATACAATGTTTTTTTTTTCTTTTTTTTTTTGTCTTTTTTTTTTTTGAAGGTTTAGAGAAAGTTATACATGTAAAACTTAACAATTTTTGTGAAAAAGAAAAAAAGAAAAGCGATACTGACTGATTCTCAGTATGACTTCCGAAAAGGACGCTCCACTGAACTAGCCCTTCTCCAGCAAAAAGAAATGATCCTAAACAATATTGAAAACGAACTTCTAACATTGGGGATTCTGAAGCGATATTAAAGTTATAGCTTTACGGGCGACACTTTGCAGACATTTCGACATCGTCTCTTGTCGTTGCCACTACAGAAAAACCCTGCTCTCCACTTTTGCCGCGAGACCAGGGAAATCGGGTTTTCCCGTTGGCCGCGCAGCGCGGGGATGGGAAGCGACGAAGGGAGAATCATCGTGTCGTCTGCTTGAAGGACTTGTTTTCAAACATTACTCGAGCAATGCGAAATCCCATTTAGCAGTATCTAGTTGCTACGCGTAATGTTGGATGATTTTAGAATCTTCCACCGCGCTTGCCCACTTACTTCACGGATCACTGGTGGCAGTCGTGAGTGGCATCCACGACGTCAACCACGACGGCTATGAGAATGAAACACGTCACTTCCGTCCTCATGGTACGTAACGGCACCATTCCACCCGCATGCGCGACCGTGCTACAACTATCGTTTTCCTTTCTTCGCACTAAGCGAAAATTACTACTTTTTTTTTTAAAGTTTTTGACAGCCTGTTTATTTTTATGCAAATACGCGATGCACCTGTCATGAGCTGCTCTGCTGCCATTTGCTTCCAAGGGTGGCACGTGGCACGGACTTCGTCCCGTGAATTGGCGCGTGTTTGTCGCCACTTGTAAGAGAAACACGAACAGATCAACGTGTATTTCTGGCTCGAGTGCTCGTTTCGCGAAAGGGTCTTACAAAGCTGTGTTCTCGTAAAGCCCCTTCATGTTCTAAAAGTAGCGCAAGGTGTGTCGATGCACGAGGCACGTGCAACGTGCAGCCCTTGGGAAGATCATGGCGGCACAGCGCAGCACTGAGCTAGATTTCAGACGCCATGCTCTTCCCAGAAGTGGCGCGTGGCAAGTGTCTCGAGCATTTCCCCAACAATTAATGGCGCCACTTTTCCCAGGATAGAGGGGCTTTACGTTCTCGTGCGTACAGTCCAAGGAGGTTTGGTGTAATCTTCGTTGTCATGAAAGCCAACGAGCGGGAAGAAGGGCATTTGGTCACCGCCATGTCTCCAATCGTGTGAGCATGTAAGCAAACACGTGCTATTATACGTTTTTCAAAGTTACTTTCACGCGCATGCTCCACATCCTTGCATGCATGGGGAGCCAGCCCTTTTAAAGTTCAAAGTCAAAGCTTTGAGAAATAATGGCAACGAAAGTTTCGATTATAGGACGCATACGTTGTTCTTCAACGACATAAGAAAGAAGCTTTTTTTTTTTAAGTTGAATTTTAGCTTTTTTCTCGTTATCTGTTTTCATTATGAGTCGCATTATCATCGTTATTTTCAATTTGGGCAGTGCGAGGATTCATGGACGCTTTCGCTTTTTGCCACCTATACAAAAGACAGACCGAGCATACGCATAAAGCTAATCACGTATTCATTACACGGGAAACGAAACACGTCACGGCAGTCGCTTATTTGTTTTCAGATTAGTCTTGAGCCACGCTGGCCACTCTGCGATTGCTGCGATTGTACTGTAATTGCTGTAAATCTGCCGAACCGGTTAACCCCACAAAGAGCAGGGCACAGCCAACGCAGCCAACCTAAACGCACATAGTTGACCGTGCTCTCCTCTCCCATCTCCGCACGCATGCGCTCGGGACGGTTGTTGGCAGTTCGCAACTTCGCATCGGGATCTCCTATCGTTATGGGTGTCTGGGCCATAGGCCTAGGAAATCTCCATCTCCACGCCCCAGACACCAAAATCATCACCGAGTGAACGACCCAGGAAACTCCGCCGCACCGAGCGCGACCCAGATCACAAAGATGGAGACCGAATCGCCGATGCAGGAGACAGTCTACGGGACGGGCAACGAGGAGACGCACGACGTGATGTCCGAGAAAGTCCAGACCCTGGCTGGGAACATCTACCAGGAGTTCCAGCGAATGATCGAGAAGTACGACGAAGATGTCGTGAAAGACCTGATGCCGCTCGTGGTGAACGTACTCGAGAGCCTAGACCTGGCGTGCATGGAAAACCAGGAGCATGAGGTCGAGCTGGAACTACTCCGGGAGGACAACGAACAGTTGGTGACTCAATACGAGCGCGAAAAACAGCTGAGGAAAGCGTCCGAACAGGTAAGTCAGTGCATTCATCCGTCTAAAATGAATCGCCCGTTTGTTTGCCACTTTGCGGACGCTGGCTTTTGTGCTGCGAGGGCATTTATCGACTGATGTCGTTCAACCGTGGACATCTTTGGAGAGCATCGCGGGGCAGCAAGCGTTACAATATGCTAGCTTTCCTTTCTTCTCTTTAAAGAATACTGGAACATAGATTGACCATTATGTAAGCTAGAATTTAGGTAGCAACAATGAAGTCCTGTTAAATATAGCGACCGCGTTGTTCACGGTATTCGGAGCGTGTTATGCGATGCCCGTCTGAGTTTCTAGGTCGAGCTTTCACGCTTTTGCGACGTCAGGGCCAACTTATGCCAGCATCCGCTCTCGCGACTCGGCTTACATTGAGAAATCGGGTGACTGCTGTGCGTCAATAAAGGATTGGCAAAAGAACATATCCTGTTGAACGCTTTTTTATTTTATTTTTTTAATGTATGTGGCTCATGTGGTTCCTTCTTCTACAGTTTTACGCCGTCCTAGCACTTCGGGATGCTGAATCTTATCACGGAAGTGAAGAGATCGCGTCTGATATGTTTGCGTAAGGAATTTTTGAGTGGTAGTGCTGTAGCTTGGCGGCAGTGTTCCTGAGAGTTCAAGCAGAAGAGCAGCTTAACGTTGGATAACTTTTTGTTTTCTTCTGGATAGTTTCGATCAGCTGTGATTCGAACTCTCCGATATCTCAGCTGTTCCTGACCTACTTTTCTTTAGCAATCCTCAGGCCGTAAATTATAAATAATAATAAAAAAAAAGAATAGTCGCAAGTTCACCACTTTCTTGACTGCATTTTGACAATCGAGTAATGAAATCATCCGTTCCCTTTTTGCGGAAGCGTGCGTTGGTTTCGTTTGTGGCGTCAAACTGACAGGATTAAACACTTTGGCCGTGTAGCCGTGGCTTTCAAACGGCTACGTGCTTTTGAATGAACTTTTGCCTCTGTGCGTACGCGCACAAAAAAAAAAAAAAAAAAAAAGACGAATGTAAACATAGTTGCTTCGCGCGCGTACGTGCAAGGTCGTTGCTGCCTACACGTCTTTTGCTAGGGTGTTTCTTGAAGCGTGGGACTGCCTCGCCATCGACGCTAACAGGATTGTATTGTCGGTCCTGCATTCAATGCCATTCTATTTTTTTCTGGAGTGCTGTCACCCTTGCTTTATTTTGCATCTGTGTGCAGTGGGGCTCTTGATTTTTGTGTGCATCCATTGGCTGGTGGGTATATTCAGACTTCATTTGTTAGCGTATTTCCAGTATGAAGCTTCGTTCGGCAGCGTTTCTACGAGGGATAGACCTTTGTCAAATGTTCTTAGCTGGTTTCTCAGAAAATATAGTTTTGAGGTGTGTGTTCAATGGCATATAAGATCAGAGCTGCTTCATCGAAAGGCATGAGTAAGCATTACAAGAATCCCTCGTCGCTGATTCCCAAAGGAATTAACTGGTGTTACAATCATCTTTTGTGCTAATCACCTAAAAAAATTCACTTACTAATTTTACTAATCACTTGAAAGACAGAAAAGGCAAAGCTGCACTAAAGTCATTCTTATACCTGTCACTTACAACTGAGTACTCAAATTGCCATGAAAAGAAATTCAGCTCTCTTTTGAAAGAAGTGGCTCAGTTGTCATTTGACTGCCATTATTTCTTAAAATGTTTCTTCGCAGAAACTTTTAGAAGTCGAATACACGGTCGACGATGACCGTCGAGACCTCGAAGGCAAGGTTGAGGGCCTTGAATCCGTCATTCGGATGCTGGAGCTCAAATCTAAGAACACTTCGGATCACGGTAAGCCTCGCACGGAAAGAATCACTTGGTGTGATGGGAGCGTCCACAGTGGAGTGGGACCCTTTCTCACTGAACCATGTTTTTCTTCCTGGATGCGAATGAATGTCTCCAGCAAACAGGCTAGAAGAAAAAGAATCGGAAATGAAGAAAGAATTCTCTAAGCTACACGAACGATACACTGAGGTAAGTGCAAACATTACTTTCGTCGTCTTTTGCTTACGTGCCCTTTGAAGTGTGTGCCTGTAGTTTTGTAATTTTCTACTCTTCTTTTTTTAGTTGTTCAAAACACACATGGACTACATCGAAAGGACAAAGATACTGTTTGGCTCCGATCGAATGGAGATGACGGGTTCCAAGGGAAAGTAAGCAACACTTAATCCACGTCAGCATTCAAACTTTTTTTTTTTTTTTTTTGAGTCTTGAATATGGTATTCTCCTTATGTAATGCCTCCCTCAAGAGGCCCTTAAGGTAATACAAATGAAATGAAATGAAATAGGAAGCGGGTGCGGCGAAAGCCGTATATTGTAACATTCCAAAAGATGCTCCCTCCTACCTAGAGTGTAAATCAAATACAATGAAAAAAGATAGTCTCTTTATTTATTTGTAGCCTACAGAGAAAACAAAGAAGGCGAAAATCCCACCTCCCTTTTTCGCATAATTTTATAAATTATATCTCCCGGTCTGTAAGTCACACAGTTGTACAAGTCGCACCACCCTATAAACAACCGTTTTCACAAGAAAGTTAGTATAAAAGTGACACGTTAGGATAATTGTCATGCTCATGTATTGGCACAGTCGGCGCGGAAGCTGGTAACCCCGCACACATGCATTGTGGTTGCAATATGTAGGAGGGGGAGCCACTTTTAATATCCTTGCCAATTAATCGATTAGGAAATATGAACACTACACAGATTTGTGTAATTTAAATTCCTATATAAAAAAAAAATATATATATATTCACAAGAGTCACACTGCTGCGTAAGAAGCACCAACAAAAATTTTGGGAAAAGCAAATGCGAGTTACGCGAAGCGCAAGTTGGTCCGCTCCTTTTGCAGGGGCTGTGGTGACGTCGGAACGCCGAGATTTGATTGGCTCTAATTAAAGGATGGTGGGTAGGCCTCAAGGCAAGCTGCCTCGAGGTCTACCCACTATCCTTCCAATCGGAGCCAATCGGAGCTCGGGGTTCCGACGGCAGTGCAACCCCTGCTCAAGAAGCGGACGAACTTACCCTCCACATATACCGGAGAATACGGTTTAATGCGCGTCACAAGCTAGAATATAGATGCGCGTCTTCGTCCTAGACTTGCCGTGTTTCTCGACCGCCCCTTCGTTGCCCCGATGAACGTTCGTGCTCTCTTATCTCCTTTCCTCTCTCCTTCCCGCATTTGGCCGAGCAGCAGGCTGGGGCTCCACTTTGCCCCGAGCAAGTCGCCCGGAGGTCCGTCGTCGCTAGCGCTGTCGGGCGAAACGACGCCGGCCAGGAGTGTCGCGAGCCTACCCGACTACCCCGACCTGATCTCTCCCACCAAGAGTCCCGACGCCAGCACCAACCTCAAGAGCGAGATACAGGTGACCGGAGCCTCCGAACAAGCTACGCTTCGGGCTAACGACACTTTGGCCATCTTACTGCCTGACCCTTTGACGGCCAAGTTTCCTTCCCTAAAGACGTTTTCCAGTGCTTGGGGATTTGTTTCCAAGAGAATAGCAGAAAGACACGATCGATGTGCAGGTTGATGCTTTTATTAATCCAGCGGGAGCACGTACGGTGCTTGCAAGCTGTTCAGGTTTAAAAGCATCGAAGAGATGTATCGAAGGCAAAAGTTGTCACCTCTCCTCTGTTCAGTCCGCTTCCGCGACGTTCCGGCAGCTTGGAGATCCAAACTGGAGATACTTTTACGGAGTTTCCCCGCCGGACAGTTAGCTCTCATTTTCTGAATTCAATTCCGAGTAGCGTTAAAAGTCGGTCTGGGCAATTGATAGATTAACCTCCCGATTATTCAATTATTGACTCGATAGCAATAGATTTTTTTAACCGGTTTATCAATAAAATTTTTGACAAACCAAAAAAGTAAAAATTAAACGTTTTTCCTATGCAGACGTAGACGGGTACGCCTGTGGAAGTGTAAACTCTAGGTGAAATTTTAACCTAAAGTAAAATGTAGGGGCGAGATTTGTAACTCCAGACAAGCGCAGAAGGTTACGCGTGTCCTGGCCACCTCAACGCCGCGCGAGCGTCCATTAATAGCGCAGCAGAGACAATTGCGAGCAGTTGAAGGAGGTCGCTGTTGCCGGAGAATATCAATGACCCTTTTTGCCTCGTGCAGCTGAAGTAATAATTTGTGAGGGCCTTTGAACTGTTCTCAACTACGCATCAAGGTTGATTTATGATCAGAATTGTATATTGCGCCGTTTAAAGTGAGAAAGATATAATTTTGACTTTTTATAAAAAAAGTGCGTAGAAATGAATAACGTTAATTAATAAATTAAGAGGTGGTGATTAATCAGATTACAACTCTTAATCGACACCGAGCCCTAGTTTAAAGTCTGAATCGGAAGAGCCAGCACTCCAATCGCCACTACAGCCAGAGCGGCCAACATGTGCGCTGTACCTCACGTGCGCGGAGCCTATGATTTCAATACTATAAATAACCTCAGCAAAGTGAAACATTCTGCAAATATAACCTTTAGAGATTGCGTATGTGAACACCAGCAAGGCTATGCTAAAACTGTCTAATGTCAGCTACATGGGAAAGCCACTTTTCCTAGGAGGTCAGGAAGATTTAGTTTTTTAACAGTTCAGACTTTATACATTTGTTTCGTTTTGCTTGCAGAGGTGCCGTTTGTCAGGAATAAAGTTGAATTTCCTACCCTTTAGAATATTCTGAAACTTTTTGGGTTTTCAGTTTCTAGAAATCATTTTACTCTGACAGGAAGTTCTTTTTGATTTTCTGGTTGAGAAGGGCCACACACAGATCTGGGTTAGGTGCGGTAAGTATGACAGACAGTGGCTTTCTTATCGAGGTAAAAATATCCTCGCGAGACAAGGTCTTCTCTGCCGATGAAGTGCTGAACATTATCTTTTCTCGCTGTGCGTGGAAACAGGATAATAGATATTTTCTTCGTTTATAGTTTAACCCTTCGGAATCCAAGCTGCACAATAGTTATGCAGAAAAACGCATGCTAAATTTTGTTTTCCCAAAATCGTCTTGATTAGCAGTCGGGAGATTGCGTTTTGAGTGTCTTTTCTCCCTGCCGACATCAATAAGTAATAAAAGACTATGTTTATTGTGCGACTTCGTCGTATCTTGCTACTCACTGGCGCGACAACTGAGAAATTTGTCGCCCTTTGCGGCTAACCTGTCAGTAGATTGACAGAATTCAATTGAACTCAATCAACACATTTCTTTTTTTGTCTCAGGAAGTTAAAGTGGGAGTGGCATCAGCAACAACTGTGGCACCACAACCAGCGACGGAGCAACCTTCTAAAGTTGGCCAAGTACAGAGTAAGCTGCTCTCATTCTTGTCACTTTTACTTTATTTGCCATCACTTAATCACCCAGAGGACAATACTTTATGCATTGCCCAGTTGTTGGTAGTTGAACAATGCACTTGCCATTATTTATTGACTGCCACCTGACTACTCGTTTCACTGACCGTTTGGTTCCAAGGCAGTATCAACATTGCCTCATTGTAGTCATTTGGGGAAGAAACATGCATGTTACTCATGTATCCACTCTTAAAGTGCAGTGTTCTGCATTTATTGCTGAGTGTGTCCTATTTCAGACTGAATCTTGTGAAATGCTTTAACATAGAGGAGATTTTTATTATTGATATCGGTCAGCTGAAGGTAGGATAAAATGCTATATTCTTTTGTGATTATCTCAAGATGACAGAAGGTACACCATTATTTGTTCTGAAACTGCTAGCTGGCTTATTGCATTAGAGCTTGAATCTTGAAGGGGAGCTAACGTGAATTTTGAGACCATCTTTTATGGCACAAACTCAATCTACATGCCATAAGCATCCTTTAAAATCCAAGATCACAATCACGCTTGACATTTTTTGCACTTAAAAACGTTGGAGTGCACCGCGACACAGCCCTTTTTCTGAGATATCTCAAAGTCCATCTTAGTGCCCCTTCAACTGTGCTACAAGCTTTAGTTTGGTTGAACTAGTTGGCACATATTGGTGGAGGGTGAGCTTGAACTTACAGAAACTAACAAAGGACGGACAGAACTGTACAAAACAGCTAACTGACAGATTCGCTTTAGTACATCGATCTTTGTAACTAACGGTTATCTTATGTACGTGTGAATGACATATGATGAAGAAGACGATTTTGCAAACAAAGAGCAAAGTTGTTAGTCAGTCGTTTTGTCCTGTTCTCTCCTTTCTTTGTTTGTTTCTGTAAGTTCAAGCTGACATTTCACCACTTAACTGTGCTTACCTTTTCTGCTACTGAGTTTTAAAGTCATGTCTCATTTAATTCTTGTCCTATTGACACAAATACCCTGCTATGTGGACAATATTTTTTGGAGACGAACTGGGTAAATACGCACATTTTTGTCTCATTATTACGAGCAACTTGCGTTATGGACGCTTTTTGGGGGAAATGAAGGTGTCCATATTAACGAGACATCACTGTACTCAGCTACGGAACGACTCAACTTGGCTTGTTTCTGGCTTGGCTCAGAGAGCGGATGGGTGGATGGATTCAGCACAGACATGTCTATGTCCGAGACGACGTCGCTGACCCCCGAGGTCGAAGACATTGAGGAGATTGCTATGGACAGCGAAGTGGGCATCGACAAGACAACAGTTCACAGGTTCGTTTGCGGAGCTCTCTTTATCTCGCCAGGTCGGCCTGTCGTCCTTCGTTGTCATTCTCGTATCTGTCTGTGTTTTGTTCCCGCTCTTCAAATGGTGTAGAAGCCTGATAATTGAGGAGTTTGCTTCAAGAAGTAGGTTTTCGAAAATTAGTTTTTTCATTATTTATTCTATGTTAGCCCGATATCCAAGAGGCCTGTTTGTGAGGAGGGGAGGTTTCGATTTTACGGAAACCGAGACGGACAGTGGTCATGATTATTATCGAAAAAATGTGCACCAAAGGCATGTTTGCAACTGCTATATTTCTCAAATTTTGCACAGTGGAGGTGGGTTTTGGGAATATTTCATGGGCACAAAATTGCGCCGTTGGGAGTGGTGTGCTATCTGTGTATTCATTGCCATTGGTTATTATATTCGCATAACTTAGTTTTTGCCATTCTTTTTTCTTAAATATCAAAATTCACAAAAATTGGGTTCTAGCAAAAATCAAGTAATTTAAAATTATGTAGAGTAAAAAATTGGACTTTGTTACTACGACCCCAATTAATCATGCTGTTGAATTTACGACATGGAAATAATTATGAACGTACATTAAGACCCAAGAACCCAGGGATCCTGGGTTCAATCCCCACCCCTGCCTGTCTTGACCTGGGTGAGCATTGAGTGGTTGTGTAACTGTGTGATGCACATAAAACAGCTCAGGCTTGCACTGGTACTACACTGACTAAATTTCCAATCTACAGCTGAGACACTGGATGCCCATTGTTACTTACTAAATTCCAGCTGTATAAACATACACACTACACAATCCTTAGATAAGAAGCTGGCAGTTGTTCATCCTGAAAATCTATCCTGAGATTGAAGAACACATGAAAACAAAGTTTGTGTCTTGCCTTGTTTCGGCAGAGAGCAACGAAGGCCAAACACTCTCTACCAGGAGTTGAGTTTCCACGACGAAAATTTGGGCGAGGGTGAAGACGGTTCTGACGTCACAGGTATGCCCCCGTCGTGTTCTGTTACTCTTTCCTTTTTTGTTTACATATTTCAGCCTCCGAAAAAGTAGAGGTCAAAGTAGGCGATGCTGGACATCTTAACCCATGACGTTTGCTAGGAGACTGAGCCTTGTTCAGGGGGCGTAGTCAGTGTTTTAGAGTTTAGAGAAAGCGACGATCATTACTTACAAGCAACAATCGTTCCCTGGAAGTAACACTTGTTACCTTGGGGTGTTTAATCTCTCGGGTTTGAGGGGATCAATTAAATTTAACCTGCTCACACTCTCAGGTGTGCTTGCTGTCTATGTTAAAAGGCGTGCATCTCGATCGAATTGATTTAACTACTAAACTAAGTAATTTTTTTTTAATTTTGCGCGATATAGTTACGTTGCTTTTCAATTGTCGATGGCGTGGTTTTTAACTGAAATGCTTGACTAGGGTTGGGACGTGTCTAGCAACTAGCTTGGTTTACTGTGTCAGAGTTGCAAATTATGCTCCTTGTGGCGTTTCCTTAAATGCTGCTCAAAGGAAACTATGTTCATCCTGGAGAATATGCTTCTTCAGGTCAGTTGTTCAATTGGGAGCAATTTATTGGTGGTCTATGCATCATGTTTTATGTGGCTTTGGGCTGTTTCATGCAACTGCAACGCATGAGAGAGAATGCGCTGTTTTTATGCTTTTACGTATCTTTATTTACCTTAAGTCACTCTTTACTGCTGCTGTTCGAAATACTATATGAAATACGTGGGGCAACGAAGCCTAAATGAAGCAGTGGTGAGGGTGCATGCTAGCTGGTGTAATCTGAGCATAGTTGTAAACCCGAGATGGGATAGGGACCAGGGAGGGGAGAACACAGAACGGATGAAGTCTCGTTGCTTGACGCAGTGTAAGCACTGTGAAACTGAAATTTGGTTGTGTGATCGAGAGCTTTGTGTGGTGCAAATTAGGTAATCCTCATGTCAGGTGCCCTTCATTGGTTGGCACATAAACCAGAAAAATTACATCTAGCTTCCATAAATTAACTTTAAGGGTAGGGAACTCTAATTCAGATGTTACCATTTATATTTGTTACTGAAGCAGCAAGGCAAAGCAATTTTCGATAGTGTGATTCCCAGCTTGAAATGCTAATGTTAATAAAGAGCCAAAGTAAATTTATGTGCTAGTTAATAGGATCAAATGCAGTAAAGCAAGGTTTGAACATGAGCACTTGTACCAGCAGGGTTATTCAATTTCAGTTCCAGTATGAACATTGAGTTTATGATAGTGTTTGCAAAAACTTCTTTTTTTGTCTCAGAGTAGCTAAAAGTTTCGTTTTAAAGGGTGACTTAAATTAGCCTGAAATGTTTCGTTCTGAACATTGACACTTTCCGCCGGCCTTTAGAAACATTTCTTGAACGTTTCATTGCTTGTTTCATTCACTGATACGGCTGCATGAACGGCTTGGCTTGCTTGTTTCTTTTCCTCTTTTTTTTCTTTTTCTTTCTTGTTTCCTCAGAGAGCGACAGTGAGAATGAGGCCGATAATCATGCTGGCAAAAACGGTAGGCCTCTGTGGCATTTTTGAGTTCATTGCTCGAGTTGTGTCGTCGTTACTTTGTTACCGTCTTTTGTCAGTGTCGTTCGTTTGTCGTTCTTGTGCGTTGGTTGTTCTGCTACCCTAGTGTTATTATTACTAATTAATTTAATGTGAGATTTGGTGATTCAAGTTAACTGAACATAACTCATAGCACACATAATTTATGAACTGTGTATCAACCTGTTTTTAACGCTTGGAAACTGTTGAGCATGCTCTTGCAGAAACGAGACTTTTAGGGTATATATAGAAGAAGGGTGACATAAAATGTTCAGGGATTTAGCTCTGACTTCATAAAAACTTGTTATTCATTCTATTTCTCATCATAAACTCCCTCGTTACAATTTCAAGGCGAGAATGAGGGAGAAGAGTATTTACTAGTTCCACATTTTGAGTAAAGTTCAGTCCTTGTCTTTAAAGGAAAAAATGCGTAGAAAGTTTTCTTGAAGCATTTCATGACATTTGCATTTACCGTGGGATCTGTATATTGTCTCAGAGCGAGGTAGTCATATAGATGCATAGAATTTATCTTAGATTTTGGTAACATTCGTGTTCTTTACAAGGTATTTTTATTTTGAGCAGGTAGGTTGACATAAGAGAATGTATGCGTACACGTAACTTGGCAGCATACATATTACATTGGTTAAGGCTTGGAGTTGTAAATTACCGCACTTATTGCGAATTAACATTCCTTTTATAAAATTTTGTTTTGTCGAAGGGTTTGAAAGAAGCTTTTCGTTTGAATCGGGAGGCTGGGGACAGGTAGTTAATGCTGAGATGTGTTTGCTAAATTAGTATTCAGTCAAGTCTTGTTACAATGTCAGTCAGTGAAGTAACAACAAATAACAAACTTCTTCCCTCTGTTTTACACGTCGTTACTCACAGTTACTGACAACATTTTCGGTAAGCATGACCAGTCTTTTTTGACGGCTTTACTAACGGTCGTGAGGCTTTCTGGTGTGTGCTAATTATCAGCATGCCTTTTAATTGAATGGCGTTCTTCTAACAAGACGGGCTTCTCGAGAAAAAACACAGTTGCAAAGAAGCTTTGAAAATAGCCCTCTAGAAATTTATTTTACAAATGACAATTGGTAACCATCTTAATTTAATTAGTTAATTTTGAGACAATTCTGCTTATGTCGCCTGTTTGGTTTCAGGATGATTTGACAGATTTATTTCAAATATTTTCTCAACGTGCTTGGCATAAGCAAAGCTGATTGCTTTGCATAGAATATTTATTTATTTTATTCTAGCTGATATGTATCTATATATTTTTCTTTGTTGGGACCAGAAATATATTTTGCTTTTGAGTGGCAACAAAACATATGTTGTCATTTGAATTCATATATGTAACAAACACCTGTTTTGCAAAATTTGTTTATCGCATGACCAGTTGGGGAAGTTGCATAATAGTTCAGTAAGACAATTTAAAAATTTCATGGCTTGTAAAACCGGTTTTTGTTGTGAAAGATGGGCAACTGTAAGTATAGGTTCCACCGAATTGAATTGGTGAAAGTGCTCAGGCAAGCATGCGCCTCATGACGAGCATTGCCTAGCTGTACGCAATGCTTCGAGGCTTTCCTACGTAACTCCTCTAGCACAAAAAAATCAACAGCCTTTTTCTATTTAGCTTGGGCTTTCTGCTTTGCTCTCCTTGGCTTATTTCGCTTTGCCATCCAAATATTGTCACATTTCCTCTAAACATGGCTGACCGAAGTGATAATTACAATTTGCACGTTGCATTGCAGGCATGGGCAAAGAAGTGGAGAACATTATCATGGAGAACATCGAACTGCTTGCCACAAAGTAAGCTTCTCTTAAATCATGTTTTTGTCATCATCTGCTTGGTGGCAAGGCTGGCATGCACGGTTTATGGCATAGGAGTTTTTGTAGAGGGATGTCGATAGCTACGCTCTAACGAAGGCGCCTGCACAGTGTACTTCTCTTCGAAGCACACGTCGAGCAATCGTTCCATACACACGGAAGGATCATACCAAATGATGGAACTTTCGTAAACTTTTCTGGTGCAAAAATGTGATCCGCCCTGTGAAGGCACTGAACATTATGTTTCTTGTGTGTACAGCTCTACAACTTCTTAATGATATCCCGTCTCACTGTGGTGATATGAGCAAGAATAAGTGTGTGCGTGCAAAAATGTTTTGTGTGAGTGTCATCTTCTAGGCTCTTCTGCTATTTGCACACAACCCCTGCTCTGTATCTGTTGGTAGAGCTAACCGCCGCTGGAGCAGTGTGCAGCCAGCAGCAGAGCCTAGCGGACGACGCTCGCATGAACGTTCTTTGTGTCCACACGCCTATTCTCGCTCATATCACAACATTGCTCCTTCATACGGCGCTGACTAACCCACTGATAAAAGCTCCCGTGATACTATTAAAAAAGTGGAGAGCTGTACACGTCTCACAGAAAACAATGTTTCAAGGCAAAAGAATACTCTTTATTTTTATCATTTATACTAGTCTCCTTTCTTCAAATGCAGCGATCGGTTTGAAGTATGCTCTGCGGGATTACTTGTTGGAGCATAGCTACGGTCGTTTTCACCTCAAGAACTACAATGTGCAACAGCTTGCAAAAAAAAAAAAAAATTAATTGCCTTTTAATGATGAGTGCGCTACCCACGAGTCAGTGAATTTAATACTACTCGTCGGTTTTCCTGTTAAATAGTGTGTCTACGTGCAGAAGGGACGCTTCTGTTATGGGGGTACCCCGAGCTGGCGGGCAGTATTTGTCGTGAGAGAAGTTTTAAATGCGTGGGAGTTACAGATCCTCTGTTACCTCACGGTCTTACGTGAGCACATGACACCATAATATCAGTGTCATGTGATGGAATAATGTCACATGACATCATGTGATCATCAGGGGAGCGTGTGGCACATGACCTTACATCAAATGACCATGTGATGCGACATCACGGTGAATCTTTATAAAACACCGACGATGCCACACTGATGCCACGACGTTCACCATCGAGGCTGCGTGCCACGGACACACAGGCCCTGAGAGCTATCCCCAAAAATGCTGCGCACGTAAAAGTAAGCGCGAAAGTGCACAAATTGGAAGGAATGGGACGGTGTGGCCCTTGTTTCCCCGAGGTGGAAGCGACCAATTGCAGCAGCCTACAGGACGCCGTCTTCCGGACCGACTAACCATTCCCCTTTTTGACCTTTCCCCCTCACGCTTGCTGACCTTGGGGTGAAGCCTGCCTCATTTTTAACACCACCTAATTGTTTCTGCTTCTAGGAATGCGCTAAACATTGTTAAAGATGACCTAATCGCCAGGGTTGACCTCCTCACCAGGTGAGTAGCCTCCTCCTCCCCTGGTCTCATTGGTGGCTTGCCTCCCGCGTGCCACTGTCGCCTGCATGCGTGGGGAATTCATGGGCACTGGCCTTCGGCGCTTCATCCACTGTCGCATCGCAGAAACTTCCTCCATTTCTTCCGCAAGCGGACGGGACTTGTACCAACCACAAGTCTACATAGGGATTGGTGCTGCAGCGGCACTACCTACTGTAAAATATTGAGCATGTGCTCATGTCGCAATAAGCATCTCCGCACCTACTTTTGAAACATTTGAAGTTGTAGGTTAAGGACATATCAAGTGTCTGCCCCAACAAACTTCTGAGCTAACGAGGTGCTCCTCCTTCATGTCAGCTGCTTCTCCAAGAAGCTGGTGCATTACTGTAAAGCTTTATGCACATGCGTTTATGCGAAGCGATGAAGCTTGATGCGCATGCTTCGTTGCAAAGTGGCAAAGCTTGACGCAAGAGCACCGCCGCGAAACATGCCTGACGAGGGCGGCGCGGGTGTTTTGTAGATAAGCGATTCCACCAGACCCTTTTACTGCTCACGTACCCTTCTGTTGGATCAAACAAGGGCATATCCTATTATGTGCGCCTTCTGCGTTTCTTCTCTCAAGCCCCGTTCCTATTTTTTCGTGATTATCTCAGACTTCTGAGTGAGCACTTGCTTCATATTTTACCGTAGCATCTTTCGGGCAATCCCGCTTTTGCTCGAAAAGGTTGTGCCTAGAAGCGGATTCTCTTTTTGCAAAATACAAATTTGGACGGTACGGCATCGATCATTCCGTTCCTTAACCTTTTTTCCGGGGTCACAAGAGGAAAGGCCCTGCTACACTATGTTTGACCGTTGGTCTACGCTACAATGTGTTTTGCACCACCGCACTTTGTGGGCTGTTGGAAAGTTGTGTTTATGGCTAGGAATATGCATGGTTTTGGGTTGCATGTTGCAGTGCCTAAAGTGTGCCAATACCCATCATCTGACGCATAGTCTGTAAGGGATCCTAAATGGGTTACATAGTAAATAAGTTTCTGCGTGCTGTAGTAACTGGCAAGGTGAGGATGGCAGGAAGACGCTCCGGTTGTCCCGCCTCCTGTGCAAGCTTTCTGCCTTTGACAATGCTTCAACGTCTCGTGCACCTCGAGCTTGTGTATGCAGCCGAAGCATGGCAGGAAGCATGGAGCGCGTGCTGGGGGCCAGTCGTTTGAAGGACACGCCCTGCCATGCTCTCTCTCTATCAATGACTGCCGTAAAATATTGAGCGCCTGCCCATTCCACAATGAGCACCCATCCCCCAGTTTTACGTGATTATCTTCAAATTTTTAGTGGGCGCTTGCTCGGGGTCTTACGGTATACACGTTGCATAATTTTCACAAACTTCATTATATTTCTGGGTCATACTCCCGTCTGAGTAAACAAATCAAGCATAAACTATTTTTTGTTTTTTTCTTCGTTGAATGTTTAGTTGAGCTGCGGTACCGTCGCGGAGGTTTTACAAAAAAATGTTGACTCTCATGCGGACTCCCTTGTGACAGATTGTTGAATCCTCTCACTTAGAAGGCTGGCTCGCACATTGGCGTTTTGAGTGTGACCTAATCTTTTACGACCACTCATGACGAAATGATGCCATCTGTCAAGGCGCATTGGCCTACTTCCGTTCTGAGCGTATTTCCTAATTTTATTACGTATCATTTTTAATCATGAGCTTGAAATAATTTCTTGACCGTTATAAATTGGTGACCATTTCTCGTATTTTGTGTATAGATTAGATGCTGCAGGCGCTGCCACACCTTTTTTTAGTTTAGGACCTGAGTGTTCAAGTGCTGTTTGTGAACCGGCACCACTTCATTTCAACTCTGCACAACTTGTCGCTGCGGAGTGCAAAGTGTTGTAGCGCGGTCGGTTGCACTGCGGCGCAAATGTGTGAACCGGCCCTGATTCTTGTACTACCGTCGTAACCGTCGCATCTGGAGTTTGTGTCCTTCCAAAAGGCACGTGTGCGGGAAGCTGAGGTGTCCGTGAGGCTATCCTCCTCTCTTCGTTTCTCGCTGCGCAGTGAGAAGGAGATTCTACAGGGGGAGCTGAAGGCGCTGGAGCACATCAGGGACGCCCAAAAGCAGAAGATCCACGAGATGGAGGAGGAGATGAAGAAGGTCAGGGAGGAGCTGGAGAAGATGAAGGCTGCCAAGTCGGATGATGAGGTAACGGTCCGACGTGTGTCGGCCCAACGCATTTCGGCTTAACACGTTTCGACCCAGCATGTCTGGGCATGACGCATTTTGGCCTGATAGGTTTCAGCCTGTTGCATTTCGGCTCGACGTGTCTCAGCCCAGCGTGCTTCAGAGCAACACGTTTTGGCCCAACGCGTTGCAGCTCTATGTGTTTTGGCTCGGCGTGTTTCAGATTGACGCGTTTCAGGCCGATGCGTTTCAGCCCGACATGTTTTGACACAATGCGTTCCGGTCCGACGCAAAATGGGTTAGCGCGTTTCGGCCCAGCATGTCTTGGCACAACACGTTTTGGCCTGATAGGTTTCAGCTTGATGCATTTTAGCTCGACGTGTCTCAGCCCGGCGTGCTTCAGAGCAATACGTTTCGGCCCAACCCGTTTCGACCTGATGCATTTCAGCTCTATGTGTTTCGACTTGGCGTGTTTCAGATTGACGCATTTCAGGCCTGTGCGTTTCAGCCCGACATGTTTTGACACGACGCGTTCCGGCTCGACGCGTTACGACTTGGCACGTTTCGGCACGCTGACTGCTCTCCTTCATGTAATATGCTGCAACTTTTTTCTCTAGATATACATTCTGAAGTTGGTAAGCATTTGGAAGTATTTGAAATTATGTATTGGTAACTTATTATTGGTCAAGGAAGATCACATGCACATTTGACTGTATTCCTGTCCTGCAATGACCTGAAAGTATGTTCTGCTTCCAAAAATTAGCAGCTCTATATCAATGAATCGATCAAACCGTCATTGCTGGTTTGCGTATTATGAGAAATGCATCAGACGTTGCTGTGGCACGCGTCACTCTCAACGTGACGCCCCGAAATTCCAGTTTGCTTCCACAGGAATGTGATTTGGCAATAAAACTACCACAGTATAGATTGGGCAGCATTTGACGATGTGGCAGATACTTTGTTATTGAAGGGCAAAAAGTAAGCGAGTTGATTTATGCCATTCACCCAAGGTTCAGGCGCCTGGCCACTGTTGAGGTTCGTCTTTTTGCTTGACGAAAACGCCATTCTCTGTTGTCATCATACGTTTCAAGTCGAGTTTGAACTAAATCATTTTTTTCTTCTGCAAACTCGTTTACATAGCTCTCATCTTGCATTTGTTTTTCGCCTTCCAGCAGGAAGACGTTCCGATGGCCCAGCGCAAGCGGTTCACCCGCGTCGAGATGGCTCGTGTACTGATGGAGCGTAACCAGTACAAGGAGCGCTACATGGAGCTGCAGGAGGCGATCCGGTGGACTGGCATGATCAAGGCATCGCGGACCGACCCCACCATGGATTCCAAGAAGAACCGTTCCTCCATCTGGAAAATGTGAGCTTTTGGAAAAAGGTTTTCTCTTTTGGCTCTGCCAGTGATTCTGCACTCTTGACTTGCCCCGCTTCCTTTCTGTTCTGTTTCTTTCTTCCATCGCATTGGGGCACCTTATGTTAACTTCTTGTGCAAGCCTGCCAAGAACAGAGCAATGAACCAGTCTAGTTCGGTGGATCTAGTTCGCTTAAAATCTGGAAACTTAATTAAAAATGTAAAGTGTTCGCGAAAAAAAAAAAAAGTATGGTGTTTTTTAATGGCAAAATTAAACTTGTCGCCGAATGCCCAGTCTCTATCCAAATGTCGCGCTAGCGGTCCATACCAGATCCCAGAGTTTCGGAGCTTACTGTTATCTGATTCGAAAGTTACGAGCATTTTTCCGGAACTTTCGCTGAGAAAATGACAGCTGGCTAAGTTCACAAATCCATGGGGGTGAATGACGTCGGCTACCAAAAACAGGCCTCAGTTTCCCATTGAAAATTGAGAAAATTGCTTATAGCTTTAGAACGAGATAACGGCAAGCTCCAAAACATTGGCATCTTGTTTGTGCCAGTAGCACTACCTTTGGGCAGCGGCTGGGCGTTCATTGCTGCATAGTTCATTTTTGCAGTGAAGGAAAATAAAAATTTTTGCAAACTGTTTGTAACAGGTATGTTGTTTGGGTAATTTGCAGACTGCCTAGATGTTGCTGGGGTGTTACAAGCTAGCTCAAGTGTTTCTAGATTAGTCCGGGTGTTCTACTTGTTTAAGAATGAATTACAACAACAAAAAAAGTTATGTATTCAAACTTGCATGGTATGCCTAATGAGCAGTATGTTTGTCAGCAGCAGGCGTGTTTATGGCATGCTTCTGCTACAGTGTTTTTTAAGCACATATTGTTAGCATAGGGTTGGGGGAAAAGAAAACATTGCAGGGAGTCCCATGCTTTTATTCCAACGAGTCTTGGCATCTAGATTTTGTTTTTCTCTCCTTTCTCACGCATTCGCACACTTGAAGCACAAAGTGAGTACTGCCTAGCGTAAATCAAAATAAAATAGCTAAGGACACCAATATTGAGGAAGCATGCTTTCCTGGTTATGTGTTTTGTGTTTTTCTGCACCGCTATCGCCTACCAGCTTTGGAATTTTGTGGTTTTTGCATGCCTCACTACCAATTACTTGTTTGCTGACCGATTTAATTGTGCCTCAGAAAACAAAAAACTGAACAGTATTTTGTAAATTTGGAAAAGGCATTTGTTACAGGTTTAAAATGAAATTTTAGTGTTTGCATGACTATGTGCAACCTATGCATTATTTATGACGTCATCTATATTTCTTATGAATCGCTTGCTTGAAACTGTTCCCAACCTTAGCGTAGGCTTTTGCAGTGTTCTAAGGATCAGTCTATTGTAATCTAGCTAATGAGTCACTGTTGCAAAATGCCCGTTCTGCATATCACTAACAGTGCAGTTAGGCAAAAGTTGTGTTTTCCAACTGACGGTTTGTGGCAATTGTTGCACAGTAAACGTTTGAACCTAGTACACTTATTGGCTACTCTTTAGGAGTTAATGGTGGCTGCAACAAACTTGGTTTTTTGAAGGCTTAGACGTGCAAGCTGCGTTTCATTTTCTTGTTGTGGACAACGGCGTAGCTCAGTGCAAGTCTGCAGTTCGGGGATATTTTGTTCGGCGCAGTGACATTAAGCAGTTTCAATGTAGTTTATGTCAGAGAAACATCACAGTCATGTTTCTGACTCTCAGTTCATTCAAATGTCACAGTCACATTTCTGACTCTTTAGTTCATTCATAAAAATTGCAGTCACCATTCTGAATCATTTAATTTGTGCCACAGTCCCATTTTTAACTCTTAGTTTATTCATAAATGCTACAGTCACATTTCTGACTCTTAGTTTATTCATGTCACATTCACATTTCTGACTCTTAGTTCATTCATAAATATTGTGGGCATATTTCGGACTCCCATTTCATTCATTTTATCGGGATTGCACTATCGTCGTTATCACACCTCTAGAGCACAACTAACGCACAACCTGCCGTTTCTCCAGCTTCAGCAACCTGTTCAGCACGGCAGACAAGCCGCAGCAGAAGCCCATCTCTACAGTCAATGTGCGTTACAGCGCCCCCTCAACAAGGCTTAGCCCGGCCCTAGAATCCATGCGCAAGAAAAGGCTCGGGGAAAAGCACCGGGGGTTTGACTTCCTGGACAGCGACCTGTGAGTTCCGGGGCTGCACCGTCTTGTCTCGGCTTGGATTTTCCGCGGCTCTTTGATGGATCTTAAGATGCCTGGCTTAGTATGACTCGGTCGACTGCACGTTTATGTGGAGAGCAAGTCATCTGCTTCTTGTGCAGGGGTTGCGGTGACGTCGGAACAACGTCGAGATCTGATTGGCTTTGATTGGAAGGATAGTGGGTAGACCTCAATGCTAGATGCCACTATTTGTTTCAATCAGCCAATGAAAGCTTGACGTTGTGGCATCATCGCAACCCCTGTGCAAGTAGCAGATGAACTTGCGCTCCGCATAGGCTGCTTCATTTTACAACTTTTGCTAAAGTAATAAGTTCAGCTAGGGTTGTGTCCTAATCTTTTACTTGCGTGTCCTTCCTTTTGTTGCTTCATTCTCTCGCTTCGTTTACTCTTATGCAATGTTTTTTTTATTAACGAAGCCAGCATGCCAGCTTCTTTCTGTAGCGGGAGGAGTGCCAAAAGTGGTTAGGGAACCAGTGAATGTGGGTGTGCTGTCGCGTTAGCATCTAAGATCTGGGGTTCCAGGCAGGTCACTGCTGTATTTAGGGGTAGGTTACTGCTCTTGCTCTTCGACACTATCGTTTCACCTCATCGTTCCACTACACATCGTTGCTGGAACCCGTTGGAAGAAGACGTCCTCGCCCTTTCGGGTGCACGTTCCTTGCAGCGCGTCGGAGCGACTACAAGCCCAACGGGCCCGCGAGCGCCGCGAGCAGTACAAGCAGGTGCGGGCGCACGTGCGCAAAGACGACGGGAGGGTCCAGGCCTACGGCTGGAGTCTTCCAACCAAGACCACCCCCGTGAAGCTGGACCTGCCTCCCAGCGGCAGCGGCGGTGGCAGTCAGCTTGGGGTGGGCCCACGAGGGGCGCCTTCGCACGTGCCTGTTCCAGTCCCCGTCTTCTGCAGGCCACTTCAGGACAGCCGGTCACCCATGAAGGTGAGGCGCATTCAACTTCGCTATGCTCTCCCGACCTCGCTATGCTCACCCGACTTCGAGTTGGGTAGAAGCATAATTTAGGGACTGTTGGCGACTCCGGCGAAATTGACGACACCTAGTGGCTGGAACTGAAAACTGTGGCGGCAGGTTCGCTCGCCGGTCTTTGTGAGCAAATCGGATATAAAGACGAAGCCGAAAAAAGAAAATTAAAAATCACCACTCGTCCACACTTAGTGTTCATTCCTAAAATGTTATCTGAATGAAACTGCCTTCCCGCATCTTTAGTGTCTATATCATCAGTCGATTCATTTAAAATTGCGATAACCATTCATTTTTGTTAGTCCTTGACCGCCCATGTTTTTACTGCATTTTTGTACTAGACTTGTTGATGTCTCATATTTGTTTTGGTTTTTTCCCCTCCCCTTCATAATGCCTTCAGGTCCTCGAGGGTACCGAAATGAATAAATAAACAACATAAATAAATGGGCCGCAAAAGCAAAATTCCGCTAGAAATGTTTTTTTTTTTTTTTTTTTTCTTTAGATAATCTACAACCGGTGCATAGTCTATACCTATTCTGCACATAAAAAAATTATCTGACCCATCGCACCTCGAAACAAATGCTCTTTAGTATTAGTATACAGAGAAGCTTGTGTGATCAGAAATAATCATTAATATATTGATATAAAAATAGCGCAAAAACAACGGGACAAAAAACAAAGAAGTACACAGGACAAGCGCTAACTGGCAGTACGCCTTGTTGATTTGGCGGTATGCCGTGTTTTTGTTTAGACGAGATTGCGTGCGTGCACGGCAATAGCAAAGTTGGAAGCATTCAATAAACTTTAGTTGCCAGTTAGAGCTTGTCTTGTGTGCTTCATTTTTTGTCCCGTCTTTTTTGCACTATTTTTAATAGGAATGTCAATTACCAACTTGCCCAGCCGACCAAGCTTTTACAATCAGTAATATGAAACCTGTAATTCACAAAATCCGTCACGTCACAACGAACGAGCTCGAAAAAGGAACCAAATGGTTGCGTAGCCTGCACCTGTAGACAGTCTGCACAGCGTAAAATTTTAACTTTTAAACATGCATAGTTAGCTGACTACTGTCCAGAAAATATGGCACGTTGCGTTGTTCTCCACCCGCTTCTGACCCGGGCTCTGCGGGGGATCTCAGGTGTGGTGTGCGGCCGGGGTGAACCTGACGGGGGGCCGGACCAGGGACGGAGGCACCATTGTGGGGGCCAGCATCTTCTACAAGGAGCAGGGTCCCGATCCCAACCTGCCGTCTCCCTCCAACGACATCGACCGGCTCGACCGCGAGCTCAAGGTGAGGGGACGCTCTGCCACCCAGGGTTTGGAGAACGCTTCTGTTGGGTGCCTCAAACGCGCCTCCCCCTGGCGTGTCAGCGTCCTAGCCCACCGGTACGGCCAGAGTGGTCTTAAAGTCGCAACAAACGATGCGGTAGAGCGATGCAGAAGCTTACGTGCACTTTAAACAATAATGTAGGTTAGTGGAAGTGTTTGGCCCATAGTTACGCACCAATGGGTGGCTCAAATCTGCTAAAGAGCCAGAACGGCCAAGGGGCCAGGATGGGACAATACGGCTAAGAGGCCGGAACGGCCATGAAGATTTTGAAGTTCAAGGAACCCACGAGGGTACTTTGGGGAAGCCCTGGGTTCCTAGGAGCCCAGTTTGAGAACAGGATTGAAAGATTAAGGTGGGCTAACTGGATACGCATTGTGACAAAAAGCACGAAGGACAGACGGGGACAAGAACATGGAGATGAGATACCAGCGCTAACTCACAACTGGCGTTTCAGCGCACTTACGAGAGAAGAGATGGAAGGAGTGGGAGTAGCGCTATTCCAGTCTCGGTCTTGAAACAGCACGACTAGCCTCGGGACGATGTGAGAGACTGGACAAAACGAATGCCGACTATCAACCGCCTGATAGCCGGCATTCGTTTTGTTTGTTCTCACTTCGTCAGTGTCTGGTTGTGCGGTTTCAAGATGAATACATACCAACTTTCCAAATGATTAATTCTGTCAAGTCCAGTCTTTCTGTTCCTGTCCTTGCCTGTCCTTCGTGCTGTTTATTGATCATAATCCAGTTTGACAAAGTTTAAGAATCCCTGGTTCAGAGAATACGGTAACTGGGGCGTTTGCATGGCGTTGCTGCGACGCTAATCACTTTGCAGGAGCAAGAGGCCCATCGTAGGGAACAAGAGGAGATGGCCCAGCACCTCTCTTCCCTGGTCTGGATCTGCACCTCGACGCACACGAGCAGCGAGGTGTCCGTGGTGGATGCCAACAATCCGGCGGACATCCTCGACTCCTTCCACGTCTGCCCGTCCCACCTGCTCTGTATCGCCTCCGTACCAGGCAAGTCCTTCCGAGCCAGTTTGTAGAATAAAAGGTTTGGTGGTTTCGAGGAAAGCCTGGCCCCTATTTTAGTACTGCTCCGTGAACATGATTTCATCGAGCAGGGGTGACACGTTTAATATCTTCCCCAGAAGAATAAGATGACAGTGTCTCGGAGCCTTTCGTTGATTAAAAGATCTCCCGTGTAAGAAACAAGTTGTAGTAAAAATATATTCAGGTGACTATCGCAGGAGCTTCAAAACTTTGGTCATAACAGCCAGTTGAAATTCTCTCAAAAACTGTAAACCGCCTCATTTTTGTGCGAACCTTGATTTTCGCGAATCGCACAACCCGAAAATGATTGCGAAAAACTTGTCATGCGAGTGTAGTATCACCCCAGGCTACCGATTTAATAGAGCATACTGCTTTCATCGGGAAATTTTGTGCTCGCATAATATTCCCGAAAGCTGCATTTCACAAAATTAGCTAAGTGTCGAGCCTGTAAAAACAAGGTGTTTACAGTTACAGTATCTCTGCAGAAAATTATGTATATCGCCTACTGAGGCGTGCCTTCCATCGCCGCAACACATGACCACTGCTGACTACGAGCTGAACGTTGATGCAGGTGCGAAAGAGACGGACTATCCGGTTGATGAAGAGTTCAGCAGGCTCGGGACGGGCGAAGAGGTCACGCAGAAGCCCAAGCAACCCCCCGCCCAGCGGGAGAAATCGTCCTCGAAGGACGCGGACGCTCAGTCAAGCGATGCCAAAGACCAGGACGCAAACCTCGGGGTCGGAAAGCTCACCTTTGTCAAGTGCGCCGTAGGGAGCGGACCCTCATCACCTCCAGACGAGCGTGAGCCGTTTTCTCGTTTTTCCCCTTGCATGTGCCACTTCTTTTGCTCCGGTGCTTTCATTACCTCAGCAGAGGGAGAACATAAATGTACTGGGTTGTCTGTCTCTTTTTTGTGCTTTAGTTGTTTTGTTTTTTTAATGTGAAACATTCTTTGGCTAGGTGTTCGGTAGTTCGTGAAGCCCAGATGAAAGCGTGGCTGCGAGGCTCGACACTGATTGGTTGACGGGTGGGAGAGGAGTGAGATGCTCGACGCTGATTGGTTAACACGATCACCTGTGCACACTGAGGGAAAGGAGCTAGAAAGTATGGAAGGCTCTGGACGATCGCTAGCTTTATCAGCCCGATTAGCAGTAGTATCGCTCCATTCTAGGAGCAACTATCAAATGTGCACATGGTGCGTGTTAAACTATCTGATGAAGAGCGCCGTGAACGTAGGCGTTTGGCATCTGGAAACTCGTAGTACCACTAAACGTTGGCGATGCTAGAACATTTCATGTGTGCGAGACAATTGCCTAGCAATTTACCATAAAGTTTACACTTTTTTTGTTAACGCATGTTCTGCGAAGAGCTCAGCCCACTTGTAACGACCCCACTTCACTCCAACCACTATTATAGCAATTGTGTGCAGAGATGGCATCGAAATTCGGGGAAGTCTCGCGTTGTATAAATTATAAATGTTGGTCTAGTCTCGTTAAACTGTTTATGTAATAGAAAAAGCTTGCTAAGCTTTTGAAGTTTGTCATAGATCAGTTGCATTGTATTGTTTAGAACATTGGGGTTCCATTCTAACCGTCTATTTAATGAAACTCCAGAATTTTGTTTTATGCTCTTTTTGAACCTCCAGAAGTGGAATTATAGTTTAGAGGCCCGTTTTCGAGTGGTGACATAAGGAGAAGACTTTTCTCGCTTCAGGAGGCGAAGGCCCGGCTGCTGCGATTGCGGAAGCGGTTGAAGGTGAGGAGAATGGATTCTGTCATGCTGTCTCTGTGGGGCTAGTCTGAAATACCTCTGTTTGATGTCGCCAGGGTGTCCCTTAACAGTCACCGGGCTCAGGCATTGCATGAAATGCTGTGAGAGTGCAACAGCACTTGATGTGGTTTTTTATTGGAATTTGGTGTTGTGTGGCCTGAGGTCACATTACGTGGTCATGATGTGTCATTGTTTACCTGCAGTCTCGGAGTTTTTGTTACGTTCAATTTACACCAGCTTGTGAATTGTGACCAAGTGAGCTTGGTCACAATTCACAAGCTCACTTGGTCACAATTTTTATTTTTAGTTTAGCTTGCTTGAAAGTGGAAACCATCGAGTGACATGCTGGGTTACTGTGGCATTTATTTTTGCAAAATGAAGGAGATAAAATGGAAGCCAATTTGATTTTCTTTGTCTTTTATTTGTCTCTCTGTCATAATAAGTGTTACAATGGCCCACAAAACAATGCTATTAGATGATTTTGCAAAAAAAGACTTAGTAGCTGAACATTCATTCACAATAAAAAAAAAAAAAAAAGTTTTTTTGTTTGTTTATTTGTGTGGCATTATAGTTTCATCATTTCGAACAACAACTGCACCATTCACGGGCACCTCCACAGTGAATCCTAGCGCAATACATTAGGGGACTGGTCTGTGTGGTCCCGTCAAAGTGGCAACTCAACATATAGCCCACCCTGTGAGCCGAGTTCCGTGTAGCCAATCACTTTCTGTAACCGTTGGCAGCCATTGAAGAGCTGGAGGGCAATGGTGCCAACGAGGGAGGCCCAGCGCGGGAAAAGAAGGAGCCGATTCGGAGGCCGTGGGTGCTGCTCAAAGAAGGGGCACCGCCAGACATTGTCAAGGACGGCATCTCGGAGTTGCCAACCGACAACCATCTAGCCTACGACCAGCTGGAGAAGATGTCCAGCGTGTTGCCAACCATGTGGCTGGGATCACAGAACGGAACGTCAGTGTCTTCTCTTCGCTATTCTCATTAGTACCTTCGAAATGAAGCATGGTCGCAGCACAGCCCTGTTAGTGCAAACAAAAGATAGCTGGATTTTTATCATTTTCTCCTAAAATTTAATGGCTGCCATAAAAGCTACTAGTGTGATGGAAAGCCCTCACTCAGGGCAGTAACCTAAGCAGTAAAGTTCAGTGCCCCTCAATACTCTGTTCGAGTAAAACACAAAAAATGTGTCGATGTCGTGTTTGCACTAACAGTGTTGGGCAGTGTACTTGGGGAATAGGGGGTTGAATGTCCGTGTGCAAGAACGAGGACGAGTAAACTCTGCACGTTGATTGGCTGCAGTGGACAGGAAACGGTGTTTGGAAAAGATGCTCATGAAAATGACAAATTATGTACTGTGATATGTCACAGCAGAACACAATACAGTGATAGCCAGATAAGTGTTGATTTCCAGTTGTTACATCTGATCCCTGACGTCTGGCAGTAAGCATGTTTTATTTTTGTGAATCGAGTGTGTTTGACATACCTACAACCTTTAAAGGGGTACAGAAACAAAACTTTTGCACTTATTTCTTTGTTTAGAAGTGGTCTAGTATATGTGCTGGCAGCCTAGAAACACTAGCCTAGACTAGTGTTTCTGGGCTGCCGGCAGGAAAGTCAAGAAAACTAATCTTAAAACATGTTAACAGATTTCAAAATTGCGTCTCGTGGCGGTCTGTGAAGCTCCGTTGGAAGGCTGTCGCATCATGAGTTCCTTAGGAGCAGCACCACTTTGCGACATTATGGGTCGCTCGTGGAGCTACTTAGTCCTGAATGTGACATAGCAGAGAACGCTAACGTGTTTACTGCGTTGTATAGGGAGTATTCACTGGACGGCATATTTGTGGGCGCTGTTTAGAGCGCATGCTCAGAACGAGCTCACATCAATAGGCTGCTAAGACCGGCACTCTTGATGGTGCGGAATGCACGTTGCAAAAGAACTGTGGAAACTCTCCGTCAGCACGCGCTCAGCAATCGCGCACACAGCTATGGCCGCCAGTGAACACTCCCTATAGTGCTTCTGCAACGTGCATTCCACACCATCAAGATCGCCGTTCTTTGCAGACGTTAGGTAGGGGCTTGATCTGAGGATGCGGGTACCTCTGCCAAACCAATCATAGCACTCCCCCCCCCCCCCCCGTAGCGCTCTCAAATATGGCTCCCACAGCTTGCGGGTGTCACAATTGCTGGGTACTAAAGGTCATTTCTACATAGTGGACCCCTCGAGCTACTGCTGCGGTCTGAAACCAACACGTTGAACCAAACGCTCGTGGCACATAAAATACCGGCATGGCCGCAAACGACATTACAGGCAAGCTAGGGCGCACAGTCTTCGGATTTTACTGCTAGGCGAGATTGTCACGCATTAACGCCACCAAGCGGCAACACTCGCAACTACAATACCCTTGGCAGTGCAGGAACTATTGACGTCACGAGTGCGATATGGATTGCGCTTTTCGCTGGCCGACTTTAAAGCAAGAGGTAGAGAGCTCGCGGTCACGTCATTTCGTTTCCCTACCCCTTTGAAGTGTGTGAGTATTGGTTAACATAAAATTTTTCTTGTTATGGCATATTTATTTTGATTCCTGAGATATCGTAAATTTCATAATCTATACAATTCGTGAAAATTGGGAGCTTGCAAGAAACAGAGGTTTTTACGATATATCTTTTATGAACTGTAATGTTAGTATTAGTATTTGGCATTGTTTGTCACTTGAGGGTATTTTTATTTGCATGCTTTCTTTTTTGCAGGATCTACATGCATTCTTCGGTGGCCCAGTGGAGAGTGTGCATCGACTTTGTGACGCTCTGTGACTCAGTCCTCAGTATAGTGTGAGTGGTCTAAGCACTAACAACTCTTGTTCACAAACAGCAAAAGAAACAATTGGGACTTGTGGAACTACAGTAGAAGAAAGAAAAGCAAGTTTTAAAAATGAAGGGTCGTATTTCTTGAGGTAGTTGCGCCCTGAATGGTGATTTCTTTTAATTATTCTTTTCACACTTGCCACACAATACTGGCAGTCCAGTTTTGTTGAATAGTTCCAACAAGTATCGCTGTTTATTGATACATCGAAGCCTGTTAGGCCCGCTTCAGACTGGGCGATTTCGCCCAGCAACTTGACGTAGCAACTCCAGCAACACGGGCCGCCCGCGTTCACACGCAGCAACCGAATTGCTCCGACTTGCTATCATCATCATGAAATTTCAGTTTTCTTACACTATTTAGACGCACAGCTACGCACTAAAAAGGTGTTTTTATGTCTTTGAATGGTTGTGAGAATACTAACTCATCTTTCTGAAAAGGTTTATTTCCAAAAACAATCCATTTCAAACCAGAACCAAGTTTATAGCTGTCATCATCACCACCACAGGGGTGTCACGTGAAAATATTGCGTCCCTGATTGGCTGCAGCCATTTCAAACGTCTTTGAATTGCTCCGAGTTGCTCGCTCGTTCGAGCCAGACCCGATCTCAGCAATTCATGTCGATCTAGGGAAAGCTAGGGAACAACCCGCCAGCAACCCCGAAATTGCTGGAAAAGTTGCCCCGTCTGAAGCGGGCCTTAGATATTATATTTTGCAAAATAAGCTGGGGCGGCTATTGGGCTTCATTGTTCATAAAGATTTAAAAAAATAGCTGTCGATGAAAAAAAGAAAGTCACGGTGGTTGACTAAGCGACTTAGCAAAGAACTGCATCACAAAGAGTATATTTTATTAAAGCTTTAAGATTTTTGTTCTGCAAATGGTGCATTGCTTTCTTTCAAAAGTGGGATGGAAATCTACTTAAACATTGCATTGAAAGTGTATTTCGACGGTTGATTTGTTGCAGCCACGTCAAGGGGCGCGTGTTTGCTGCTCTAGCTGATGGGACAGTCGCAATCTTTCATCGAAAACAAGGCAAGTCTAAATTAGTTGAATCACTTTTGCTCAGAATATATTGTATGATGAAACTGCAACTTTAATTAAGAACAAATTGTGTATGCCCTTTGGGACGCTTCTGAGGTATAGATAGACAAAATTAATTGGTGTTGAATGAAATGGTCGCTCAAGCGTTGAAAGCGTTGAATGTCCAGTATATTAAGGTGATAGGGAAATTAATGGGCAAGTTGGTACTCCAAACTTTGCATGTATGCTTTTTTTTTTTGTTTTTCTACGAAATAATTTGTGAAAAATTGCTTCAATACGTGGATGGGGAGGAAGTGGCCGAGTGGGCTAATGCGTCTCAGCTCGGAGCGTGAAGCGAAAGCTTGTGCTGGGAACCTCCTGGGTTTGATCCCCGTCGCCCCCGCCCGTTTTGATCTGGATAAGTTGCGTACCGGCACGCGTTCATGTGATCACTACTGCGTGATGCATGTTAAAAACCCTAGGTTAGCGGTTGTACTGCACTGGCTAATTTTCTCATTTACAGCTAAGAGACTGATTACCCGTTGAGGCGCATCTCCATCAGGGCTGTATAAACATAGAAAGCAAACCAATTTTTTTCAATACGTGGAAAGCACGCGACCTAGTTATCGTCCAGCTTGGAAAAATGCTCGTTTGCTTTTCGAGGTGGAAAAGTTTATGTTGCCACATATTTTTTATAATATATTGTATCCGCATTATTTAGGAACGGTTTAGGTGCTGAACCAAACTATACTTTGCTTCACAGTTCGACCGCAGCCAACGCTGCAATCGAACGGAGGAGGTCAAGCAGCGCCAAAAGTGCGTCGTCGCAGTGCTCGTCACCTTAGTGCATTTGCTATCACCTGCTAAACCAATCTGGCGCAGTGAATGCGGCGTGATCCCACACTTTTTCCCGCGTGACATTGGTTTAGCCGGTGATGGCAAACGCACAAAACCGACGAGCGCCGTGACAATGCACATGTGCTCGATGCCCCAAATCTGTGGCGCAAACCAAAGCTTCAACATTTAAGTTTTTTCATTGAGCCCGTTGCATGGCTGCCGTACAACTTGGTTGTGGATGTCACCATGTTCAGACGGCCAGTGGGACCTAAAGAATTACCATCTGCTGGACCTTGGAAAGCCACACCACTCGATCCGGTGCCTGACCGTGGCGCACACCAAGGTCTGGTGCGGGTACCGGAACCGGATTCACGTCGTGAACCCAAAGACCCTTACCGTTGAGGTCAGTAACCCTGTGAAAGTACCCCCTGTCCGGACTTTTTCTGCGTCTGTGGTCTCTACGAGCTTTATCATTTCTCAATTCGTCAAAGAGTGGCACTCATTTCTAAGACCTTTCAGAACCTCAGTATGTCCTGTATCTAATTAAGGCCCGTTCACACTCTTGCGACCTCTTAAACCTGGGTTCCTTAAAACTTGTTAAACCAGAAAACACACTGGCACCATCTATTGGGAAGCAGTGTAAACTCGGCGGTCCGGCATATTTTTTTTATTTCTCGAGAATTATCCTTTCTTTCTTGGCTCGAAAAACCTTTGACAATGTTATAAACGAGCCTTTCTATGGGTATTACGCACATTTGACCTCGAAAATCCCGCAAAACCTTCGCTCTTGTGAAATGCAGTTCCAGGGTCACCGCATAGATGGCGCCACAATGTCAGTATGTTCCCTCATTCTAAAAACATTTAAGAAGTTGTAAGAGATCTCGTCTCTCTCAGTCGTACTCGGTCGCAAGAGTGTGAACGGGCCTTTATGGTTTCGAATCAGACTAGTTATAGGTCTTTTTGGCTAGGGCTTGAAGACTGAAAGAACATTTTGAGGGGTGCAGATGGTCTTATTCTTTCGGGGGGCAACAGCATTCGTTTGACGCCCACCCCCGGAAGGAGAGCCAGATCCGCCAGATGGCGTGGGTGGGCGACGGCGTCTGGGTGACGATACGGCTGGACAGCACGCTACGGCTGTACAACGTCCACACCTACCAGCACCTCCAGGACATCGACATAGAGCCCTACGTCTCCAAGATGTTGGGTGAGTGCCGATCAAGTTGAACAGTCTTCTATGGGACTGCTAGACTAGGGGAATGCGCCAAATGGAGTACTATATATTCAATGTCAACTATTTTCTGTCGCATCCCAGAGCACTACTGGTTTTGACAGGGTTGAAATACTGGAAAAGCAACACTAGCCTTAACAATGCAGCTCAAAATACGTAGTTGACATTAAATATACTGGGCAAGAGATTACTTTGCATTCGATTTCAGTTGGAGTGCAATAATTGTAGTATTCAAATCTTTACAACCTGGAAGGAAGCTAGAAAAACATGCTATCTCTGCCACTTGCAGCTTTTTAGAAAATCTCATTGCCTCCTTTACTTTTTGCACCTTGTTATGTTGTCATAAGATGGCTTAGGCTGCAAACCGGCATGTTTTGGTACCCGGAGAATTAACTATAAGATATCCGGAGGAACTATTTTTGTCAGTAGTACAAATGTCATGGTTCTAGGCAGCTCTTCTCATTAAAATAAAATGTTAGAGAAGTTTTCTGGACCGTTTGGGACAACCCACGAAGCAGCGACTCGGTAGTGTATGGTCGACACTGAGGTAGATGAGAAAATGTTGCAAATCTCTTTTCAATGCATTTCAGGTGCCGGGAAGCTAGGTTTCTCATTTGTGCGCATCACGGCACTGCTCATCTCTTGCAACCGACTCTGGATGGGAACCGGGAATGGAGTCATCATCTCCGTGCCCCTCTCAGAAAGTGAGTCCTTTCATTTGGCCAGAATATTAAACATTCCCGAAATATTGGGCATCATTTAATGCCCAACCTAGCTTACATATCGTGTAAGTAATACTTATCTGGATTATTCAGTAAGAAAGAGCACTGAGCATGCTAGCCAGGAAAATTGCTATGAAGCCGCAGCTTAGTTGCAGCAGAAGTAAAGTATCGCTCGTTTAGGCTAAGTGTGCAATCTGTTGTTTCTCTGTCGACGCTTCGATCTCATAATTGTATTTTGAAGATATTTCTTGTAGCTCAATTTATACGCTCCGCAAGAGGCGAATTAGATCTTGCTCATGCTCTCGCGGTGACCAAAATGGGACTCCAGGGAAGGTTTGCGAGTCTTTTGGGTTTTGTGTCTCGTGCGTGTTACAGCAGGCAACAAGCAGACCATGGCGGCGTCTTCCGCTTCCACGAGCACCGGCGGCGTGGGTGGCGGCATCAAAATGCCCGGCGGCGTGGTGAGGGTGTACAGCGACAGCAGGGAGAACATCACCACTGGCAGCTTCGTGCCCTACTGCTCCATGGCGCAGGCGCAGCTCTCCTTTCACGGACACCGAGACGCCGTCAAGTTCTTTGTTGCCGTTCCTGGTGAGGGTTTTGCGCAAGGGGGACTTTGTGGGAATTTCGTACGCAGTTGTTGGTCGTGTCTCCTGCTCGTTTCGTGTTTTGTATCCAAAAGTGTGGAGTCTTTTTGGGAGGTGGTAGCTGCAGTTCGTATCGTAAACATATCAAAACGAAACGTATCCCACGAACTACAGCGGAGCTGTTAAGGGCTAGTTTCCCCAGTATCGTGTCCGTCAACAAACAAATGATAACGCTAAACTCTGGACAGCTACCGCCATCTATGAGTGATGGCGGCAACCTTTCGAGCGTTTCCACTCTGCCTTGCCCACTTGCAGCCGGCCATTATTTCATTCCCACCATAGTACAGCTTCGCTGGTCTTCCTTCTTCCCCAGAGTGGAAATGCTGAAAGTTTTTACTCTAATGTATTTTTTGCCATTATGCAGGGACTTCTCTTTTGGCTAAGGTTATTGGAGGCGTAGTAATTAGGTATCCCTGCGACAGTGTGAGCCCAAACACCAGATCCGGCCTTTATTTTTGCGTCTGCGATCCCAGCAAACTTTATTTTCTCTCAGTTTGTCGAACAGTTTCAAAGGTTGGGACCTCAACTTCGCTTTTCATTCCTAATTCGGACCACACCTCTCTCAGAAACTGGCAGGTGCGCCAAGGAAGCGTGAAAGACTGTTTCAGCTCATGTTCTCATCGATAGCACCTGTGATAGTAGCGCTATGCCTACCAGCACACACAGTTGGCACCATACGTGGGAGGCCTGGAACAGCACTCAATCTTTGGAGTGTCAATTGCAGGCACAGGTGGCATCATCTCTTCCGGCCTGAAGGGCAGCCCGGAAAAGAAGCCAGACGTCTCTCTGGGAGCAGACGGATCCGGACCCAAGTGCATGCTCGTCCTCTCGGGGGGCGAAGGCTACATCGACTTCCGGATCGGTGAGCTTGGGCTCCGTTGTCTGCGTTGTTGGAAGCCGCTGCCTGAGGAGGTGCTCGTAATGATTCACTGCATGACTATGAAGTGAAGGGACCTATGGGTAGGCCGTAGACTTTCCGGTTGGGACCGACAAACGTCGATAAACACCTGTCTTTGTCAAGAAGTAAAAAAACAAATCTTTTAACATTGATAAGCGTCTGTGTCAAAAATGCAAAATCGGTTCAAATTAAAAGACACCAACTTTAACAAATTTTTGCTACAGTTGGGCTATTTTTGTTGAAACCCTCCCCTCTTGAAGTGCCTACGGTAACTTTGCACTATTTTTTTTTTCACCGATAATCATCTTAGTTAGCGTTCGGTCAAGGAGGTCACCGAAATGCACCAATACCTTAACGCCTTACTGGTGAACACGCCTTTAGACGCATGGCAATTTTGACTGCAGCTTGAGGGCCGCGTCTTTAATCACTTTCCCTTTTTATTGCACGGGAGGAAGCGCCATCTATTCCCAAACATCGGAAATAATTTTGCTTTAGAAACCAATGCATAGATGGCGGCACAAAAGAAAGTTTGACAAGGTATGTGTGGTTCCAAAAAATATTGGCAAAATGAGGAAAAAAAGGTTCCCACTTTGTCAATATTTTTTGCTCAAGGAAGTCCCCAGATAAGGAGTTCAAAATGAATAAACAATGAAAACATCCGCCAATTCTTTTTTTACAAATAAACACTGGAATGTCTACGGCATACCTCTAGTTCTAAGACCAAAATGTCATTCATTGCAATTGCGTAGCCGTAAAAGGAGCCGCCCAATTGTGGGTTGCACGACACTGTTGTGCAAAGGGGCTTTCATGTTATGCTGGGAACTCTTGCACTTGAGCGCCATGGGGTTGAAGGTCTGTAATTGGGAGGTCAGTTCCTGAAAATCGAGCCATGTGACCGGGAAGTCATGTGACTACCTGTTAGCATCCGAGAGGTTTTGATGACGCCCTCTTTCGGTGACATCCTCTTAGTGATGTCACAAGTTGTGATTCTGGCGACTCATCATCAGTTGCAAACGACAAGTTTGATGGCGTACGTAAAAAGCATGGCAGAAGCTCGGAATTAATCGGATCCTTAAAGGTGTGCTAAAGTGCTTTCTGAGATCTTCATTCTATGGTCATAACTCAATCTAGGAGAAGTATTCTAAAAAGCCCGAAGTTACATTCATGCGCTGCCAATTTGCATATCAAAAAAGTTATCAAAGTTCCCGACACTTGCCGTCGGCACAAAACGACAGATGTCACCAACGCACCTTGCTGAATATGGTCAAACGACGGACGGCGCGCGTCAGCCACTCGTGAGCGATTGGTGGCTGCATGAACGAGCGGAACTTTTATAAATGCTTTGATACACAAATTGGCCACGCATGAATGTAATTTCTTTCTTTTTAGCATGATTAGAGGTTGTATGTTATGACAATAAAATGATGATCTCAAAAAGCACTTTAGTGCCTGTTTAAACCAACACTGTCAAAGTTGACAGTGTGACAGTGCTGTTATTTTCATTGATGAAAGCGGGATTAATTCCACTTAAGACGGCTTGCCAAGTGCATCTTTCTAGAGTGGCGACATCCCTTGGGAGGGCAAGTGCCACCCTTTCCTGGCCGTAGCCACCAATTCGCCCTTTGCCTCCTGACCGATGTCGAAGACATTTGAATACTTAATGCACGGCGTTGCATGTTCTAAAAGATACCCCGCCTTATTTCAAAAGTGGTGATGCTCAAAGAACTCGCAGACAGCTCTTAATAGCTGCATAGAGTGGTAGGCAAGATGGCGGCCCCCCCCTAGCAGACGACAGAGTTGTCGCCTACACTGGGAGGGCCGCCAGCCTAGCAACACTGAGGCACTCTTGTGGAAAGCCGACCACAGCGGTGCTTTTGGGTTGTGCTAGCGTTATTGGATTAAGTCAGTTGTGGAACTCCCGCAGAAGGGGATACCCACCTCATTCACTTCAATCCACCTTCCGTCGTTCTAAGCGCCATCTATAATCAGTGACAGGTTAAGAGTTCAGGGCAAGGGAAAGGAAGGCTGATGAGGGGGAAGCAGGCAGAATGCTGGAGCGAGCGGGATTTTCCCCCTCTCCTCTCCAGCAATCCATATGTGGTCTGTAAAGCCCTCGCCTTTCCCCTCTTTTCTTAAAAACAAAAATATTTTTTGTTGTTATTTTTAATTGGGTGGCGCAAGCTACCGCCCGTTGTAAATAATAGAGCGATTACCATCTAGCTGTCCATTTATACTTTTACTTGTTGCTCCTCACTTTGCCTGTCTATAACAGTAAAGGATGCCCTTTTCACACTGCTATATATGCTATGCATTTTTGGCGCCGCCTATCGGCAGATCGTTAAAAATGCCGGGCTTCAAGCCTCAAAGATGGTGGCCCCTCTTTCTGCGTTTCGACCCAATTCTGGACAAAAAAATTCAAAATTGCGGTTAAAAAAAAAAAAAAAAAAATTTCTCGCAAGCTGATATTTGACAAGGTCTGTTATTGATCACAGTATATACAATGATTTAGAATTTGTTGTATCTCTTATTTCCAAACTAGCAAAAAGTATCTTGTAAACAAAAAAGGAACTAAAAAGACGCATTCCACAAATTTCGGAGTTCATTATATCAACGCGCAGCTTAACGATTTCACTTTACAAGGCACTAGTGTTTGGCAGAATTGCAGGGGTCAGAACTTACATAAGCCTGGCAACATTGGGAAACATTTCATATCAAGAAAAGAGCCCCAAAGAAGGGGATTCTTTAAAAAGATTTGTGCAAGTCAGGAAATTATAGAATCCGAATGCGAGTGATGCATCAGAGCCGCTCAGATTAACGAGGAACGCATTGAATAAGTTGATGCGTCACTGCGATCTAGATTCATCTCACTTCGAGTTGTCCCCTATTGCGTCCCAAAACAAGTATGGCGGGCCACCATCTTTGAGGCAGTTTAAACAATGTTTTCGACATTTTTGATAGATGGCGCCAAAAATATGAGTAAGGTCTATTAGTAGTCATATTTTATACGCCCTCCCCCGCTAACATAGGGTACCCCATCACTTTGGCGGGTCCTCAGAGGGTCCCTGACACATCTATGCTTGAGAACCACTGCCATAAAGTACGGTGAAAAGCCAGTGCGTCAAAACATATGCATTCCATAGAATGCACCGCAATTACCATAGCCATAGAGGGTGAAGGGGGGGTACTGCTCGTGCAAGCAGCGCCTATGGGCCGTTCCGTAACTGAGCTAATCTAGTAACGTCAGGTCGTGCGCATTGCCAATTTAGTCGACGTGTCATCGGGACACCACGTGATATGCACAGTTTTGCCACCAGGTGACGGAGATGAAGAAGAGTCCGGCGAGAGCATTCAGGCTCCTGCGTCGGCGGGAGCAGTCACCACAGCCGAGAAGAAACTTCACCAGGGCGTCGCAAAGGGCGAACGGAGTCACCTCATCGTCTGGGAAGTAGCTCTGAACGAGTGAACGACGCTGGCAGTGCGACTCAAGAGAAATTCTAGATTCGTCGCGCTTTATTTCTTAATTTTCTCGTCTTGACTGGACTGCGCCTGACTGCCGCCACGATGGAAGAGAAATTTAAGTTGTGTAAAGGAGCCATCATTTGATTTGTGGTTGCTCGATCAATTGTGACATACGCCTGTATTTTTTTTGTTTTTAATTGGGTGTACAGTTTTAAGGAGCCGTGGCTAGATTTACGTTTGACGTGCGTCCACGAGTTCTGCTGTGTGAAGTCCGGCACGGTCTTTGAAAATGGCATGGCGAGAAACGTGCAGTGTACAGTTTTAGGAGGCCTTGTTCCGCGTTTTGGAAGGTGACAGAGACCTTGAGAATTTTGTACGGACGTCTCAAACATGTAATAAATGTTACGCAAGATGCAAGATATGAGGCTTATCTTTAGGCTCTTTGTTTAAGAGTAACGATTATCGGAACTGGCAATTTAGCCGCAGAGGGCTCTGAAGGGCCTGGGACTGCGGTGCTTACACCGCGAGCGAAAAACATGTTTCTTACTATACAATGCCGCGATTGGCTTATACATAACATGTACACACGAGTAGGCTTAGCTTATCTCATTGTGGAATTATAAATATAATATATATATATATATATACATATATATTGCAAGTATGTGGCATTGTTCTTTGGAGGACGCTGTTTGATCTTTTAGCTTCCAGTGTATTTATTCGTTCTCTAGACAAATGCAGGCTGCCGCTTTTCAATTGTGTGCAACACAGAAAAACAAAGCGTGTTTATATGCGTGAAACATATAAATGCCATGTACATGGGGTCATGCATATGTTTCGCATCTGCTTAGTTAAGAAGTGGATGTGGATGTGCCAGGGGGTGCAGAATGCCGAGCGCACCATGAACATTCGTGTGTGCATTTTAAACGTCCAGTTTAAACATGGAAAGACTGCGAGCAAGCATGTGCCGTTTCGAAGTATTTGTGCGTCGGTTGGAGCTTGAGCTTGCAGCCGTGCGATTTGTTGCCTGAACTTAAGGTGCCAGGCTACCTTTCATACTGCAGAATTTCAGATTTAGTGCACTTCTAGTTTCTTTTCATTTTGGATGTGGACACATTTTCAATAAAAATACAGAAGATATCTCTTATGCTAACGAAATATATGTCTGCATGCATCACAGAAATGAAAAACGAAAACTTGGTTTGATTTTGGACATTTCACAAGGTGTGATTTACAAGTAAAGTAGTCTTGTGATGAAAAAATTTGGCTCTCCACATGCAGACACCAGTTTTTCCAGCTCATTTGTCCGCCAATTTCTATTTATACCACACTGTGCATGTGACATCATGTAAAGAGGTTGGCAAGAACTGGGTTACTTGACTGTGCTCTTCTTGGAATACTTCGCTAAAATACGAAGACATTTTATTGGAAGGTAACCTCGCACCTTAATGTACGCCGAAAAACGGAAAGAATGATATAGGCGAGATTTGAAAAGCCTGTTGGTGTCGTGTTCAGACACACAATCGAGTGCTCTGCATTTAAGTTTTTTAGGCACGCAACTAAATTGAAGTTTTACTTTGGAAACCTTCAAAAGGAATTTCTGAAGGGTGTCCATTCTTATGCAGTGGCACTAGTCTCGCACTTCAACACAAAGAAAAAAATTGTCATTGTTTTAGGCATCTTTTCTTGCTCAACCATGTAGAGAGGAAAAAAAAAAGTTAATGTGTTAAGGCAAACTTTTTTCTTCTTTTTTTTTTTATTGAACAGACAGCACCTGATGGTCAAATGTTTTTAGACTTTTTTGAAAGAGTGAAAGTTTTTATGCCTGAATAAAATTGCAGTCAATACTGTGTCTCTTGTCTTCGACATTTTATTCAGACGCACGAGCTGAACATTTGTAGGTTTGATTCGGCCATTGCCAAAAATAAAATAGCCAAGATTGATATCTGCTGACCCTGCAGCTCTACTACCTTCAGTAGTAATAAATAACTTCAAGATATTGTTTTTTTTTTGTTTTTTTTTTGCGATTTTTTTTTGTATATTATTTGAACATTAAGTTATGTTTAGCTGGTTTATCAAATAAAAGAGGTCATGATACAGAATCTGGCCAGAAGGGAGTGGTGTTCCTCCAACAAAAAAGTTGTCGCCGACATTGTCAGTTATTTGGCAACATGCCCAATGCTTGTTTCCTCTTCCAGTCACGACTAAGGCTGTGTTCCAACCCCCAGGGTAAGGGCTTTGTACCTTGGCATTCTAAAACCTGACCGCGTCCAGCGTTTTTTCAATCTGTGTTGTCACGTGACACGACTCCCGGATTAACTCCGATCCACTTGGGCAAGATTTGGAACACAGCCTACTAGACATACGGGGTGTTTCAGTGTGTTGAACCAATGCAGTATTGTCCTATTGAGCAAGTCTAGGTATTTTCTCGGATTGGCCAATGTAGCTAGTTAATGGAGATTGATTAGCTAACTTTTTAATTGTTAATTTGTGCACAAATCCTACAACACAGAAGTTGTAGAGCTTGTTAAGAAACATCCCATCATGCCAGAGTATCAAATGTTGAGCTTCGACACTCGTAGCGTGCACCAGCTTTTTTCAAGTCTTGGCACAAGTTAGCTGACATGCCCTGTGTATTCATTACCGATGGGTACCGTAAAATCCCGAGATGCCCTACCTCCGAAAGATAGCCCACCCCTATTCGTGGCTTGATTTGCTTTACTTTTTTTAAACACAAAAAGATAGCCCACTCCTAGTAATAGTAGTATTGGGATCAATGATAGCCTCGCCGTAAGTGCGGCTAGTTGCGGGATATAAGAAAACGTTGCTCACGGGGAAGTACAGTCATCTTTGCTTCGTTGCTCCTCGCCACCATAACAAGCTTGGAAGGGACACAACCTAAAAATAGCAATTCTTTAACTTTCCTTGACTGTGCACAGAAAGTTAGCCCACTCCATATTTTCACCCGATTTGCTCTTGACGTTATGTAGGCTATGTCTCAGGATATTACGGTAATCTTTTTTTTGTTGGTAGCCTTTCACAATGGCACTGAACATGCCACATCCTGTTTGCAAGGGAAAATTTGAGCTGTATGCACTTTTTGCAAAACGAGCACTTGCAGACAAGGAGACAGCTCCAAACAACCTCTACCTGGAGAAGGAAGCATGAAAGACGAAAACAATATCAGAAGGGAGCATAAGTGGAAAGAGTAAACAAAGAAACAATCATGAAATGATGTAGGAAGGGGCTGAAGTTGCTGCTACTATCTTAGATTTACTACTGTTGCTTTGCTATGGTTGCAGAACCCAGTGGTACCAAATATTTTATTCTCATATTTACAAGGTGTCGAAAGGCGTTCATTTCTTCTTCCGCTTGAGCGCCTTGTATTCGCCTTCCTGGGATGCCAGCTCTCTGTAGATCTGCTTGACCTTTTCCTTCCTCTCTGCGTCCCTCTCTATCCTGTCCTTGAGGATGTGCCTCGCCAGAAACTGGTTGTCCCTCCTGACCTCCCTCATGGCCCCCTTCATCTCCTTCTTGTGCTTGTAGGTCAGTCGCTTCAGCTCCGCCTTCTTCTGACCCCCTTCAAAATGCTTCCGGCCGTCGAACTTCATGCTGAACCGCGGCTCCAAAAGCTGCTTCATGGGTGGCGGTCTTTTTTCTGGACGCAGTGGCTTACGTTCAACCTTCCGATCAAGTCGCGAAATCACCTTTTCGACTTCCGACTGCACAGTGGGTGGATACGCCGAGACTTCCAGCTTTCGCAATGTCTTCAAGAGGGGATCTACGAGTTCGCGGAAGGACGGCAAACCTTCCGAGAGCTCCGCACATTTCTCGACGAGTTTGACTCCGGCATAGATTATCTCGACCCTCAGCTGGTCTGTCATTTCGACGTCTTCCTCCCCCAAAAGCCGAAGCTTGAGTTTCTCGTGCAAAAGTCCGGAGGCGTCTGCTCTCTTTTTGAGTTTCAACTCTCGATGGCTGAGTAATCTTTCCAGGAATACGAATACCTCGGGGGAGAACCGTCTTGAATATGCAATGTACTCTAGGAACACGTTCGTGACGAAGAGTCCGCGGAGGAAATCCGCGGCTCCGTTGAGACCGCAGCAGGTGAGCATGTGGCTGGCGGAAAGCATCGCCGGAGTCGCGACAATGTGGGAGAAGTCTGAGGCAGAGTAACACTGTCCCACTATTTTAAGGAACACGAGAGTGCTGAAGCTAGGAAAAGAGATGCCAAACCGTGCCCTACGTTCAGTCGCCTTCTGAAGATCCTCTTCTTTCTCCGAGATGACGTCCAAGAGGAAACGTCCGCACGTCGTTGGCGAAATTTGGACGAGTGCATAGATGTGCGGACACAGTTTGTCTACAAGTTCGAGATCTTCGTCTGCAACGTCATTCAGATGCTGAAGAAGGAACACAAAGAGCATCTCCAGCTTCTTGAGTTTCTTCTCACCACCCTGGTTCGCCTTAATCATGTCGCCGACAAAACGAGCTTTCTCGTCCGCGGTGTTGTCGGCCATGAGCTTAGAGAATTCTTCCTCCGACTCGGGAATAGTGAAAATGCAGGTAGGCCTACTCTCCTTTTTCTCAGGGACAGCCTTGCTTACAGGCTTGCCCCCCTCTTTCTCGGAGGCAGCCTTGCTCTGCAACTTTTTGCACGTCTTGATGACAGACGTTTTTGGGGCCTCCTTAGCTTTACCTTTAGCAACCGGTGGAGTTTCTTTTTGCAGACTGCCGTCGTCATTAGACTCCAAATCAGAGTAGCCATCATCATCATCATCATCATCATCAGATTTGTCTTCCTGTCTAGCTGCCTGCTCCTTTCCAGATACATCTTGTTCAATCTCCTCCACACTCTCTGCTCCGCTTTCATCATCGCCTTCTGACGCCGATTTGTCTTCTGCTTCATCGTCACCACCAGAACCCTCCTCCTCAGCGTCTTCCTCTTCGTCACCACTCATGTCCGCATCCTCCGTCACTGGCTCCTGCTTGTAAAAGTTGTAATCCAGGTCATCTGCAGACATGAAGTACCATTGCTTCTTGCTGTCCCTTTCAGTGATTCCCTTGGCCCGCAGTTTCCGCTCCAACTCCAGCTTCTCAAGTTGCTTCCGTTCTTCCTTTGCAACTTCATCTGCGGTCTTAACCCTCTCTGTGGCCGTCCCAGCACGGGGCGCGAACCGCAGCTGCTTCACCAGAACGTCGTAGTCATCCGTGGATTCTTTTTCGGCTTCGGTCGGCTTCTTTTTGAGCCTCGAGCTAGCCAGAAGACCCTGAAACTGTTTCCAGTCGTTGTCCAGCCTTTCGGTGAGTTCGAAATTCTCGTCTTTCTGTACTTGACGCTCGTATTTGAGTTTCTTCGATTCCGCGATGAGTTGGTCGATGGCTTCTTTCCTCGACTTGGCGGAGTCACTGCTGGGATCGGCCTTGGTCAGGAAGCCGCCAAAGTTGGTCTTGTCCGCAAAGTCGCGGCCCAGTTTGTCGTACAGGTCTTCGTCGTCGCTTCTGGGGTCGTCGTGCCTTTCCATGTCGTTGATGGACTTGCCAAGATGGGTGAGCTCCTCCTCTTCGTTCAGGCTGAAGACGCTCTTCTTTTGCGAGATCTTGCGCTCCTGTGCAAGTCGGGCTGCCATCTTGTCATCTGGGTTCATTTCGGAATCGAATTCGCCGATTCGTTTGTCGACGAACGCGCTAGATTTGTTGCGCAGCACGTATTCTTGAAGGAGAGTTTCATTGCGCTTCTTGATGGCTTTGCTTCTCGACACACCGGGTAGACCGCGATCGTTTTTAGACTTTCGACCGAGCACATCGTGTCTTTGTTTGTTAACTTTGACTTCGAAAGGGTTGGTCCTCTCGGGTGCCTTACCGTTTACTTTTGCCGACGCTTTGCTGAAAGACTTGCCGCTCTTGCGCTTTGGCTTCATGATTTCGCCGCCATGTGCCTGAAAAACGACTTGAGAACGAGAGTGGAAGTCGCTACTCTCAAAAGTGGATTGCTGAATAAATAACGCTTATTCTTTGTAATGGGCGATATCCTACGCCACCTGGCGCCTACAAAAATGGCTGGATGGTCGTCGTAGGACAGCAATACGGGGTCTGCGATACTTTTTTTTTTTTTTTTTTTTTCCTTTTCACGCTAGGAAAGTGTAGGCAAGCACCTTTATTGTGACGCCGATCATCCAGGAGCTAGGGAGCGCGATTCTCACACAATCGCTGAAAGTTGCCAATAATAAAAGCTCACTTTTCCTCGTGGTTTCCCTCCAAACCAAGGCAACGCTTTCTAAACACATAACCGATTAAAAAAAAAAAAAAAAAATTAACTCGGACCATGTTTTGGCGGGGGAGGATGGGAAAATGTTCCTTTTGCTTGCAGCATCCGTTGTCTTGCAATTATGGTCATCCGTTGGTGCAGCCACTGCAGCCATGAAATTGTTTTCAAGACTTCCTTTGGGTTTCAGCCAACGTAACCGATTACCTCAGTTGTGGAACTCCCGCGGAAGGGGGTATCCCCCTTCACTCGCTTACTTACGTCCGCCTCCAGTCGTTTGAAGCGCCATCTAGATTTTCACTTACAAACTGTGTGTTCCATGGAGTATGATCAAACGCCATCTAGACACTGCACTTCGAAACATACAGATCTCATAGGATACGCTGCAGTTTAACCAAAGCAGCCATCGAATGACGTTTCATAGACAGATTGTTACAGAGACAGCCGATTAGTTTTTTTCTGCACTAAAATAAACGAGACTGTCGCCGTGAAGCGACGTGTATAGGTCGGTCAGGTGGGTCAACATTTCTGTAATGAGCCGCTGCAGACTGTCACCGCGATGCGGCGCGAGCTAACAGCGTTAATGCAGGCCAGGGGGGGGGGGGGGAATACATGTTTCAAAGCACAGCGTCTAGATGGCATTCAAGGTCTGCTTTATAGAACACAGTTATGAAACGAAAATCTAGATGGCACTTCAAACGACGGGAGACAGACTAAGTCGAGTGAGGGAAGGTACCCCCTTCTGCAGGAGTTCCACAACTGAGGTAATCCAGTAATGTCAGTTAACGCGCACCCCCTGATACATGCAAGACGAAATGCCCCTACAGCGTGCAGTTTGCGTAACGAGTGTGAACGAAACCTTTGAGTCAATTAAACGTGTCCATGAAAAGTCCATGAAACGTAATTCCACAAAACGAGTTTCGACGAAACGGTAAGGACCCAATGATTCGTCCAAAGAGAAATGTTTACAGAAAGACATCTTGAGACAGTGAATAAAATCAAACAAATCTTATTTCCTTACCAAAAAGGAACCCTGAGGCGCAGTATTCAAATGACAAACGTGTTTTGTACAAATCCGTGCAACGAAGCACTAACGAAAAACAAAGGGGATGACATGTATATCATCCTCTTTATGCGTAGACTTAATTTTCTTACCAAGTATGTCACCACGCTCGTCAGGAATATATCCGAATGAGGGAGAGCTCATACATATCACATTAAGGGGCAATTTCACCTTGGCCGAAGAGCACTGTATCGGTGTGGCATATGCTTCAGCTTCTGTTTCTAAAGTTTCAAAATCGTGTCCGAGATTTTGGAAAAGCATAAAAATTAGGTCCCTGAACAGCAAATTGACTATAAAATTTAGATTCACAATGGCACAACATTTGTTTTTCTTTTAAATTTTACCTTTGACATTTTCACAAAATAATTGCACTGGTTGCATGTTGAAAGAAATTTGAGACTAAGGTATTTCAAGCGCATCTGATCCATTCAGCTTCCACAGCATCGACGAAGAGTGCATTCTACTCCACAAAGGGAGACATGTGAAGAAACAAAATCCAGTTCTAATATTTAATTTCTAACAAGCAACTTCCTAAAGGCCTATTTTCACATTTTTATTCAAAACCAAAATAAGCCGGCCTTTCGAGAAACTTTAAACCGGTAACCGAGATCCGGAAACGCAAACTTAAAAAATTCGAAACAAAGACAATTTTATCACTATAGCGGTATCGGCAACCCGTAACCGAACCATCGTTTTCGGTTTTAGTTCCCGTATGGAACCCCCACTGAAAGCAGACGAGACCTACTTAAAACTGACTGAACGGGTCAATTTTCCCCGGTCATCCCGACGCTCGGAAACCGACAGGGAATTTCTGCAAGCTCTGGCATTCCCACACTTACACCAGAGAACATACTGCTCGCACACTTGGGCACTGGACTGTCGCGGACCAACGCACGCATTATTAAAAGGTCCAAACGAGGTGCAACTCGAGATTCAAACGCGCACATTCTTCTTTACTGCTTGGCACTTGTTTGAGACGGCGATGACGGACCCTGCTCCGCGCTGTCCAACTGCTTCAAGAGTCGGAACAAGGCGGCCGCTTCCCTGATTCGGCTGAACTCGATACAAAAGGCCTGCACTTCAATGAACAAGTCCTGCAAAAAAAAAGCTTGTGTCATCCGCAAGGTCACGAATAGAATCACACGCGAGTTTTCCACTTCAACTTGCATGCTACGATTGTACTTTTCCTTAATGCAGTCCAAGCTGGTGTTTTCTTCCGTTGCCTGGGACTGTGTTGGGCAAATGAGTTGAGTAACAACAGGAAGTGTTCAAAAGCGCTTCTTTTGAATTTTTTTTACGACTGTTTTATGGTCGCGCAGTTTATTATGAATTTAAGACACTTTTGGAACAATGCACTTGCTAACTTTAGCGAGATTTTATATTTTTGCGTAAAGGACATCCTGGATTAATCCATTGCCCTGATCTCCCGTCATCTAATCATGTTCTTGCTCCAAGGCGAGTTTTGCGAGTTCCTCCCACTTTCTTCGTTAATCGAATCATCTCAATTAGCCCCATGACCTGCACACAACACTTGTATAGCACCCGCGGTGGAGTGGACACTGACGTTTCTATCCCAAATTTTTACCACTTAAAAAGACATTGACAGGGTATGTATGCTCGCCAAGGTTTTTGATTGTACATGACATATGAGAGCCCAACTACCCACAACACAATTCGCGGCTCGAAATTCGTTTTCTTTCCACCCGAAAACCATTGATCGAGAACCGGCCGGTTTGAATCGCGCTCACTCTCCTCTTTGTGGTTATGTGCCATTTCTGTGTGTTAGACACAACCACCAAAGATAATCAAAGTTGTGGGTCATTGAAGGCACACACTCAATACTAATTCCAGTAACTTTTTCCTCCTCTATATTTCTTCTTCCTCCCTAGTTCAGTTTTGGTTTCGAGCAGTTGCATTTTTTTTTTTTCTTTTATTATGAATATGGGCGACACTGTAGTAAAATACTGATTGGGTAGTCATCTGACAGCATAATAAATTGCCTGCCAAAAACAAAAAAATGGGGGAGGGGGGCATAGGTGTCCATTAAGTTGTTTCTGGCTAATTTGTAATCTCATTGTGCATCATTCCCAAGACATCAGCTCAGCGTAGAAAAGAAACAAATGACCGAACAAAGGAGGTCGCTCTCAAACAGTGGAAACATTGGGTGCACCCGACACGGGCGCCAACGTCTCGAACTTGCCTGCACGTTGATGATTTTGTTGCGTATGAGGGACTGCAGGAACACGCACACCAGCCGAACCAGTCTGTTCTGCATGTAGCGGTCCTTGATGGTTTCGCAGGTAGAGATGCAGTTGGATATGTACAGGTGCACAAACTCGGTTGGAAGCTCCACAGCCTGCAACCCCGGTGGCGGACGCAGTAAAGAAAAACAAATTAAACGCAGGGGGTCCCGGGCATCTTACTGTCACTTGCAAGTAACGATATTGCAACGTTAACCTGCAAGAGCGACCAAGAACGAAGCAAGAATTGTGAAGATAATAAGCCACACCCTATGTTTCTTAATCTGCGAGTGGCAGTGTATAAGATCAATGTCAACAAAAAATGCTTAGGCCAAGGTGGCTCCCAATCATGCCACCGAGGTTTGACTTACGGTAGTCAGCCTGTTGACGACCTCCATCGAGTGCAGCGACATCTCCATATTGACAAGGACCGAAAAATACCTGAAGAAAAAAACGGAAAGAAAAACGTGAAAATGCATTCGCTGTGTTATGTCGGTGCATGCAGCGCGGCAAGTGCCGATTACAGGGGGAGAGGTGAGGTACAATGAGCTTACTCCGTGATTTGACTCGATTGCATCAGCTTCAACAAAACTTCGATCGCCACCAGCGGGTTATTTTCCACCAATTCCGGCAGCTGAAAAACATTTCAAGGGTACGGTCACTTTTTGTCCGCCTGGCCATTGAGCTTTGTCACCTTTTCCCCTAATATTCCCAACATGAAAAGTCTTCATTTGGTCTGGTATTTTAATTTCCACCAAGGTACGATTAGGGTAGGTTTGGTTAGAGGTAGACTACGTTAGGGGACTAAGTTAGGCTATGTTTGGTTAGGTTAGGTAAAGTTTGGATATGTTAGAATTGGTTAGGTTTGGTTAAACTAGGTTGTTTGGGGGGCTGCTAGGTACAGGCAAACTGAAAAATCAATTTCAAGAGACAACAAAAAAAACTCCCACAGTAGGTACAGTCGAATCTCGTTCATTTGAATTCGAGGGGGACCAAAACTTTGTTTCAATGCAAAGTTTGAATTATCGGGAGTTTCTTTCCTAGAAACACATAGGACAGGACCTGCATGTTAGTTTGGATTATCCGCAAGTAGTGAATTAATAGAGTTTGAATTATTGAGATTTCACTGCACCTTGCACAACGACTTTAGCACAAACCCAACATTGATGCTTTTTTGCGTCTTCGGTTGGTGACCCAAATGAGCACTTTCCACCCCACCAGTAGTTTTCTTTAGATTCCAAAAAAAAAAAAAAAAAAAAACGGGAAAAACTGGAAATTTTTTATTTGCGCCAACAGAGTCGCGCAGTGCACAACAGGACAACAAGAGCCGCAAACAAAGGGACCTGGGATGTTTCAAGTCGAGCAGCCTCCCACGGCTATGCTACCTCCCACGGCAACAGTAATAGATGCGACAGGCACCCGTTCTACTGACGATCGAAGGAAGCTTCGACAGCCAGGGGCCGAAACACCGCGACGACTGCAGCGCTCGCATTCGCCCATACTTTTCACCGGGACTTCCAGCGCCAAATGCTGGGTTCACGACATCCGACAGCGCGTCACTCCGACTTCCGCGATGTCATTGGCTGCCACTTTTGGGGCCACTACGGATGCATGGGCGGGATGGGGTGCCAGACACACCCGCAGGAAGACGCGTTCCAGGCAGTGTGGCTATACCACACGCGCGGCTTCGAAAGCGACGCCGGAGAGCCTCACCTTGGCGGGTGTGAGGCCAATGTGGTACACGAGCTTGGGGTCGGCTGCAAGTTCCTCCAAGAGCTGTTGCTGCTGCGCTTGGGTCAGGGTGCTCTTGAAGGCCCTGGCCATGAGCCTTTTGGCCTCGGCGCCGGCCGTGTCGCTGAGGCACACCGAGGGGTCCCACAACACCGTGTGCTCCTCCTGGTTCACCGGTGTCAGCCACAGCACCTTCCAAACGTGCCGAGAAAGAAAGGCACTCCATGAAAAGACGGCAGGGGGCTGTTCTCAACTGTGCTCGGTAGATAACAAAATTGCAACCAGATTTGAAGGTCCCGTTGAAGGGGTAGTGAAACTATTCCCAAAATTTATTTCCAAAGTGCAAATTTCGAAGCTTGAGGCCTTACTTTGCGACTCGTCATCTTTATGCCGAGAGTGGTTTTCTGGGGAACGAAAACGCAAAAAACTTTCATGTACGGTCGGTATATTTTCAGCTTGCAAAATATGTAATTCTATGTAGACAAAAAAAAAGGGAAAAAAAAAACTTTTATGATTGGCGGTAAGGTGACGGCGTCCTAGCATAACTTTCGTGCTGGTAAAGCATAAAAAGTATGCACCACACACAAAGACGAGAAAATAGTACCGTAAAATACCGGGCAAGCGCCCACTCAAGATTTAAAGATAATCGCGAAAAAATGGGGGATGGGCGGTTGTCCGGTCATCAATTTTACATATCAATGTACCGTGCATATTTTCTTAGATCTTTCAAATTTGGGTATGGGCGCTTAGTGTGGTATGGGCGGTTGCACGGCATTCTACGGTATGCTTAGAGGTTAAAGAAACCACTGAAATAAAATCTAGGAAATCGATTTTCTCTTTACAACCTCCTTAAAAAGTCAAAATGGTTACTTTGTTGCGAAGTGGCATTGCAGAATGGGGCATTAAACAAAGGACAGTGTAGTACAGTCCTGTCTCGTTAATGAGAACCCCGGTAATATAGCTACGTCGATGACGTTTTCTGGGACGAACTGTCTAAACACACGCATTGTTGTCTCATTACGGACGACTAAGATTACGGCTAGAGCCCGGTGCAGATAACAGTTTGATCAGCCGCATGCGCAGACTTTGTATCCGCAGATGTTTTATCTGCATCTGCAATGTTCCTAAATAATTGTATTCAATCCGCATCGTACACTTTGCATCCGCATCGTATACTTTGTATCCACATCCAACCCTTAATTTGTGAATTCATTTTATATCATAAACAAGCATGAATAAAAAAATAAAAAAAAAATAAAAAATCTGGATAGCATCCTATAGGCCGTCTGTTTACTTTTGTACAAAGAACTTACCGCATCAGAATACACTGAAAGCGATTTTATCGTACTCTATTTTATTGTATTCATAAAAAAGCAATCATCCTTCAGAGACACTTTGCATCGCTAGAAAGATGATCGCAGTTATGAGATCGTCTTGAGAGTCTGTGACACTGACACTGTCCAGAAGATGCACTCGAAGAAAGGAAATTTTAATATTTATTTTATTTTTTCTTTGTAAAACCACCTTCAAGCAGACACATTTTATAGACATGAAAATGAACAAAGGACAGACTAATAACATTGTGTCATTTTATTTAGGCCAAACAATAAAAAAAAGTGGGAGAGGATAGGCGCTCGCTCACCGCAGCACGCAGCAAAGTACTTGTGTATATATGGTAAGGTGCGAGTACATTACTGAGAAGATTCGACAATATTCAATAGTGTCAACACCTCCATAAATTCAGTTCTAAACACAAACCTTCAACTGCATGCTCGGAATCACATACTTAAAAACGACTCGGTGCTAACTGTCGAGAAAAAGAAAAAAACACATATATGCCACGTTTTACCTGTCGAGGTTTCTGTGTAGAGGAAACAGAACATTGTCAACATGGACGGATTCGAACTGGTTCGCCTCTAAAATTAATACCCGCTAATAAAAAGTTTCTCTCCATCGGTGCAGTTATGCTGGGATGGCATACACGAACTGCGCTACAAGAACAAGCTGCGGAAACTCGCACTGGCGCAAGTTCCACCAGTCCAGAGGACCGAATTCAGTCTCCTCGATCTACTGCAAAGAAGCCAGTTGCAGGCTTCTTCTACTTTCTTGTGGTTTGTACATTTTGAGTTTTCTAAGCTCAAAGAACTTTTCCCACTCTTTTCCTGCCAAACAAGAACACGCTTTCTCGGGACGACTGATGCTCCTGCATTCTTTATATTTTCTAGGAACAGCAATTTTGGCACGATAGAACGTTCTAAGGCGATCTTTGGTGAGTGTCAAATCTTTCTTGACGTAAAGAACAAATTTTTCCCCTATTAACACCTCGTATCTAAGAGAATAGTTTGCTCCTGCAATACATTCAGAGATGCACTTCATAGTATCACTCACTTATTCACTCCACGCTGTGCAGTCGCACACGTTTATGAGCCGCCTCGGCAAAAATGTAGATCCAAACCCGCGGACATCCGATCCGCAATTCGCCAAATCTGATTCATTTTTATCGGCATCCGCCAGTTTACTGCGGATATCCGCGGATGATTTGAGAGTAATCTGGGGATATGCAGGGCTCTAATTATGACCGACTTTTTAGGGGAACGGAGTTGACCATGTTAGTGAAGCACAACTGAAGTAGCAGGAAAATGAATAGCAGGAACGGTTAATGTCGCTAAATGCATTGAAGTACAAGCAAGGCAGGTTAAAGAAAAGCAGCAGGAATCTCACCTCTCCTTCGGCGTCGTGAAGAGGAGGCACAAGTCGCAAGAACTCTGGCTGGAAGACTAACTCCACCGGCGGCTTGTCCACAGCCAGCAACTGCTGCATCGCCTTTGCAGGACTCGGGGCTTCGCCGCCAAAACTGAAGAAACAAACATCTCTGAGCCCGGAAATATTCCTTTAAATTTTTGCAGTCACCTTTATAATACAAATCATCACAGGTACGTTAAAGGGGCAGTGAAGTGCTTTTTGACATTCTGATTTTATGGTAATAACTCAATCTACAAGCTCTAAGCATCCTAAAAAAACTGGAATTACATTCACGCTGGCCGATTGGCATATTATAAAAGTGATCAAAGAACCCGACGCTTACACTTAGTGCAGAACGACAGATGGCGCTACGGAACCTCACTGAATATGGTCGAACGATGGATGGCGCTTGTCAGCCACTCTTGAGCGATGGGCTCCCACGTAGATGAACGGCAAAGCTCGTAGATTGAGTTATGACAATAAAGTGAGGATCTTAAGCAGCACTTCATTGCCCCAGTGACCACAGCCAGATAATTAAACTTACATCCCACTCGATCGCAGTGTGAAAGTGTAATGGGGGACCCAAAGTTTCTGAATCGGTTTGCCGACCCGTGTCATCTCCTAAAGTTCTAGTGGCATGTTGCAAACTTTTTCCCCAAGCGCTGCAAAATCAATTCTCGTTTTTTGCAATGTCCGATTTGAAAGAACAATGTGCGGCTGTGAAATCTGTTTCATTTTAGGGAAAACGGCGGCGGAAACTCTTGTAACGCCTCAGACAGCTTACAAAGAAGATGCTATGAAGAAATCGCAGGTCTACGAGTGGTTTTCTCGCTTTAAGGCCGGTGATATCGATCGACGACAACCTAGTTCAGGGTGACCCTCAACCTCCTCAACTGGCGAAAACATAGAGAAAATTCGGGCATTGTTGTTCCTCCTGGTGAAACTGTTAATCGGGCGTTTTGCAACGCTTACGCAACTCAGTGTGGCAAAAATGCCCCGATTTATGGGAAAGGAAGGAGCGGTGGTTCCATTCCGACAATGCCCTAGCACATATTGCCCTGTCAGTGCAACCATTTTCAAACAAAAAGAAACGGTACGACACTGCTTTTCCACCTCCCCCATTCACCGGACCTCGCCCCGTGCTACTTTTTCCGTTAGCCCGTATGAAAGAAGTTCTGAAAGAAAAATGTTTTGTGGATATGACAGGTCCTTTGAACCAGAACTGCAAAAAAATAAAAAATTATTTTGAAGCACTTGGGGTAAAAATTTAGAACGTGCTGCTAGAACTTTAGCAGACACCGCCGGTCGGCAAACTGACTCTGAAAGGATGCTCCTAATCGCTGCTAGCGGCGGAAGCTGCTGCTACGAACGTTCTACAAACATTGTAGTTCGTTCTACGAACAAACTGCCACATTGCGACAATGGAATAGAAGAGTTTGTTCACATGAATTGATAGGTACAAATAGTGCTGGCCCACAAAAGCAGATCCCGCTTATGTGTAGGGCCGGACAACCAGCAGAAATCCGCACACATACAAAAGGCTCAACGTTCATCGATGCCAGCAATTCACCAGTTGGGAAAAAAAACAAACGAGTAGACTACAATAAATGAAACTTCCTCGAGCAAATATACAGCCCTCAAAACAAATCAGCAATAGGGCAGTTGTGCAGCTCACAGAAGGGGCTTGGGGTCTGGATCCGCTACAACCAGCGGGATTCCGGACCTGCTCGACTGCGGCATTTCCGATTGGCGCTCCGCAAAGGACACCTGGATTCCTCCGGTGTCGCCCATCTGCAAAGAACGTCCAGCATGCACTTGCTACTTGCGCACCAAAACATGGCCAGTGTCATGGGATTCTGAAAGTCGTACAAAAACTTCCAAAGGCAATGCATGAAGACACGAGGGGTCACCAGTACTGCACTCCAACGCTAGACTCTACTGAGCTCCGTGCATGAGCACACTGAGACATGGCCGGTGTTGTGAGATTCTGAATGTAGGATGCAAATGCCCCAAAGCAACACATCGAGGAGTTGCATGTACCAACCTGAAGGTTGCTTTCATCCAAACTGACCACTTGCCACGGTGTCTTTTTGAAAAGCTGCAAGTAGTTTAAGGCATCGTGTGAAGGGAGTTACAATGTTGAGGAGCCAATAACAGAAAGAAAAAATGTTTGTAAAAAAAATTAAATATATGCTAGAACAAGCAGAAGAGCACAGTTTATAAGGAACAGAGTAAACCAAGAAAGAAAGGAAGGATTTAGCGATAACAAACAGCAATAAACGCAGCTATTTTCCTCCATTTCCAAAGTCGAAGATGGCACTCTCACATTTTGGACGTACGTAAAAGAAGCCAACCTTGTCACGAAATGTTTTCTCTTTGGCCTGGCTGCGTTCGGGGTTATCCAGATACTACCTACATTTAATTTGTTCACAAAATCTTACCCTTAGCCATCGCCACATAAAAACAACCCAACGTAAAGATCCACAAAGCAACAACCTTTTTTTTTTTTTTTTTGTCCAAGATACCATGTCATTATTTGCTGCCCAAGAAATGAAGTGCATACATGTACAGCCAGGATAATACTTTCAAACCACGGCATTTTCTGTTCTTTGGGCACCATTCCTCCCTAGCCATGTCTTAATTAATAACCATGCAGCTATGATCAAACTTGTTAGCATTCCTAATTGGACCAAAATGCTCAAGCAGCCAAGTTGCTTAGTCTACTTGCAACGGATGAAACCAAGTTCAATTTTGCAGTTCAAATACGCCGTGCTACTTTCACGCACAGATCAATCTCTGCCGCCCCACAGGGCATAACCGGCTCCTACGAACGTGGCTCCTAATGTCCCGAGTTGATTGATGCCACAAGTAATAAATACATGTGCACTGATATCCATACCTAGCTAAAAAAAAGAAGAAAAAAAGAAGGCAAAAGTTCTTTGCTTTAAAAAGGCAGCACATTCTCTGAAAGCAAAGAAAACGCAGCTTACATCTTTGGCTGGCACAGTCAGTAACTGCGAGAGGAAGTACTTCTCTTGCACCGTCAGCTTGGGGATCACGTGCGCAAATTCAGGCTTCTTCCCAGCCGTCTCCTCCACAGGATTCTGGCAGAACGACAAAGCAGCGCAGCTGTTGCCTAACCTCCACGTTCCCCAATGGCAAGACCTAATGCCACAACACTTCTAGGTCCTGCAAAACTAGGCTATGTGCTTCTGAAACAATAAAATCTGGCTTTCTGGAAAAAGCCTAATGTGCACATTATTGGCACGAATTGCCATAATGCGGATGGTTTTTTTCTTTTCTTCTCAAAGTTTAAGATTGCTTGAGACCTCTCTAAACCTGGTTTCACCTGCACTAAAAACTGCCCCTTTCCCCAGGTTCAGCTTGTTTGCAGCCTGACCATGTTTCTCAGTACGAGTAGTATTCCTATTTCCAGCAGGGCATACAGATGTGCTATATTGCCTCACAGCTATAGGCCAAAATATAATTTGGTATACATTTAGTGGTATATTGCGGCAAAGAGCAAAAACAATGATCCTAATCCAATGCCCCAGAGGAGCTTGCTCAACCCTTCTGCTTCCAGCAACAAGACTTTGTCCGCTCTGATCATCAGCTCAAGACTCACCAGTAAGTGAACAAAGACGGAGATAAAAGGATTCATGTGAATTGACTCCGTCCGGTACATCTCATAGAGGAAGTACAAAGCCACAATTCGCTGGCATGGACCGCTGATCAGGTCAGACTGTTGAATGAGCATCACCTGCATACAAATCCTGTTATCAAAAAAGGCCCAGTGCAGGCCAGTAATCATAATTGTTTTTACAATTTGCATAATGAAGCAAACAGCATTGAAAAGGGACAAGAACCACAGGAAGGGTAACTGAACCACACTGCCTTCTTCATGTAGTTATTAGTAACCAATTTTTACCGTCTCCATTCAAGGACAACTCCACTTCATTTTTGTTATTGAAAAATCAATGTAGTTCTTTTCGGTATCACCTACGAAGACCACATGTCAAATACTACAAGCTAGTTATGTCTAAATGTTTTAAATGGTCAGGCAAACTTTGCAATGTGCCAAATTGCCAAAGTCTGCAGACTCTAGTGGGCAAATTGAGGCGCAACCAACAGCGCAGTCTAGGCTACGGTGTTGGCCTAGCCAACATTGAGCTAAACATCATCACCATTGCCCCTTTTTGTTTGTATTTACTTTTCCGAGCAAGCTTAACGGGTAACGTCAGCAATGTTTTCTCTCAATCAGCGCGCTTCTTGGAAGCCGTCCGGTCGTCCCACCATCAGTCACAACTGCCGTTGTCATCTTACCGTTTGTGATTATTGCCTCTTGGAGTTTCGTTTACCCTACCTGCACTGACTGATGCCACAGTTGTGCAAACATCGTCGAATGTTGTAGGCACCAAAATGTGGTAAAGAGAGCGGTGCAGACAACACTTGCGCCTTGCACATGCCGGCCCCAGAGCCATATATAGAAAGAGTTTGGCCATTCATTGGAAAGTATAGAAGGAAAATGAGGAGGCGCCATTGGCCGAAAGCAGGCTCGGCGTGTTCCAGGGCGTTTTCACAAATTTTAATGTGCCCAACCAGAAGCTGAGAATAATACCCTGGCGGTGGTTGCGAGAAACAAAATTAATAAATGCGTCGGAGTAACTCTCGGTGACTGAAAATAAAGTGCACATGATGTTTCAATCACGGTCATCCAAAATCCGAATGTAAGAGTGCAACTACGGGAACGATCGACATAATCCGTACGCCAGGCGCCAAGAATCTGCCGTCTGAGCGGTCACACTATATCCGAGCAAAACAGAGTTTGATTGGCACATTCATTTTTTACGTCACGCGCACCATATTTTCAACCATGAAGAGTTACTACCCTTATGTTCTTATTAATACTGTTTCTTGCTACCACCGCTAGGGGATTCTTTTCGGCTTCCGATTGGCCAAGAGAGCATGCCAAGCTCTCTATCTGCGTCTGGTGCATGCCCTGGCTCTGCCTGCTCCCCTCATTGACCAAACACTCTCTATACACGGCTCTGGGCCGCCCCACTCCTACTCGTTGTTGCGTGGAGGATTATGTGACATCTCGTACCACATGATAGCCATGTTTTTGACAGCCCAAGGTCAATGTTGCCGCAAGGAGCCAAATTTTCGGTTTCTGCTCATGTTTAAAGTATAACTTAACAATATATATCCCATTTTTCGTGAAGCAAATAACATAGTACCTCTTAATCATGCTTTTTGTTTTTAAATCACTCCTCATCCCGAAATTTTTGGCAGAGTTGCCCTTTAACAGACCATAAAACGAACGCTGGCAGTGAGGAACTGAATGAACTTCCACTCTCACGTTTCTCTGGACATGCATCACTGTACATACACTTTCTGTGTTAAAGAAAAATCTTTTGGGGTCTCTTTAATAAAACTAGCTGGGACGATAATATTCCCTGGAGAAGGGGAACAAGTGGGACAAAGGACAAACAAATCTACAAAACAGTTTCCTCTACTGAGGTCCAACTCCCGGTTAGCTCAGTTGGTCGAGCGCTCCACTAAAAATGGAGAGGTCTCTGGTTCAAAACCAGGACCAGGCAGATTTTTTCGGTTGCGCATTAGTTATCTAGCTGTGTTTGGAGTTCTGTGTTTGTCCTTTGTCACACTTGCTTCCCTTCTCCAGGGAATATTATTGTCATTCTTGTCCAGCTTGCTGGCACCTTAGCATTAATTGTATTATCATGTTAAGACTTCAGGATTTTTGAAAGCATTGTCTTCCCATACTGCAATCAGCGACACGTGTAGCAGAAAATGGCAGTTTCCAAAGCAGGAGATATAAGGACTGTGCTGATACAGTAGCCAATGACAATCCCTTTTTGGCCCCTGGCATTTTTCTAACCCTTGTTTGGTTGCTGATGGTCAACATAAATCTTGCAATCCGCATAATTTAAGCTGGTTTTGAAGTCAAGACTGCCGGTTTACAGAATGATCAAAAAGGAACATACGAGAGCACAGCTGACACGAAAGTGATCTTGCTTGGCAAAGTTGTGTTGAAGGGTTTGCCCCAGGGACTCAAACGTCAGCTTCTCCAACTGCTCATCCTGCAGCAAACTAGAAGGCAACAGGAATAATATGTGATTTTGCAATCCAAAGGGAAATCATTGTGTTGGGCCCTGGCGCGGCCAACGACGCTAGACAGAGTCACGCTGTCTAGCGTCGTTGTCGGCAAGGACGGGCAGAAATGACCACCAGCATGCGATAGTGACTGATAGAACAAGAAGTGCGGGGCGTCTTTTGGGTGCCCAGTGTCCAGAAGGCACAAGTTGCTCAAAGTGTCGTCGAAGGTACGGTCGGCGACGCGATGACGGCAAGGAGGTCCAATGCGAGACCTTCAACACGTGTGTCGTGAAGGCCGACTGCAGGCAACAAGCGGGCGCTTGAGGACATCCGAAAGAGACGCCCTGCGAGTTTTGTTCTGTCAGCGTCGGTTGTGAATCCGGCATTTACCTGAGCAGGACCGCCAATTCCTTCTCAGAGAGGGCCATTACTCGTGTCAACCTGAAAAAAAGAGGGGGTTTGTGCCACGCACGTCAGCTATCCACAGTATCTAGCTAATGTGGTAGGTATACCCACGAAAGAAAGCACCACGCAAATGCCTAGGACGGGTAAACGCAGTTCGCCTCTTTGTGCCTTTCGAGCGTCACATTCCGCACCCTAACCAGGGGACGGAATATGAATATATAAAGTACGCAAGTCGAATAAAATGGAAAAAAAACTTACCTCATTTACCTAACTAAAGCACATGCAACAACAAACGTAGCGGCGTAGCACCCCGCTTGAACCATTACATTGATTAGTTTAATGAGGCCATATTTCGAAAGTACCACGTTTGAAATGCGGTAAGAGCTACAGTTACTGGCCAATACAATGAGTACATATAACACTTACGAAAAACAGTACAGCAGTCTTTTCTCAAAACGATCATACCGGCTGAAACTTTGGAAATGAAACCGATGAAACTAATCGCTACAGTAGGCTAGAGAAAAACGCTGGATGCTCATTTCTCAACTGGATGCATGCATACTGTTGAACCTTTTAAATTGGGCGGCGATTTGCGCCATCTATACTTCATTTTATTTACAACAGTTTTTTTTTTTTTTTTTTTTTTAAACGCGCCAGCGACGCTTTTTTTGGGAGCGACCGCCCTGATGCAAAAGGTTTTTCGTGCTACTGAGTAGTAGACTGGTACTGGTCAGAATACGGTTCAGACCAGTACCAGTCCAGCATGGGTGACCACCAGTCCCGCGACTCGCGGGACTGTCCCACCCTCCCGTATTAAGGGCAAGTGTCCCGCGTCCCGCAAGAAATTCCTGAATCTTCAAAATGTCCCGCATTTCATACTGTAGATTGACTCTGCAACTCATGGCGCAGCCGAACAACGGGGAAGCGCGGAGGTCGCTGGCACGTCCTCGTTGGTAATCCAAGCGTTGCGGGAAACGACCGTTGTTCATGCAGGAGATCCGACGCGCATTCTCGTTCTGTTATTCTGAAAATATTCTAAAAAAAAAAAAAAAAAAAACAGAGCTTTTGGCCTCCACATTTCCTTAGCTCTAGTTGGTAATGCAATTAAATGCAAAGGTGCAAGCGACCTGAATAAGAATGACGAAAATAATCCCTGGAGAAGGGGAACAAGGGAAACAAAGGACAAACACCAATCTCCAACCACAGCTAGGTGACTGGTGCACGACCGAAAAAATCTGCCTGGTCCTGGTATCGAACCAGGGACCTCTCCATTTCCAGTGGAGCGCTCTACCGAGCTAATTAGGAGTTAAACATCAGTAGGGCAAACGGGTTTGATCAGCTGCCACCAGTCAACCAAGAGTGAATGATCTGCATTTTTAAGGTAATGATGATAATGCAATTAAATGCAAAGGTGCAAGCGAGCTAAACAAAATAATCCTTGGAGAAGGGAAACAAGGGGAACAAAGGCACTCCACTGGAAATGGAGGTGCCTGCCTCGATACCAGGCACCTCTTCAGGACCAGGCGGATTTTTTCGGTCGTGCACCAGTCACCTGGCTGTGTTTGGAGATTTGTGTTTGTCCTTTGTCCCCCTTGTTGCAGTGCTGAATTCTTTGCTAAGAGATAAGTAATGGACTGCTGAAGAACTACTCTTGCATGTGTAGATGTCATGACATGCGACAGGTGTGCAGTTAACCAAGTACCGTACACATTTCAATTTACAATATTAAAAATTCTTGTACAAAAAAAAAAAAATTTGAAAATAGTATTTTGGAGAACACCCTAGAAACTATGACCATCAAGACTTACCTACAAGCAGATGACTGTATCAATAATGGTTTTGTATCCTAACACCTTGAACAATGAAAGTGAAAAAACGCAGGCAAGCTGGTGAACTAACTCCATAAAGATAAACCAGAGATTGGCAACGTTTTGGAAATGGAGGACGACTGCATAAATGTGACAATGTGAAATAAATTCAGTAGCTGTGTTTCGAGACGGTGAGCATGACTGTTCATTTTCTTGTTTGTTCCCAGTTCAACAAAGTTTGCGATGCGCTGCCAGGAGGACAACAAAACTAAGACAAGGTTTCTCCGCTTCTTTTATTTTTTATCTTTGCAAGTGTTTTCCTCTCCTGTGGGATGGAAGGAAGTAAACAGTTGTTAGTTTACACTTTAGTGTTTGTGTCATTATTCCCTTGTCTCAGTTTTGCTTTTGTCCTCCTGGCAGCGCAGTTTAAAATCAATGATTGTTCCCAGTGTCGGGTTTATCATTATGGAGTTGAACACCTTGAAGCTGTAATTTGGCAGCTTCACATTTAGAACACCACACTGTATACATATCAACAGTTTTATTTCAACACAAATGATTTGTAAAACACACACTGGCAGTCAGTCGTCAAACCGACGAATGCCTGTCAAGGGGGGGATGGGAGGGGGGGAGGGGGGGGGAAGGGGTGACTTGGCATTGCCAGTCTGATCACAACCGTGTGGCGTGTGTGACTCGAGTGAAACAAAACAATTCCAGCCATACATCTTCATCGTTTCAGTGAGTGTTGCGTTAAGGTGCGTGCATGACCCACCTCATCGTCATGGAGCCCGCAATGGAAGACCCCCCCGGGGGCGCCATCTTGGAAACGAGATGCCGCAATGGAATGCAAAGTTTGAGTGGCGTGCGAAAAAAAATAAATGTGTGCTGACACGGCGGTTCCACTTTTGGCACATCTCAGTGCGCTGGCACCTCGGCGCACACTCCTGCCGTTCGCATTCACCAAACCTTTATGTACATGTCGAGGTGTGTGCGTGAGCGTGTGCGCACAATCTGGGTGATGATGCAGCAAAATCCAGAGTATTATATTAGCTTCAGTCTTAAGCAGCGTTACATATATTACAACCGAGCCAGTTCAAGCTAGCATGACGAGACAGAACCTAAGGTATAAACAAATGTGTTCAATGTCAATGTCAGTCAAGTGAAACTGATGCAGGAAGTATAACCTAACATAAAACAAAAAAAAAAAAAAAAAAAGTCAAAGAAAACAAGGCCGTTTTTAGCTGCAATCCCCTTGTATATCTTACCTTCTGCAAAAATCTGAATCCCCACAGTTCATGTGGCTTCTTCAAATATTACAGACAGGATAACGCAAGGTTCCAACAACAATCAACATAGTCAGTGGAAGTGGGGAAAAAACATAAATAAGTGAAAATAGTGACACAAAAACTGTTCCTACAATAAATACCAAAAAAAAAAAAAAAAATGTGCAGAGACAAGTTTATGTTTGATACAAAGAGTATCCAATAAAATAGATTAGAATATTTGACAGCAGAGTGACAAACGATGCTCCGCAAAAAATACTAGGGTAGTCAACTTTCGATCAGAACAAAACTTTTCTTTTCAAAGCAGCCGAGATTGCTTTCACAAATGTCAGATTCTACCTCTCTGTCACACTCCAATTTTCCATACCTGTAACCTGCAGCACTGTGCCACAGTCATGTCATTCACTATTCGCAGCCTGTACCTTTTACTGTTCAGATGAAGAGTTTTGATACCTGAACAATCCAAGTACAGACTCATTGTGGCCATTGCTACCTTAAAAAGTCCTCAAAACTGAGAGAAGGCTACTCCAAAGTCTAGAGAGTTTGAGTCGTTCAGGGGGTGACTTGTCACGTGATTATCAACACCCTAAAGTTCTTTTAAATGCCTGCACTGCAATGAGCAATTTCAACAAAGCTTGTTGCACTTGGAAAAACAAGAGACATTTGATTCTTTGGGTAGAAAACATTATTATGGAACCAAAAATGGTGAACTTGATTATGAACAAACACCGAACCCTCGTAGTATGTCCTGTTTGCGACAAAATAACCAGGCTAGGGATGATTCGCGACAAAGAATGTCAACAGAAAGTGAGGAACCGCCATTGCCAGATCCAATTCTCGTAACCCAACGACTTGAGGCTAGAAGCCAACAACCAACTGAACGTATAATTTACCCTTGAAACTTCTTATCTATATCGCAAAAATACCGAGCAAACACTAGTGCCAACAAAAGCACCCAACCATCTTCCCCTCAAATTTCAGAACTAGGTAGCACTCACTAGCATTCATAAAGTCGACTATATTCGAAGTCGCACCCCGACCGCGGACAGGCGCTTCATCGGGTAAAATTAAAGTTCCGTCTTCACCTCCGACAGCAAAGCATGAAATAAACGCAGGGTCTCATATTGATTCGAATGTTGATGAACCTGATTTCTGAATGTTATCTTTTCGAGGATTTCTAAGATTCTTCTAAATGCTTCCAGCAGTGATTGTGGGAAACACGACGAATGCGCAAGCTTCCCACATGCTCTCCTCTTCGCACGAGTTTGGTGACAAGGTTCCTGCAGTCTCTAATCACGCTGAGAAACTTTACCGTCAAATCGTGAAAATGAAAGATTGGAACAACCCTGCAGCTTCTAGAGCCCGCGGTAAACCAATCACGTAAGCATAAATGCTGAATTACAACCCGGAAACCAAAACTGCAGGAGCGTCGTACAATTGTGACACGTGAAAGCATGATTTGTAAACGAAAGTAGGTAAGATGAACAGAAGTGTAAACAACCATTCCAGATTCAAACTCTGTCCACGTAAACGAGTTTAACGTGGGAACGGAAAAGTCCGGTTCCCAACGGAGTGGCCCGAAAGGGAACGTGAGCATTGCGTTAACGCGACCGAAACGTAGAGCGTCTCCGAAAAAACACAGCCGCCAACGTCGTCGTCGCCCTAATTCGTTAAAAACACCGAGATTCGAAGAAGTCGCTATTTACAGGGAAAAAAACGTCTTACGAGCACCAGAGTTTGGTCTTGCAGGAACGGGGGGAACGCAACGCGGAAGGGACGCCCCGAGAACGAAAAACGAGAGACGAGAAAACAGACATTGTAAAGATGTTTCGCGAGTTCATAAATTATGCGTCCGAAAACTGCTCCGAGATTCGTCGACAGATTGGGGGAAGGGACTGCTATGTACAGGGGAAACTATGTTACACGAGGCCTGGTTCGGGCGTGCCCCATCTTTTGCGACCCCCGTATTGCTCTTCCTCTACATCAGCCCGAGGGGAGAACCAGACGTTTCAGACGAGTCGGGCCGGCACCGATTTCCGGTGAACGTCGAGGTCCACTCGAAACGGCGGGACGACTCGAAACAACGCGGGAAGCAGCAGAAAACCGCTCTCCTAACAATCGTCCCCGGAAAGAACGCGAGGCCACGGCAATTCCAAAGGTGATGCAATGCAAAGACCACTCCGATAAAAGAAGAAAAAAAAAAAAGGGGAACCAATCGGTAGACTACTTTGTCTTCGTACGTCAAGGTGAGGAAAGGTTCCTCTACTACAGCTTGGTAGGCTGTATGTTGACGACACTGTGGTCATCGACAGAACAAGAAAAGCAGGTAACCTCCAGATTCCATTTTCCTTGGTCAAGAAATTTGAATCTGCGCAGCTCAGAAACTGGCCTTGCTTCGTTGCACTACGACTCCTGCGGTCTTCTTTCTGAGTTCCGACTGAACTACGTTGGAACGTTGGGGAAATCAAATGAGCCTAATGGCGGTTAGTTAGGCCTTACGGCAGTCGGTTATCGGATTAATTATATCTCGCATTACTACCGCATTTTGCTCCAACATTTGCTTCGACTGGAATTACATTTTCGAAAGGTGCAAACAACAACCTTTGCCTGTCTTTATGCGTGCAAGTGGCACCGTCGTCCCACTGCCACCTTAGTGGTCTTCCAAGACTGTCTGCAATAGTGTAAAGCTGGCCTATGTATCTTGTCAACACCTTGAAATGCCACGGTAGGTACACCACCCCTTTGAGCAAGTAGTAAAATTGTGACCACATTTGTGTTTCTCTTCCCAAAATCTCTGATAACTGCCTCTCCTCAAATTCCAGTCTCTAAAGATGAAGAGTTGAAGCAGCCGGCAAAAATAAATACTGTAAACGATTTAATTTTGGCGAATTTTGCGACCTAAAGATGATCGCGAAAAACTGATGGCGCAAATAAATGACCCAGTGGTAAGGAATATCACTCCAAACTGAGAAATTTTGTGTTTGAGAAATATTTCCAAAACCCACTAGGCTAAACTCACAAAATATTGAGCCCGCAAAAATAAAGTAATTTACGGTAGATTGAGTGCTTAATGGCAGACGAATGGACAAACTGATTTCGGATATTTCTCGATGCAATGGAGCTTTTCGGTTTCGTAACCAACACCTTCGACGTACGCCTCGATTGGGGCGTACGTCCTTGATTGAGGCGTACGTGCCACTTTGTTCGCGGACTGGAGTGGTCATCTGCATTGCTGGCGCCGTTCGGATTCCCGCCAACAGGCAAGAAAAGCGTTTCAGGGCGCTTCAGAAGCCCTGGACGAAGCTGCCGGGGAAGAGGCCCGTCTTGCCCGTGCGCTGCAGGGTCCCCTTGAACCAGCCGTCCTCCCGCTTCTTGTGGACGTACACCACGTCGCCCTGCTTCAGCTCCAGTTCGTACTCGCTGTTGGGCGGATAAGGCACGATGCAGCGGAATCTGCGATGCACATCGGACCGGAGGTCAGTTCGGCAAAGCGCTACGCTTCCAAGCAGACCAACTTCCCGCCATTAATGCGGACGGACGCCAGTAACTCACATTTCTCCAAACTAAAGCGAGTGCGGACAAGCCGGTTTAAAATAGACACACCCGGGAGTGGGGAAAAAAGGAGGGGTTTTCCGTCCCCCTTTGTTCCCCCCGATCCTCGGTTTCTATGGCTATGTCAGATATCGCGTTCATCCGTGGCACGCAACTAAGTACCATATTTTCCAGACTATGGCCCGTGGACCCTACACGTTTAAAAGTTGGACATTTACGCGGTGTAGGCTAGCTACAGGGACAAACCATACGAGGCTTCTTTTATTTTTATTTTTTACATCGTTCATGACGACAAGGCACGACAGATTTCGTGAATAACGGAGTTAGTTAGTGGTGACTTTGGCGTAATACAAGATCATTCGCGAGCTAACAAAGCGGGCCCTTGACAAGGTGCGATGCATACGAGAATTGTTACGTGCAGACTAGGCCCTAGGCGCAGACTATGCACCGAATACGAATTACCCGAGGAAAAACATATTTTTTCGTCCGAAATCGGCTCCCGCAGACTATCTCCGAAGTGCAAGCTCTAATCCGAAAGATGTGGCGTAGTCCGACGGGGGCGCTACGAAAGGCGGCAGGTGGCAGCCTCACCGTTCCCTGACGAGGGGCGCGGGCTGCTTGGGCCTAGTCTTGAGGCTGTCGCTGCCGTCCAGGGAACTCGTCTTCTTGTGCAGCGCTTGCTGAGTCCCGAGCGCCTCGCTAGGGCACGAACCGGACCTGCAAGCGGAAGCGGACAACCGTTCACAAACCCTCCCTCGTGACCAGGGAGTTCTCAAATTTTTCACTCTTGAGGAAAGTCCGTTTGACTGATGGCCCAGAAGCCCCTCCATCGGTTGATGGCACATAATGGACCTTTTTCCAGTAAGCGTCTGCGCACGCGCACACCCTTTCCACTTGACCTTGACCACCCTTTCGCCATTTTTGGGGGGCACTGTTTTCTTGCGGCACTAATCTGTTCCTATGGGAGAAGGCGAGTCCGGTTGCCCTCCATTTGTAGTAGGCGGCAAAACCGTCATGGGGCACTCCTTACCGGAAAAAGGTCCATTGCCCATAGTTGCACATCAAAGGGGTAAAAGTACTTGTTGTTGAGCTAGTTGGTGCTGACTGTTTTGAACCATGGTTAAAAGCGCTAAAAAGACGAAAAAAAGAGAGATAAACACGGGCACTGCTCGCAATTGTATTTGAAAAAAGAAGATAGAAGTAGAGATATATATGTTGATAGACCTATCGTGTGAGCCACCCTTCGGTGACACCAGGATTCTCGATAAAAGCAAGAATCAAAGAGCACTCGAAGTGCAAGAGGCGTACTTCATCAGGAAGAGAGGGCCCCAGTGCGTCAGCGACATGTCGATTGCATCGTAAATTGCAGAGATGCGTTTTTTTTGATAAATTTATGTAAAGAGGTTGTAGAGTGTGTATCCCGGCGCAGATTTAGCCCAGGTGACGCTAGGCGTATCAACATATATATATATATATATGTACTTCTACCTTCTTCCTTCAAATACGGTAGTGAGTAGTGCCCGTGTTTGTCTTTTCTCTAGTGTTCGTCTTTTCAATGCTTTTAACCATGGTTCAACACATTAAAGGGGTACTCCAGCAATTTGTTTTATGGTCGCCAATTCTCCCTCAAATTGGCTTTACACCACCGATAGACACGGCTGTACCAATACCCCAAGTATCGTATGAAGATAAAAACATTTTGCAAAGTTCCTGAATTTTCAATATTTCGTACTCATCCTGTTCCTTAAACCGAGAGCCCTTATTGGCAACACTGAAGTGTGACAACAGAAATGGTACAAGGTGGGCGGTAAACCCCGTTCCCAAATGGTTGCAAGACGTTTGATGGTGTGAAAAGAATGCTTGGAAGCTTATTCATTGAGAAGCATGAAAAAAATGCTCAACATACTCTGCATTGCTATGGCAATTTGGGCCAGTTGGTGCATGATCTCAGACTCGTAGACAATTGGTACATGATCGTAGACAAGAAGGGACGTTTACGTCTCTTCTCGTTTTGTGTTTTTCGGTACCTGTCTACAAACATACTCTGTTTAACACTACTTGGGGTGCGGTAACCAAGTGGGCTAGCGCACACCAGCTCGAACACATGAAGCGAAAGCTCGCGCTGCAGAACCCAGGGATCCTGGGTTCAATCCCCACCCCTGCCAGTTTTGATCTGGATGAGCATCATACTGGCATGCTGCCCGTTAAAGACCCCAGCCTAGTGGTCGTACCACACAGGCTAAATTTCTCATCTACGGCTGAGAGACAAGTCACCCATTGAGGCAGACTAAGTTCAGGCCCTATAAACATATCCACACCCCAATTTTGAAAACTACCTGCACAACCTGAAAGTCTGTACCATTTGCGACGTCACACCACTGTACAGCGTGCGGAAATTTGAATGTTGGTTTCAGCAACATCTTCATTTATGGTTTTCTCAATAGCCATCTTTAATTTCGAGACGATAAAAAGAATTCAAAGAATTCAACTGTCGGATTAATGCATTTAAGTACTCTCTTTTCCCAAGGACTGTTCACGACTGGAACTCCCTGCCAGGCGATATAATAACAGCATCACCAGAGTCCTCCTTTTTTAATAAACTCCGAGATTTTTGTGATTCTTGTATCTAATGCTCATTTATTAAATTTTTTTTTTTTTTTGCGATGAATGGTCTTTGTATAACGCTGTTTGCGTTTTTGGATCAGCTAGAACGAATATCCTTGTGCTTGTTACCTGCTGTTTTTTTTATTATTGTTTTTGTGTACACATATGTTGTAAACCACTCCTACCATGTCTCCTGAAATAGGAGACAGTAGTAATAATAAATAATAAGTAATAATAATAATAATATCGTGAAGACTAATTGTCTGGGTATTCAGAAAATGCAATTTGTTTCAGTAGCTCAATAAACAGCCAAAGTACCCCTTTAATGGATGATCTAAAGAATCGTCTCCTGCCTGGCAGAAAGCCAATTCAAAGTCATAAGTCAAATTGGACGTTTTAGTGATTTATACAGCGTAAGGTTGGTCACAATTGAAAGGGTGTAACGTCCTACAAAGCATACCAAGAAGGAATCGGGCAACTGCGTGACATACGCTGAATCTAAAGTGTATGTACCGGTCCAAGTAACGTGCTTGGATCTAGAGCACGACAAGGGAATATGCTCTCCCGAATATGTTACGTAAATATTGGATACTGAAATGAAAATTTAAATATACCTCCCACATTCAGAAGTAAGTTAAACATGATGAACAAAATCTGCTAACGACAATCATACATTTGTACTAATTTCATTGCAAACAGCCAATTCCAGCGAACGCTCGAAGAGCTGCCATCGAAGAGCGCGACGTGTCTTGGGGGATGCGACGCCTCTAGAGTGTTTGTGACGTCACGTTTAACTGCATAGGCAAGGCTATGACGAGGCTGGCATGAACATTGAGCTTCGCCACTTGGTAGCGTCAAGTCAAATTTGGGGGTTTTACGTGCCAAACCAACGACGGGCATCTGGCACGCCCCAGCAGAGGACTGAGGATTAATTTGGACCACCTGGGGATCTTTTGACGTGCGACCGAAAGCTCGATTACACGGCGCCTTCTCCGCAATAAGCCTCCGTCAGATTGCGGGCACCTCGGCCGGGATTCGAACCCGCCACATGGGGATCCGTAGGCCAGCGCTCTCGCCTAGGAGCCACCGAGGCGGCTCACTTGGTAGCGTCAACGCGTTACTACCTGGATGTTTGAGATGCCCTCTCCCCATTCCCCGCAGGAGTTGAATAGGCGGGGTCGAGAAGAGGAATCCGTTTGCGCGAGTTTGACCGCCTATGTGCGATTGAAGCTTGGTGCCGTACTTCCGCGAAGTGGTGCTGCTTTTATGGGAAGTTTATGAAATGATATTCAGAACATCCACCAGGTGCAATCTAGTCATCGGTTTATTCGTTTTCAATAATGCCATAGTGGCTTTTCAAACAGAAAATTGCTGCCTCTCTGGTGTAACCGGAACGTGGTTGACATTTAGACAATAAAATAGGTGCTAGAATTTCGCTGCAGTACCCCTTTGTTATGTATTGCAGGCAGGGCCTCGAGAGCTGAGCAGAGAGAAGCGTCTGGATGGTCTTTTTAATGGCACCTCAAACAACAGTGCCGTGCCCCAGAACGTGCACCAGTCCCGCGCTTTAGACCCGCGCTCTCAAAAGCGCAGGTGTCGAAACGTGCGCGCGGCTGGCTGTTAAACGATATTAGCACACTTTATACCCGATTTCTACCCGTAGCTTTGGAGGGCCTTCGGAACTTCCTTTTTAATGTTTCGTCAATATACGAAATTCACCGCAGTACCATTCCACAGACAAATGTAACTAGCAGGAGCATTCTGGTTTGGGGGAGAACAATCATTGATAGCCTTAGACCTGAAACAAAGATCTTGATTTGTAGATCATACTTATAGGGAACGAAATGGCTATAGTTTAATATAAGAAAGAGGGAAGAACAGGGTGAAATCCTAGCTAAAACGATTAAAAATTTCATCATTTTTAAGTCATAAAATTTTAAAAAGAAGCAAATGTTTGTCTCCCATATTTTACAAAATATCAAAGCTGTATGAGTCTCCGTACGAAAGCGGGGAAGGGTCGCGAGTGCCCCTCACCTGATGTGCACGACGGGCATGGTCGCAGCAGCGGCGTTGGAAGGCTGCTGAGACGGCCCTGAACCGGCGGCCGAGGAGCTGTCCACGAAGCTCGGGTTGTCGCAGGAGAAGTTGGGGGGAGGCGGGGACCGGGAGCGTCGCTTGCTCGTCAGGCGCTTCATCAGGCTCATCTTGTCTTTCTCCCTGCGCTCCTTCTGCTGAACACGCGCGGGTCTGCTCAGCACTCTCTGCTCGCTTAAAACGCTCTGCCTCCAATGGATAGCCCCCGACGCTCGTGAATCGCAGCTACCTTTCCAACTTCTTAAATGTGCGAACCATTTATGAGCCCTCCTCCCAAAATTTACAATTTTCAAAAACTAGGTTCTCGAAGGAAGGGTTCCAGCATGAGTCTACAGGGGACGTAGCCTTTAGTTTCAATGAAGGAGCGGAAGACAATCATGTGGACACCTTACGCTCGGTGTCGTCGACGTGGAACGTGCAACCTTAAGGGGGGACACTGGCTAGAGGTCAAACTTTCGAACTACTCAAGTGATCGGAATGAAATTTGCAGGGGAGATTTAGCTTCAGATGTAGGTGTACTGTGCAAACTTTCAGCTCTCTAAGACAAATTTACATACCTGCGTAAGACGATGTGTCACTTTTCATTAAGAAATCTATGATATGCAAATCAAGCTATTGAGCATCATTTTCACTGCTTGAATGTAAAGTGGGGGATATGGGACCTCGGGCTATCTAGTTTTAATAACTTAAATGTAAATATTTCAGGAAGAGTTATTACCTGAAACTATGAGATGCATATCTGTCCTCTGTCAATTTTTGAAAACTTAGTTTTTTATCACTGAGGACTTCAACCTAAAACAATATAAAATAGATAGCCTGATTCCTGAGTAAATTTCAGTTCAGAAACATCTTGATTGTGGTATCAGAATACTTTCACCTTCGAACAAAAGATTCCTTCGTATGAAATTTGCAGCAAAAAGTGGAACTGAGAAAAATGCATTCAAACATTAAACTCCTATACTTTGTTACTGCCTCACAATGTGTTGAAAATATTTTATATCAACGTAACTATTTGGCGTATGGTTATCAAATTTGGTGTAAGGGTGTATAATTAGTTTCTAAAACTGAAAACGTCAAAATTAAAAAATGAATTTTTTCAAAGAAATTTAAAATTTAGGCCCATGTCCCCCCTTAAGGATTTGAGACTTGGGAAAGAGTGTCGCCATATAATGTGAAGCTCTTCCAGTTAGAGATACGACCAGACACGAGGCAAATGGCGGTAAAAATTCGAGGCGGTTCCCACGACTCTTCACCACACGCTTCGATTGGCGTAAGTGTGAATCGCTTAAAGGCCGACGTACACCCTTACAACCGGAAGATGTGGGGAGGGCGCTTGCTCAAGTGCGGGCGCATGCTCGGTATTTTACGGTAGTTCATGTTCGACCAAATACGGTATATTCCTGAACAATACAAGCATTTACTTTTCCTGGAGTTCAAAACGGACGACAGACAACCAACTCGCGCGGTTCTCCTTTGTGCTGTTGGCACTTGACAGCTAATCAGCATGAGAACATGAAACGAAACACTATGTCTATTTACCTGGTCCGAAATAAATTGTAGTCATTCTCTATTGATGGAAATTAGCACTTGACACCTGTTTTTATCAAACAAAAGTAACTCTGCATTAAAAACATTAAAAACATTTTCTTTTTCTTTTGCTAGTTTAGGCGCAACATTTACGCTTGGACCAGGATGGGGCAGTGAAAGTGGACTGGCGCACAATGGTGCAGTGCTTCCACCCCTGCCATCTTCCTTGCAGAAAACTGAGGTTGGACGTCGGCCTTTAAGGTCAGTCTGTTCAGTACGCAAAAACTGGTGAATGCAAACTTCCTTTGCTAGAACTGCTTTCAAGTATAGAATCCATGTTATACATTACAGGCTGTCCTTTTCCGAAGCCCCAGCATGCGCTCGTTGCTTTCACACATACTTTGGTCGTGCGTGTGCGCTCGGGGCTTACGAGACGCCAAAGCATTATCGAAGCAAGGGAACTCGCGCTGGAGGCGGGACAAGTGAAGCTCAGCGACTACAGAACTCTGCAAAGAGAGGAGCTCCACCCACCTTCTCCATGTGCAGCATGGCTGCAGACGAAGGCAGGGCAGTCGGGGTGGAGGAGGAGCATCCCGGAGACACGCCCCCCTGGCTGCCTGCGACCGTCACGCCACCGCCGGGGGGCGCGGCCCCGGACGAAGGGGTCGCGGCAGTCGGGGGCGTGGCCTGGCGGGGAGGGGACCGGGTGGGAGTGGCGGCGCAGGCGGAGGACGGCACCCAGGGGGCGTGGCCCCCGTAAGGGCCGCCCTGCGGGGGCCAGGCCAGGAGCCAGGGCCCCGCCCCTCCCCGCTGGGACGGGACGTGCGGGCCCGGCGGGCCGGCGGTCGAGGTCGTCACGGGGACTGCCTTGGCCACGCCCAGTTGCTGCATCTGCGTCCGAAACGTCGTCTCGTTTCGATGATCCACACTCGCGCGAGTAGTTAAAGGGGCACTAAAGCAGATTTCGAGTTGGCCTTTTTATGGCCAAAACTCGGTTTACGTGATCCAATGCTGCGGTCACACTGCTCGTACGTCGTGCAAAAGACACAGTGTTCGTCACAGACACAATGACGGAACTATATCTGCAGACACGCCTCCCACACGATCGGAGCATGTTTGCTTTCTACGTATGTATGCTTCCAACGTGGCTGCAGACAGTTTCTGTACGACCAACGCGCCAGGACCGTCCTACGAGTAGAAAGCACGCCAGAGACAACAGCAGACCGTCTTTTGTACGGCGTATTAGCAGCGTGATTGCGGCTGAAGCGAAAACCCCAAACTACAATCATGTGTGGATTTATTTTTTAGTCCTATTATAAAAAAATGTCGCAACATTTGGCCGCATTTTCTTTTTCTTTTTTTTTTGCACGATTATAATCTCGCGTTTTCTACAGTGCTTAAAGGGGTACTCCACCGGTTTTTTCATTATCTCCGATTTGCTTGAAATTTTGCTAAACTAACCAACAAACATTGCTAAAATAGTATCCCAAATATTAGATCAAAATATTGTTTTTTCGCGAAGTTATTGAATTTACAGTTTTGGTCTTCACCATGTTTTTCAAACTGAAAGTCTCTACTGGGAACAACAACAAAGGGACGTCAGTGGAAGGCAGGGGTTAACTTTTTGGACTACAGAAGTTGTTCCCAACGGATTTGAAGCAGTTTCTTGGTGTCAAATGAGTGCTTTGGAAGCTCGCTCCCGTATCCGCGCTCCTGCACGGAACAAATGATTGGCATATTCTATTTTTAGACTACTCGCTCGACTGAGAAGCCTGCCTGCCACTGACGTCACGGCACTGAAAAGTGCGCAAATATTTGAATATTGGTTTTTGCACCATTTTCATTTGCCGATTTCACAATACCTATTATGAATTTCGCGATGCTAAATAGCATACCGGAAAGGCTAAGGGCCGGGGAATGAGAAAATATAGTTAGTTGAGGTAGCTCAAAAAATCGGTGAAGTACCCCTTTAAAGGGACACTGACAGGGTATTTATGCTCGCCGAGGTTTTTAGTTGTACGTGACATATGAGAGCTCAACTACCCAGAACAGAATTTGCGACTCGAAATTCGGTTTCTTTCCGCCCGAAAACCGCCGATCAAAAACTGGCCGGTTCGAGTCTCGCTCACTCTCTTTTCCGCAGTCACGGGCCGTTTTCTAAGGTATCGATGCGATCACCAAATTTAATATAAGTCGTAGGTCACTGAAGGCACACACTCAATATTAAAAATAGAAAAAAATATGAAACCCATTTTTTTGTGGCTTCTAAAAAGCTGCAAATACGTTGATTGAAAAAAAAAGTTCCACAGACAACCGGAAGCATTCTGTGCGTTTGTCGTTTCGCGTATCGTGGGACTCGCTGGGACGGCGATGGCAGCGGACGACGGGCGTAGAACCTCTATTTCAGAACTGTCGTTCGCTGTACCGGCGAATTCTGTCTACTTTTAAAAAAAGAAATTTGGGACTGATCAAAAGAATTGGTATTCATCCCGTACGACACGCCCGACCCCCAAGCCGATTTGGACGAAGACGTCGCCGAGCCGTTGCTCCCTTCTCGTTGCTGAAGACATCGCTCGCGCAAACGTCAAGCACGACGTGTCTACTTCGAGTTGAATATGCACGCGTAAGATTTCTTTACTAGGTGTGGATGTCGCCAATGCGTGGTGCTTTCCGGCTTCGACCCGGGAGTGCTTTTGCTAGAGGAAAATTGGCAGGAAACTTTCCAACTTAGTTTACCGGCTGAATTATTACTAGGGAAAAAGATCCGCCAGTGAAGAGATCCTCCAGTAGCTCAGTGGGAAAGACGTCCGCTTCCTACGCGATAGGACCGGGTTCGATACCCCGTGGAATTTTTTTTTTTCTTTTTTAAACATTTTCCGATGTTTACATATCTTTTTTTTTTTTTTACAATTATTGCTGAAGAAAGAAACAAAAAAATAACAAACAAATGTTGTGGACGACACTTCGCTGAATTAAATGGTATGGGATTTCCTTTTTGACACCTGCGAACTCAATGTAATCACTTTTCACAAAATACAAGGAGCATATAAATCAGGTAGCGTCCGCTTTCCGAGGTGCCCGTATATGTTCTACAGGAATTGCAGCCAGCCATTGGTACCGATCCCGTTGATCTTTCGGAAACTCTGTCCCACAATGCCCCCTTTTTTTTTTTTTTCGGACGCAGGACATGTGAGCCAGCTCTTCACGCAACATCTTGGGTGTATTCTTTTCGGAGCCAATCATGGAAATTCACCACGGACACCCACTACTCATCTCCAACTCCTCAATGTACAAAACAACTCATATTGGAGTACAGAACAACGAGCGGAACAAACATGACTGCAAAAGAATCGCACGGCGAACAGTTCCCATACGCCGCATGTCGTGTCGTCTTCTACAAAAAGGAGGAGAAAAAAAAAACAAAAAAAAAAAAAAAACGCACGGTCGGGTGTAGCTATGTGACTTCCGCCACTCACTCCCTTCTCTCCACTTCTCCGATCTCCGTCGGGTTTCGGTTTCGGTTTTGAGCAGTTGCGTCTTTTGGCTTTATTAAAAAAATATGCTACTCTGTTGCAAAATATTAATTGGGTAGTCCTCCGACACCATAATAAAACGCCTGGCAAAAAATGAAAAAAAATTTTTGGGGGGTGTCAGTATCCCTTTAAAGGACACATGCAAAGGAAAAAAACATTTTTTTTATACGGCTTAGATGGAAAAAGGACACCATAAAACGATTTTACAACAAAGAAAAAAAAATTTTAGAGCTATATTTACGGTGCAAAACGAATTTGTGGTTGGCGCCCGCGGGCACCGCGGAAAAGTGGTCCGTATTTATCACGTGACTGGTCCTTATTTATCACGTGGTGCTTGCGTTCTTTCGGAAGCTTCCTATGGCCTCTAAAAGTAACTTATTCATCTTTGTTTGAAGTATAACAAAAAAACTAAGATGAATAAGTAACTTTTAGAGCCCAAAGGAAACTCCTGAAAAAGCGCAAGCAGACGTGATAGACCTGTGCGCCGGTCAGACGACGGCGGCGGCGCCCCGAAGCAGACGAACTTGTGCTGCGGCGGCGACGACGGCGGCGTAGAGAAACGCTTTGAAGCGGCGTTCGCACAACGCTCAGTGTGCGGCGGCAACGCAGCGCGGCGGCGCGCGGGCCTACCACGTGACCAGCAGCGGCTCCCGCGAGCGCCAACTACAAATTCGTATAGCGCCGTAAATATAGCTCTAAAAATTTTTTTCTTCGTTGTAAAATCGTTTTATGACATCCTTTTTCCATCTAAGCCGTCTAAAAAAAATGTTTTTTTCCTTTGCATGTGTCCTTTAAGGGGTTACAGTTTGCACTCCAAAAAGGCAATCTCAAAAGCCACTCTAGTGCTCCCAATAGATTGAACTCCCAAGAGCGCCGTTTTGATCTGCAAGCCGGCTTTCTTTCCTCCAAAAAACCGTGTCAACCGCCCGGAAAAAAAAAAAAAGAAATTATTTTGTGGATGGACGGGGAGAGGGTGAACCGGTGAGACCTTAAAAAAAGAAGCGGCCAATGAATAGCCGCAAGGTTGTGTAATATATCCCCAATAAGTGACTTTTTGAGAGTAAACAAGTTTTCTAAATGTGGCGTACTTGTTTGTTGTCAAATTAATTAAAACCTATATCGAATAGTAGACTTTTTTTGCGAGTTCGGTATTAACAGGTCTGACTGTAGCCCGTTCACCTTCAAGCTAAGAGCTCGCTGGCGTTAGCGGTGCTTTGGTTGCGTGTGCCCGTGCGTTCCCACTTGCATTAGCGAGGGCAGAAAGCACGCGCCGAAGGCGAAGCTTCTAGCATCGGCTTAAGGGTGTACGGAGCATAATGACGACGTTTCAGGCAAGAAGGCACCGTGGGCCTCGTTTCCTAGGTGGGTTCCGGGCACGACTCTCAAACGCGCACTTACGGGAGGTTTGTGTCCCATGGGGCTGGGCGTCGTGGACGGCGGCATCCTCTGCGGAGACGGCGTGGCCAGTGCCCACTCGCCGAGTGGCGGTGCCTGCCCCTGCTGCTGTCCCACCGCCACCGTCGGGAAGGGCACGGGCGCCACCACGGGCTGGGCCACCATGCCGCAGCGCGGCCGGGGGGAGGTCGGTGCAGGGATGCGTGTCGCTGGCTGCTGTTGCTGAAGGCCCACCAAGCCGACGTGGAAGCCGGTGGCGTTCGATCTGCGCGGTCGGGAGATGACGCCATTACCCGTGTCCCAGCAGAATTTATGGCGAACTGCTAGGCACTTGTGTTGCATACGTAAAGTGCTCTAGCGTCACAAACTTTTAGTGTTACTCTTAAGTTTCTGTAGAAAGAAAAGCTACAGTCGCTGACCGATTTTTAGGACACGTTCAATTGTTCGGACGTTTTCGCTGAACCGCCACTCACCCCATAGAGTTAATGTATAACATGGACCGAAATTTCGGACGCCATAAAGCATGTTGCTCGGTATTTCGGACTTAATTTGCGTGATACGCCCTCAGTTTTTAGCCACAAAACAGCTGCCGCGATAGCACTGCAAGCTTAGTTGCCGCCATTTTGGTCTTACGCAATAAACTAGGCTATACACCAGCTCATGTTTACAAACAAACCGGAGCGCCCGGAGCGCCCCTAGCGGAAGCCACCGGCGCCGCGCATGCGCGATGGGGGTGTGGGCAAAAAGCTCGCCGTCGCCCATAAACAAACCATTGAAATGCGATGTTGTCGGCGCCGGTGTGAGTCCCCGCGCTCTTTTTCGCGTTGGAATTGTTGATTCTACATCCTCCTAACGATGTCTGACTACTTGAGCAGCGTCAGCGAAATTAACGAGGCTCGTTACACCACAAAACTTCGCGTCAATAATGTGACATGCTGCGATTCAATCCGCGTGGACTCCGCAGAATGTACGCTAAAGCCTCATTCGCAAGATGAGATTTCGCTCGCAATTTTCAGTCGCAACGTCGCTCGGACTGCAAAAGCGTGAACCGCAGCTGAGATGGTCGACATCGATATTGAAAATCTAAAGCAAAATCGGACCATGCGAATCAGGCCTAGCAAGTCGGTGATGGTCACTGGTAACAATGATCAACATCTCCTTGTATCTCCTGTTTACATCGAGCCTGCTTACCAACCTTCAAATTTAAGACTTTTGAGGCGTGCACTTACTTCTTATCGCAAGTACCGGGCCAAGATATGGTCTACGGGCCGGCGTTGTCTAAGAGAGCAGACGACAAGCAGACGACAAGCAGACGACAATTCGAACGATCAGGTGGCCGTTTAAACTTGAAGACGCACTGAATGTGGTCAGCACAACTTGGCGGTCTTCTGGCGTTCATGTTGGAACAAAACAAATAAATCTGATGACCACCAGTATCCGTGAATTCAACCCAAAGTGCTTCCCGCCCAAGCAATCGTTGTCCGACGGCGTCTGTTTTTCCCTTTTCACTGCACATATCCATATTCTCGGACGAACCGAGCACGTGAAAACTGACCTTCAAACCTTTCTCGACACCTCTGGCACGGCCCCAGTCGCGGCGTTTTGACGAGAAGGCAAGTTTTTGTCTCTTTCCTTTCAAAACAACGCAGGAATACACGTCTAGCATGGGGACTTCTGCCCACAGCTCCAGACCGGAAGTGCGACCGACGCGCCACCACCGCGCCGTGACGTAACAGAGATGAGTTCGTGTATAGCCGGGTTTTTCTGTTCTGCTACAGCCAACCTGGCCGCCGTCTGCCCATTCTTATGGTTCTTACAGTTGTTCTCGTGGTCCGCGCTTTTTGGGTGCGACTGCGAGAACAGCGGCTGTTTGCCGTTCTTGTGGTCTTTGAGCGCGAAGGTTTTTTGCCGACAGGCTTAGTATTGAAGTGAGCTTGGTCGAGTATAAGCTCATTATAACAGAGTTGGTTACAGTATAGACCACTTACAACATAACCGCTTATAGTGCAGGGCCGGGTATAATGCGGCTTTTTTAAACCACCGGAGGCGATCCCATAGAACTCCATGTAATTACATACCGCTTAAAATGCAGGCGCGCAAAGGGAGATACCGGCTATAGTGCGGTTTCTGGAACAGCGCGCCGACCGCGCCGACCAACCGGCGCAGCGAGCACGCTTCCCTGTGCGACACTCAAGCGACACTAGATAACGGCGCTAGCCGCAAGCGGTACTCGCGGGGGCAAGGATGGCAAGGAGGTTGCTCGAAGAAGCGGGGAGAAGCAAAGAGAGAGGCTTCAGTAGACATAGCGACGGAGGGACGCACGCACGTGTCATCCACGGCGCAAGGCGCTGGAGCGAGCTCAACCAGCCCAACTTTCCCCCGCTGCGTTGGAAACAACCGCAACGACAGACCAATTGCAGGTCGAGGAGAACTGTTCGCTCGCATTGCATGCCGGTTGCACGTCGGCTTCTTCTATCCGCAAACATGCGTCGGTGGTGATCGTCGACGTAGACGGCATTGTGGAAGCTCATCGTTCCGTGCAAAAGCACTATCCTTGACTGTGAATTTTCGTTGTGTGTCGCTATGATAACCCAGCATGTACTAGAAGGGAAGATCCACCTACTCGTGCGGCAATGTCGTGGCGGCACTCTCAAGACGGCAGAAACGCCCGTGTCGTCGTGTTTGTTTACTTCAACTACAGTGGTGCTTTCTAAGCATTTGTATTTTCAAACATCGCACGGATTTCTTATTTGGAGCATTGCATGCGTGTGCTCAAGTTGAAGGTATTACTGGCGCGTACCGTATAAAGGATGCGAATTTTCACGCGTTTTCATCACCTGACAAAGGTGATTAGGGTTAGCAATCCTGAACGCTCGCAACGTCCGTCCACAACCCGCGACGCCGTTAAAAGGCTGCGCCAGGCAAAAGTCACTCATTTCTTTCAAAATGTGTGACACACTTGAGACAGAAGTGTACTAGTCTGGTGAAATAAAGACTTTCCTCAAACTAAGCTTTATTTTTCATCTAATATAAATTGTTTTACAAAGGTAAGTTGTCTCATGGCATGTATTTTGGCCTGAAAAATTTATGTTTTGGTTATAGCGCGGTACTGCTTATAGTGTGGGTTTTCGCGACTCCCGCGACATACGTTATATGCTATCTACACTGTACAACAGACATTTGGATATAACATACCGGTTTGTGAAGTTCGGTTGGTTTTCCTCTATATACCGTTGACTCAACTTCATATCTGCATTCAACATACTCCTCTTACAACAGACCAAAATCTTGGTCAAAATCAAGGTCTGTTATAACGAGCTTAGACTGTAATTGTTGCCTCCAAATAGTGCCGAATGGTGCCAACTTCAACTTCGCTGTTTGTGCCAACAAGGCTGCCGACAAAGCACAGCACCGTGATCAAACAGATAACAAAAAAAGTGAAAAGTGAGCAATATAAAGCAGAAGTTGCACGACAAGTTAAAAATGACATCAAGCAAGTGGAAGGTGGCCAATACGCAGCGGAACATGAGCGGAAATTTGATAATTTGGCCGATATAGATTTTTCGCGTCCGAAAAATCGGTCGGCGACTGTACACGCGACCAAAAGTTTAATTACTGCTTATTGAAATTTTATGACTGTCATAAAAAATATTTCCGGAGAACATTGCAGTGTTTGTTGTTGTTGTTCAATAGAAATTCTAATTCTAGAGCACTTAGCGGAGAAGCGCCGAGAGAGATATGCCCGAGACAGTTGAGGGTGTAGGGTGGACAGACTGAGTTAGTGCCCTTAAGAGGGGGTCTCAAAATGGTAAGGCAGGCCGTGTGGGACGCACTTGGCGGGCTGGACGTAGTTGCCCGGGAAGACCCCCGAGAGGCCCGTCCTGAGCGAGGTGCCCTTGAACCAGCCGTCCTGGCACTTCTCCGTGACAGAGTAGAGTTCGTTCTTGCGCAGCTCCAGCTCATCCTCCTTCTGCGGCTTGTAGTTGTACAGGGCCACATAGCTGCAAAGGAAGGTGCACACATGCCCTGTTACCCGGCAGCCTGGCTTGGCACCCTGCACCTGAACATGGTTGAAGTTTTTAGAGTGCAGCTCTTAGGTGCCCGTTTCCAGCCTGAGCGGCGTCACCGTCGCTGTCGGCGTAACCGTGCGGTGCATTATGGGTAAATTGCCCGCTAAATTTAGAGGAAAAATTTCCTTACTAGATTTAGTGGAAAAGTTTCCCCGCTAAATCTAGTGGAAAAATTTCCCTGCTAAATCAGCGGAAAAATTTCTCTGGGGGGTCACATGACCCCCCATGTGCCCCCCCCCCCCCCCCCCCCCCCCCGAACACGTGATCCTCAGTACCCTTCCCTCCTCCTCCTCAAGAGCTGCGCTCTAATTCGGCGTTACAGGGAGTTGTAAACGGCTTTCACTTTTTTTTTGTTTTTTTTTTAAGGTTTTTTTTTAGTGGATGGTAAAAACAAAAAGAGATCAACGTGCAGTTTTTATTTAAATTATTATCTGAGGGGAGCAGGTTCAGTGCTTGCAAGCTGTTCAGGTCGGCAAGCATTGAATGAGAATATTAAAGGTGCAATGTTGTCGCCTTTCTTCCACTCGGTCTTATTTTGCCGCATCCATTCCTGCAATATTCCGGCAGTCTCAGATTCCGAGCCGAAGGTAGTCTGTAGACCATTTTCGAGCGACGGTTGCCACTTTGAAATAGGACGTAGTTGGGTTGGGCGACAAAGAATAAAGTAAATAGTTTAAGCATAACTACAATAAAAAAAGTAGGACCAAGGAAAAAGTAGAACTATTGGCACAAACCCCTTGAATTCTAGCACCTTCCAAATGGCAAAGAAAGTGATATGCTATTTTGCCCCAACTCAGCTACATCAGAATTCAACATGGCGGCCGTCACAAAAAGCCAATCTAAAGAGCTTTTCTGTCACGTGAGAAGCTCTCATCCACTAAATAAATTCTGAGAAGCGTTAAAAATCCCAAATAAAAAGACCCCGTGCTCCGATTGCCACTACCTCTAAAGCAGCCCACAAGTGAAGCGAACATCCATTTTTGCGCGTACGTGTCCTGTGCGCAGAGCGTCCACTTTCAAAACCATGAATAGCAACTGCAAAGCGAAACAAGGTACAAATATAACACTTATACCCTAGTTTGCCAAAGACGTAACAAATAGCAGAAACCCCCCCGATGGGCACGTGGTTTTTAGGCACAAACTTCAAATGTGCAATCGTCGCCACAGAGGTACGGCGACAACCGCCAAAGGTTCGAAGGCCGCCGTCCCAAGACAAAAGAGCACAGTATGAGAGACAACAAGCAAAGGCTCACAAGGAGGAGATGGCTGCCTGTGGGGTCGGTTGTTGCTGTTGCTGTTGTTGCTGCTGCTGCTGCGGTTGCTGCTGCGGCTGTTGGGTGGTGCCAGCGACCAGCAAGGCCGAACACTGCTCGGTCGCCGAATGTCCGGCCGAAGACGCGTGCTCGCGCTCACGCCGCCCGCTGTGGCGTCGCACCACCCGCCCCGGCACTTCCACCGGAACCTGCACGTGCCACGCACTCCTCAAACGCCGGCGCTTGCATCTCGACGAAATGCGCGGGGCTCGTAACGTGAAGGCCCGTTTGCACATTCGGGTTCGCTTAAGACCGAACTCTCGCAATCTCTTACGACGAGCGAACACGCTGCTGCCGTCTACGAGGTGGCCGTGGAACTGCATTTCACTAGAGCGAGAGTTTTGCAGCATTCGCAAGATCAAATGTATGCACTAACTGTGAGAAACGGCGATTTATAACATTGTCGTAAATTTTTAAAGCGAAAAAAATAAAGAAACAGTGCGGGAATAAAATAGAAAGAGTGCGGAAGTGCCTCTACGGCTATCCAACCGACAGTGCCAGCATGCCCTCTCGTCGTCGTAGATTTTAAGGCACGTGGACGTAAGCAGTTGCACGAAGCCTGGAGCGCGTCTTCAAATAGTGCACTGACTGCAACGTTGCATGGGTGGGACACGAGGGTAAACACGCCAGCTGAAGACGGACTCCAGGCACTGTAGTAATGCCGCTACAAGTACCTTGCCTACGTAGCTCTACAATGAGCCAAACTCCCGTGTCTCCTTCCAGTTTTGAAGTTAAACGACTCTGACACGAGTTATGTTTTTGTTAGAGCCTCGCTTGGTGATTGCTCGGCGGGAAAGGCTGCTCGCTAAAATTTAGCGGGAAAAGGATGGACCCTCTGTCTGTGATGTTACGTACATCTGTCGGTGATATGACGTCTGTCCGTAGCATACGTCTATTCGTAGCGCGACATTTGTCCGTGATGTTACGTCTGTCTGCGATGTTATGTCTTTTCGAGATCCCCCTCAAACACAAATTCTTCGTTAAAACCAACCAAGAAAATGCATCTTTTCTCGCATCCATTTGAATGCCTACAAAGTAAAGCAACTTCGAGGAGCCCACGGTTGGAACACGAATCAGGGAACGGTGCAGGACCGGCCAAGCTTCACCGAGCAGGAATTGGTGCCGCGACGGTAGAGGACAAAAGCGCTAAAACAACGGAGGAGCAGAATAATGACAGACACCGCAGAGTGCTCAGCGGTGCTCATCATCGTTCTACTTGTCCGTCTTTCTTAGAGCTTTTATCCTCTACAATAGATTACCAACTAGCCCAAGTAAGCTCCGTAAAGACCCGCACATGATATAAAATGTTTTCGCAACTTCTGCCTGTAAAATGTTTGCTTGTATTATGTGCAGAAACAAATGATTCTAAGCTTCTGTGGGGAACACGCAAATGAGGATTTGAACAGTTTCGGTCTCCAGCCATCATTGTCGGCAAGTTGCGCTTCCACCTGACGCAGTCACCGAAACGTTTTCGTTTCTTTGTGTCCTGCATACCGACGTCTCCAGCTCTTCCCACACATCCCGCCAAGCTGCGTGATGCCATCATCACGGAAGCAGTATTCAACCGCATTTAAACGAAAGGTTTTATCAGTGGCCGAGAGCGTCGGCAACTGTGCAGCGGGATGAAAGTTTACGGTGAACGAAGGCTGCATTCATGAACGAAAGAGACCAAGAGATGCCCCAATTGCGTGCAGGGGCACAAGAAATCTTTTCCGGGGGCCAAGGACCAAAAAGGTTGCCAAAATCGAACTGGACCCAACTCAGTTCGTGAAGGAACAGTGTGTTCTACACTTCGCCGTAAACAGTGAGCAGCTGCAGGCAAACGCCGTGGACTCGCGTGTTCCTGGGTCACATTACACGTGGATCGAACAATTCTGACGCAAAACACTCTTCCAATAGGTGTTCGGCATTTCGTTAAGCCCAGATAAAAGCGTGGTCGTGATGCTCGACGCTGATTGCTTTTGAGTGGGGGGGAGGGTTTTGTTGTGGTCGAACCCAGACCATTTAGGCTATTAAGCGAGCGTCTTTCCGGCATGTCACGACACAACACCGTGAGTCGAGGTGACATCTGGCAGGAAAGCCCTGCAAGGCATCCGCTCTGCGTCCGGTAGACGGCAACTTGGCACCCTGTTGCACGTTCTTAAAACTCGGTTTATTGCCGGTATCTCCATTCCAGGAATTGAGTGTACATGCCACACTAACTCACGAAGCGTGCCCAGAGTTTAGACGCCCCATTTTTCACCAGTTACACATTGCCCCGCAATTTGCTACGCACCTTTTTCTCGTGACTCTCAAATTACATCTTGTATTATGTGCGGGCTCGCGTAATAGGCAAGTTTTTACGGAAATCTTTTAGAGTGCCTACCTTGGCGGAGGGTGTGGGTATCCGACTGGGCGACGATGCCGACCCCTGGGGGTTCCCATTGGCCCCGTGGGGTTCGGGCTCTGAGCCGGAGCTGAGCACTTCCATGGAGTGGCGGTGGGGCGCGGGAGGGGAGCGGCCCCCGCCACACGAGGAGGAGCCCAGTGCCGAGAGCGAGTGGCGCTTCTCCCTCCCGGCCAGCTGGCTTGCCGGTGCGGGTGGCGAAGACGACGGCGGCGTGCCGGGGCTTGGCGAGGACGACGCGGGAGACGTCGTGCTCGATTGCGACTCTCCAGCTGCAGCGCCACGGAGGGAAAAAAATGTTTCTGCGCACAGTCTACACTATCGTGTTAAGAAGACACTGAACTCTGGCGAAAATATGTTTTTAATGTGCCTCTATGGGGCACATATGCCATAAATAAAACTTTCCACAAAAAAATTAATATTTTTAGCGCAATATTTACGTCTTCAAAGCAGTGTGTCGAACCGAAAAAAATATGGGTTCGGCTACAGTTCAGGTTCAGGTAAATTAATTTTGTTCCAGTTCAGTTCCGGTTCGATTAATTCGATCCACGAACCGGTTCGCGAACCGGTTCGGAAATTATAAATGACAAATTGCAACATCAAAATAAATTACAAATAAAACATCTGAAATCAGCACATACGAAACGGGATACATCGTAGTGTAAGGCTCAGGGATTTCTACCAGGAATGGTTTCTTTATGTGCACTCAAAGGTTACTTCACCAACGTTTACGCATTCGGACTTCATCTAATTGGGTCCGACGCAGTAGCTGTAAAATCCGCGACCTCCTTACAAACCCACTTACAAGTAGAACTCGTTAACCATCCCGCCACCTCGGCGTGTAAGCAATTGAAGGAACAGTGGGGAGAAAATACAGCTTTCTTTATTTGAACTAGCCTTCGGTAACTCAAATTAGACCCTTAAAGAAGTTTTCATTAAGCAAGATACGGAATATGAAAAACACTTCACTGAACGCAACGCCAGAAGGACGTAATAGGATAAATATTCAAATAGAAGAGTTCGCTGTCTCACAATTATGTTAGCTTCTAAGTGCCTATACGAAACCGGATGCATTATTATCAAACTCCACAGCCTTTTCTTTTCTCATTCCGATGGAAGCAAGCTTCAAGAACTCGTGCGTTCTAGAAACGTGTTATGAAATGAGCACACAGCAGCATTTAGGATTTACGAGATTGTAGGAAAATGAAATCCCGTGACGCAATTTTTTTTTTTGCACAGCCTTCCTATTCTTTTTGTTCCGTGCAAGCCGCGACCAGTGCAATACTGGTTCCTATGTCAAGATTCATGGATGCAGCGTTTGTCAAGATTCATGGATGCAGCGTTTATATTCCTAAGACGTACTGGGTGGAGAAGAAAAATATGTAAGCGAGGTGTGTGTCAGTTGACAGCACTTAAAAAACAAATGGCATTGATAGCACAATCATTGTCAACAGCGCGTGGGCGAACCGTTTAGACATGAGCCGGTAACCGTTATTTTTTTTCCGGTTCAGTTCCGGTTCGGGTTCATCGCGATAAAAATGTAACGGTTCGGGTTCGGGTTCAGTTCCGGAAAAAATACCGGTTCGGTTCCGGTTTTCGGTTCAGTTCGGTTCCGGTTCGACACCCTGCTTCAAAGTTAATATTGTGAAATTTCTTCTTTTTTTTTTTTAACCTCGGCGAGCATAATTATTTTGTTAGTGTCTCTTTAAACGCTGCTGGTGACTTTGAATAATATTAATTTAAGCAAAGACGAATTCTTCCAGTAACAACAAAAGCTTTTACAGGCTTGATGATGCTGACAAAGACCAGCAAGTGTAGACTATGTTCCGCACTAGCCATGCTCCGTGCATTGTTTTGCTAGATTTCTCATTCTTTCTATCATCTATTTCTTTTTTTATTAATTTTATTATGTTATTCACATTTTATTTATTTATTATTTTATGTTACAGTCATGTCTCGTTAATATGAATACCCTGCTATACAGACACCATTTTTGCGGAGAAACTGGGAAAACACATCACTCTTTTTCTCATTACTATGGGCAACTCACACAATGGATGATTTTTTGTGGGAACGGAGATGTTCATATTAACGAGACATCACAGTATTACTTTCCTTCAAATTGTGCTGCCCTTGCCAGCACTTTTTCCTGGAAATGAAATCGTTTACTCATCCAGAGCAGCTGCGCTACACAGCTCGTACTATCACCGCACCGACATAGGTCTGAGCCCCACTGGGGTGTCTTATGTCAATTTTACGCCGGTCTCTTTGGCAATTTTTTTAGTTACCCCAACTAACTATATTTTCGGAATCACCAGCCTTCCCTTTTCACGGTACACTATTTAGTATAGCAAAATTCAAAATAGTTATTGCGAAACTGGCAAGTGAAAATGATGCCAAAACCAACATTCAAATATATCACGCTTTTCAGTGTCTAACGTCAGTGGAAGGCAGGCTGGCAGGTCGAGCAGGCAGCCTAAACTTTGACTAGGCCGAGCATTCCTGCTGCTGCTCGGTTGCTGGAGCGAGCCTCCAAAGCATCCATTTGACACCATGAAACTGCTTGTAATTGGTTGGGAACAAAGTCTACAGGCCAAAAAGTGAACCCCTGCCTTCCCCAGACGTCACTTTTTTATTGCTGCCAAAAGAGACTTTCACCTCGAAAAACGCTGTGAGGACCAAAAATGTAAATTCAATAACTGTAAACATTTTTTTTTTATTTTGGCTCAATATTTGGGTTAGTCTTTCAGTGATGCTGTGTTTATTCAGGCCAATTGGGAAACTACGAAAGAAAATGACGGACTTTTAACGTCGTGCAACGCTCAAAGAATGTCGCTCGTACGTGTCGGTCTTTCATGACGCTAGTTCACAACGTTCGTTCATGACAATTTTCTCATAGAAAACGACTCCTAAAACACATTCTGCATTAAAAATTCATCCAGCCTTCTAAGATACCCCCAAGAATTATGGCCGTAAAGGAAAGCGGCCTCGCTTACCCGAAGGTGCGCCGCTGGCCGAGATCACCGGCTGGTTGGGAGCCTCCGAGTTTGGCGTGGGGGGCGCAATTCTCGAAGGACCGACTTGAACGCTGCGGACGAGAAAGGGGCGTTGGAAAGCCGCCCGTGCGACACCAACGCCCACACAATGACCACTCCCATGACTCGACACTCACTTGTTTGAGAGCTTCATCAGTGCCTTCCCAGCCACATTCATCTGGAAGGAATGCGAGACAAGTCAGCACAATTGCCCCGAGAAAAAACGGACAGTTTTCAACGAAGAGAGATGCGTCCTCACTTCGACGAAGGAGATGGGGAAGATGCCGATGCGCTCGCCCAGCTTTCCTTCTGCCCAGTTTTCGTCCACCCTTCGGATTACGGTGATGACGTCGCCCTGAAAGGAGGGAGTGTCGGATCAGCCCTGCACTGTCGCAACCTGAAAGCCCCGGGCGGGTTGCCAATCTAGGTAACGTGGTGCCTGCACCACGGTAAGCCTTTGTCAGACTGGGCAGCTTTATCGAGAGTCTAGATTGCTGAATTTGCAGGACCCAAGATGGCTGAGGGCCAGGGAGCCTCTAACTTTTTTATCTCGAGAACTTTCACACCAACTACCTCGGAAGGCTGCTAAGAAACCCCTTTCCTAGCCGTATGCCTAAGCACCAAACTTGGAGCAGCCTGGTTAGCTTACTTAGGTAAGGTGCGAGATGATACGGCGAAACACGTCAGAACTGGGTGCAGCTATTTGATGATGATAATATTGACGATGATGACTGTATTTGGACTCCTTGAGCCACAGGTGGGGGTACAAAAGGCATACAGATTTTACAAGACGAGGCCCCATCACAGCTGCACATTGCTCAGCAGTACAAAAAATCATTACTAGACGAGGCACCACCACAGCTGCACATTGCTCAGCAGTACAAAAAAAAAAAAAACACATAAAAAGTTTTAATTAATAAATATAGTGCAATATCACATGACCACAAAATCAGTCATAATGAAAAAAATAATAAAGCATACAAAAACAAGGATAAAAAGAAGACAAGAAAGGAAGACCTTCCTGCTCTCAAAGTCTTCACCAGTGGTTCTCGACCATTGATGTTTCGCGGACCTTTTGTAAATCGGCGGAGGTGGTGCCCCGTCCGTGGCGAGGAAAAGGGATAGGTTAATTATGATAATGATTCAATAAATGTATATAACTAAGGGCTAGTGTGAAGTGGACTTTTCTTACTGACATACACACGAGACAACTCAACCAAACATTGGAACGTTTCGTCTCAATCTATATGGAATAAAACTTCTATTGCTTGGGCTTGATTGATGAGGCAGGACGTCGCGGAACCCTAGAATACCTTCGCGGACCCCCATTTGAGAACCACAGGTCTACACCACAGGACACATTGTTTTTAAAAGCACCTTAGATGGTCTCATTATCTATCCGATACTTACTATGTTCTCCGATATGTTAAATAATGTTTCAATATATGTGTACCCACTTCCTCCTCTGTAATGCTTGTGCCCCGTGTATAAAATAAATAAACATGCACAACAGACGGCTGCTGTCTTTTGTCCCCGTTTGTCATGCATTCTGTTTATGAATCAGTGCCAACCGGCCCAGTTTTCAACAGCTCTGCACAAAAACAGTCTCTAGTTACTGCATGCCTGAACCGGTAAACTTCGCTCCCTTCCCCGACGGACACCAGGAAACGAGGAACCCCGGAGACATTCAGCGACTCCAGTCGAGAGAGACCTTGAGGAAGGCGAGGCAGTCCTTCTCGTCGGAGTCCGCCATGCGGAAGTCGTACAGTGCCTTGCACTGCGGCAGGTGGGAGGGCAGTGGCACCACCACCTGCACGTAGCTGGCCGGCACGAAGCCCTGCTTGCCCTGGAGCTCCCCGTGGAGCCAGTGCTGGTCCACTCGCTTGTGCAGCACTATCAGGTCCCCCTTGCGGAAGCTCAGGTCCCTGCGACGGGTCCAGGGAAGCTAATGCTTTAGGGCACATATGGTACATATATATGGTACATACAACCACAATGTCCGTGACACCACAATGATTTCCACGCTAAATTTAGCGGAGCAATTGACGTCGCACAACACTGTGACATCAGGCGGCCAGACAAACACGAGCAAGATAGGTCCGCAGAAGGTTCCCATATTAAGCTACCGTAATTTCCGAACTACAGTCCGCACACGGTGTATAATCCGCAGAGAAAAATTTTGGCAGGAAAAAAGATGTTTTTTTTTTTTATAGTTCGCACTTGGTGCACATTCTGCACATAAAATGCTTAATGCGCAGTGCACCCTAAAAAGATACATGCTCTGTTAGGGTGCAAAGAAGCTTGTGTCATAGAGAATTCACCACTACCACAATCTGACCTTGACAAACTCCATCACACCCTGTCATATTGAACCATCTTGAAGAAAAACAAATCCTCATATAGTCCAGACCTGTAGACAGTCTGCACCATGTAACTACAGTCTGGAAGAATGGCAAGAAAAGCACCGACCCTGGGTCCTTGGCGTCGTATGCGTAGAGCGCCTTGGCGCAGGGCATCTGAGGAACCAGTTGCTTGACGAGCGTGCGCACTCCCAGGGTGACCTCCCCTCCCCGGCTGACGGGTCCTGCCGAAGAGGGCTGGTTGGAGGAAGGGGGCGGGGCCTGGGGGGAGGGCCTGGCTTCTCGGCCAATCAGGGTGCTCCCCAGCATGGACACATTCCCAGGGGGACACCTGCTGCCCAGCCGCGGGTTGTTCTTGATGCCCTCGAGCAGACGAACGAGCAGGATGTTGAGGGGTAGGTCCTCCACTCGAGCCTCCACCTGCGTTGGGCGACTCTGGGTTGGTCACTCGGCCAAGACTTCTTGGATCTATTGGTCGACGAGCTCCACGGAAGAGCGTCGACGCCCGCATGCAAGCAAGAAATGGGCGAATGGCAATTCTAGCAATGCCGGCAGCACCACTCCCACGAGCGACAGAAAAAGACAGTTTTCGAACGACGCCCTTTTTGAGCAAACTTTCGTGAAAATTTCACTATAGAAATCGCGATAGAATCACTTTCCAACGAGGCAATGTGCGCTAGAGCACTGCACAAGCCCAGGCCAGCCCCAAAGTCCCAGCCCAACCCGGCCCGGCCCGCGAGCCGGGCTTGGTAGCACATATTTTCTCGGGCCCGGGGTGGGCTCGGGCTCGAACAAAAAAGTTGTCGGGCCACACCGGCCCGGGCCGTGCTTGGGCAGTCAGTCTTGTGTCATAAATTCTAAATTGTCGATATATATAAAGTTTGCTCATTAATCTTTTAGGTTCATTCAAAACAAAAAAAGCAAAGTAAAAAGTCACCATAGTGTCGTTAAATTAATAACAAAAAGGACTCTTGCAGTTAGAAAGCCTTCAAGCGGATAAAAAAAGACATATCGACTCCACCAGCATAGTGGAAGAGTGCGGGCAAGAAAGTGAGGGCACTCCCGTTTGCAGGGCACATGTTTGTCTTTTTCCTTTGCTTTTCAAACTAAGAAAAGAAGAAAAAATGTGACTTCAACTTTGTACTTTCTGCGGGGGCCTTACTATGCCACCAAAGATAAGCCAACATACCCTAGATAACTTTTTTGTTTATGCAGCCTTTTGAAGATGCACTAGCGAGATTGTGAGTCTCTTCTTTTCTTTTAGAATCTTTCCGGGTTCAAAATGGCGAATATAATCGACCTATGTCCTGTCGTGTTACCAACCATCCAATAAAAAATAGACGCCTGTGCCCAATAAAATTTTATCGGCCATGAGTTGGGTCCGGACCGTATCTCTACCGGGCCGGGTCGAACCAGGCCAAGAAATAAAAAATTGTGTTGGGCCGGGCCGTGTCTCTACCAAGCCGGGTAGGGCTGGGCCTAGGAATTCCGGCCCATGCAGTGCTCTAATTTGCGCCCAATATTCTACCGGTTCTAACTATAGGGCGGGCCGATGGCGTAGCAAGCGCTACCGAGCGGATGCACCACAAAAAGGCGCCAGGCATCCTGCGGAGCTTGTCGACTGATTTTGATCTAGTAACATTTGCCACAATGATGCGCTGTGGCAATGCGCCAACTGCACAGATGACTGATGGACATTGTGATACTGCCTGTGCCCTCGAGGCAGTAAACTCACAAAATATAGACCAGAGGACTGGTGGGTAAAAACTGTAAAGACGAATGTCACGGCAATAGTGCTTAAGGTGATTTCTGATATCTTCCTTGTTTTGTTTTGTGGGCTAGATTCAGTTCTTAGATTGTAATTGCCCGATACAAAGGGTTCAGTCACCATAGCCCCATCCAATCTAATCATTCTATTTTTTTGGCTATTATAGAATCCCGAAAAAGAACCCTTCAGCGAGGCCAAGTAGGATAAAAAGAAAAGGGGGAAGGGGGGAGGGGGGGTTGCGGCAGTAATATAGGCAGGGGGGCGCGGCAAAAATGTAGCTGACCATATACTAGGTACAGATATGTACGATGGCCCCCACTTGCCCCCTCTCGCCAAGTCATGTACATCTCAAGAGAGAGGGAAAGGCCATGTCCCTGTGAGCAAAATATTCAAGGCTAGAAATAAGCTCTTTCTAGTGAGGTTATAAGCAAACTTAAGAAACAATCATTCTGAAAGTCTTGTGTGCAAAAAATTTTCTATAAAAAAAATCATTTCTATTTGTGAGACCTTTAATGTACAGCTAATGGTTTAAAGTATAATGGTGTATCTGTAAATATTTACAGAAGTGTAATATAATATTTCTATTACCCATATTAAAGGTTGAATATCCTCAAATGTACACTTGCGTGCATTATAACATAAGTGCCCTGTTGGTCAGGATCATTTCTTAATGCAGTTTAGACTACCTATAACGAGCACTGAACAAATACTTAATGTACAAAGCATATAATAAAAGTATTATAGTAACAATCTTTAGGTGGGTGTATCTTTAGAACCAATCTGTAATCCTGACATTCAAGGCACACGTATGACAAGATTCAAGCTTTAATAGGACAAACAAAATGTTACATTTCTTAGTATTATGTCCTCCTAAAAACCTAGAAGTGAAAAATTAAAAAAACAATATAAATATATATTTTTTTATTTATGATTTATTTGCAAGATTTTGGAAGTAGCTTGTTCTAATGCATGCACCACTCCCCTTCTTTATGATACAATATTGATCCGATAGCAAATAAAAAGAGCTAAATCTGAGCTTTTACGCTAAATTGCTTCCCAAGTTCTTACTCGGATACTTTGGCATCTGGTCTTTAACTCCACATTTGGGCGGATACTGAGCACTCAGCGACGTGCAGCTTATCTTTGCAGCTAAAACAAAGTATAACTTTATTTTTTTTTAACGCTTTGGAACAGAATGAAGGATGCTACCCAATTGCAAATGCCAATTTCTTTTTTTTATCCTTGCACATCTCCTAAGGTTGAGCGGGATTGCATCATACAAAAGATTGTCTGTAGAAAGTGTCTGAGGCATGCTTCATCCTTGTGCGACAGTCCTGCTACATTGGTCGTACAAAAACTGCATGCAGACATGTTCGAAGGAGACATGCTTCAAGCATGCGTGACCGCAGATGTCATACATGTCTCGACATTATGCGAACAGTCTGACTGCGGGATGCGTTTTTAAACATCCGCGCTCAACTCACCAGGATCCTGCATTCGGGACAGCGCAGTTCCTTGTGGGAGTGGACGATCTCGTCGAGGCATCTCTTGCAGAAGGTGTGCTGGCAGGGCAGCACCTTGCTCGTGCTGTCCAGCTGCTCCAGGCAGACCGAGCACTCGAGCAGGTCCGTCAAGAACGCCTCGTCCATGCCGGCGCTTCAGCACATCGGCCCTGCAAAAAAAAGGATGCAGGGTGCGTGTTTAGACACGCTGCAACGAGCAACCCCGAGTGAAAACTTCTGCCTGAGACCAGCTGAAATCTTAAAGGGGCTGTTCAACGATATTACCCTAATATCCTGAGGTGCGCACCACCCCCGAAAGATAACCTGCCCCTGTTTCTGGCGGGATTTTCTATTTTCTCAATAATGCCGAAAGACGGCCCACTTCTAGTCATTGTAGGGCCTTGTCTAACGGTGACTTCGGCAGAAATGGTGTTACTTAGCCACGGAGGCAGATCAGCGAACATTGTTGACTGAAAAGGACAGTCGTCTTTGGTTCATTGCCCCTCCCTTTGATCGCAAGTTTCGCAGGTCACAATATCTAACACTAGCTTTTATTTTTTCTCTTTTTTTTATCGCAAGAGTTAGTTTACTTTTTATTTCCTCCCGATTTGCTTTCGATTGTAGCTGTGCTATTTCTCAGGATATTACGGTGGGTTGGAGTGTTTCTCACTTTACACGAGCTTACTGGCAAGAGTGGTACCCAAGAATGTAACCTCACTAACCAAGAATTTTCTTTCCCGCACCATAATTTCAAGGATAAAAGTGGATGTCTTCTTTCAGTCTCCTTCGCAAAACTCAATGACATGAAAACCGTGCAATGGAGTTTGCCGTTACAGGTCGCGCCATCTGGTGTGCAACTTCAACCACGATGGGAAGTCCAGTTCGTCATTTGTGCCGTTGAAGATGCTGTACTTTCATTGGCATAGTGCACAACCACACAGACATACAACCACCTTTTTTTCTTTTTTTTTTTTATAGTCTGCACATAAAACTATATTGTATGTCATCCTAACATGTAAAACAGCGAAGACAACAAGTGCGAGTTCTCTGCTTTTCGTACATGTGGGGCACGTGGTAACAATGATGTTTGAAGTTAAAATGCTGCATTCTTTTGCCTATTTGATCTATTTCCTGAGCTCTAGCGATCACTTAATTGATAGTGTGTTTGGCAATTAATTTGTTTTGTTGTAGCAATCAGTAAAAACCATCAAAACTGAATTTGTGGCTGTGTTTTTTTAATGAGAGAGCTAAAGCCCCAACCGCACACCATAAGGTTCTGGCGTGCAGCCGGCAGAAGAAATGAGTAAGGTGCTGGGTACATCTTTTCCTTTCATTTATTTGAGACGGCCAAATAGCGTACTGACTCAGCTGTCTTTCTGGCGTTCAATATTGTTATTTGGCGCAGAGTTCCACGGTTTTATTCAGAAATTTGCCGAGTTGCTATTTGTTGTTTGACCAATGTTGACTATTAATTTGTTAAACAATTCGAGGTGCCTTACATCAGTGCTGCGGAGTTGCCACTCCGGAGTTGGAATGATTCCGGAATCATTCCGCATTTTCACGACCCCGGAATGGAATGGGAATGGAATGGCGGCAACGTTGAAGGGAATGGAATGGGAATGGAATTAGGTGCCTTTTGCCCGGAATGGAATGGGAATGGAATGGGCACGGTTCTTCTTTTTTTTTTAATGTTTACGGTCAGCTAAACCGAGCCAGTCAGTGAGTCAGTTGCTCAGAAATAAAATGAGCGGGAAACTGCTAGCCCGCGAGGAGCCCTAACAGACTTATACGCCAACAAAATGCAATACAGAAAAACAAGCGTCAAAGCAAAGAGCAAAGGGGGAAAGGGGGGTAACGTGGCGCCTTTCACGGAAGCGCAGGCGTCGGGCTTCGACGGCGTTACACGAGAGCGAAACAAGAAACCACGCACCAAGCAAAAGAAAAGGGAGCGGCAAAGAAAGAAACCGCCATGCACAACTCCTCATCGTCCTTCTTGTCATGCTTTTTTTGTTGCGACGGTCTGTAGAATGCACGCGCACGCACAGACTGAGATCTGGGAGCGGAAGCGACTCATAACTCGCAGAGCTCTGATAAATCGTTGACTTGGGCCCCGTCGAAAGATGATCAAGTATTGTTTTCTTATAGTTTATTTATTTATTTTTTTCGGGTTACCCCGCAGCGCCCGAAGGTATTATTGCAGGGAGGGGGGTACATAGTTGTGAGGGTAGAAATACACACGTGCATATGTACCAAAAAACAAGAAATAACGCAAGCCCACAGGAAAACACACTCAATCTAAAGCAAGCCCCAGAATACGATAAAAGAAACATCGGTGACTCCCATTCCAGGTACGTGCCAGATAAAAGAATCAGCTGAGGAAAATATGTGTTAACAGCGAAATTAAATAACTCACTTGCCGCATGACACAGGAGTAATTAATAAAAAAAAGAAAACACACACACAGAGTTCGAGGCGCGTTGTTTAGCAGGCAGCCAACCCTGCTGCCTTCCACGTTCATTCGTGCGCACTCCCTTGAAGTGCGAAATGTGGGTTTGCTTTGGCATTAAAACCAAAGCTAGATTCACTACCCTCTTCTCCTCTTGCGCTTTGCTCCGAGGCTTGATTTTTTTTTTTTTTTTTTTTGTACTCAATTTGTATTGTATGTCCGCCCATTACTTGGTCTTTGTTCCGATGCTTGTTTTCTGTGTTTTATGTTTTAGTCGGTTGAGGTTACAAGCAAGCTAACGGATTCTCGCTTGTTTCCCTTGACTTTAGTCTCTGCATACTTTGTTTCACCTTGCGATGGACTGCTGCGGACGCTACGACTCACCCTAGGCAATCCAGTACCGTAAGCGGGACTGCAGGGTGACGCAGCACTCAGAAAGCCCTGGATTGGTTTCGATGGCTCTCGTGCTGTCTGTTGAGGTCCATCGTAAGGTGAAGTAGACTATCGTCGCCGCTCTTGGTGTGACCGAACTGACTAGACCTGCAGAAAGACCGTCCCGCGCCAGGCGAGGTGCGACCGTTGCTGTGAGGGCAACTGAGAAGGAGAGCTGGGTGCTAGCTGCCACTGAGGTTTTGGCTTCCGCGCGTCTCGGCTGTCCGGTCTGCATTCGTGCTCCTTGTCCTGGACCCTATTTGAGGCGGTGAGAAGTCAGTTGGACGGTGTTGTTGAGGAAACACGGGGAATGTCAATTCGAACGGTGCGGTATTACTCCGTTAATTGTATCTTGATGTGAAGAGCTTTGTCAACGCTGACTTCCCTACCCGTCGCCACTACGCGAACAACCGACACCGAGGTAGAAGAATGAATCGGTTGGTACCGTCTGCTGCCTGAACCCGCCACTCGATCAGTGCGAAGAGGAACATCACAATTCGGACGAGAAGACAAGATAAATACACATTTGAGTCATGGCATCGTAGAAGACATTTTTCTACATTAGTCGCGAAGAAAATAAACAAGCTGCACGCTGAAAGTTGTGCAACGAAACTATACACAATGCAGTCGGCGTTTATTATCGAACTTTATTCGCCGTCTGAAGACGAAACACGAGAATGAGTATGCGAAGGGTGGAAAAGGGCAGGCGAACCAGCCAAAAATTCAATTGAATATGATAAGAAATATCGAGATTCGTAAAGCAAGCGTGAACTTATGCGTTTTAAAACAGGTTTCGTGACATGGTCTATACGGTCCCTCGTGCTGCGCCGCAGAGGTTTCATTTTGTCAGAGGATGTGTTCTGCCGCTGTGCATGGAGTCGCTTCCAGCAGTGTACTAGCCGTGTTGCTGTATTTGAAGAATACAGTAATATAGCTTATTCCTGTGCCACGCACGAACTGGATATTTTTATGGTCTTATCAAACAAACACGCTGGCCGCGTATGTCTTAAAAGTCAAATGCAAAAAAAGTTAAAAAAAGAAAAGGAAATGAGTGGTTTTAAGTTTTGTTGTTTGTTGCGAGCGACGTGGTCGCAAGACCGATGTCTTAAACAAGCATTGACATATCAAGGGGCTTTCTCGATGTTTGCAGTACATTGTAAATAAACACTTTCTTCCACCAGCGGTCCGCTTAGTAAAAATCAGTGCTTTTTTGAGGAATCTAGCTTTTTTTTTCTTTTTTTGCAATTGTTTCTGCATTTTATAATGTCAGCTTTATGGTGCTTATGCCGGCAACAAAATGTAGCTGTCAAGTGCCAATTTTTACGTTTAGGAATTAAAGGAATGGAATGGAACGATTCAGCCATTCCAGGAGTGGGAATGGGCTCAGTGTCTCCATTCCTAGGAATTGAAAGGAATTGAATTATCGAAAACTCTAATTCCCCGGAATGGAATTGGAATGGAATGGGGGTGCCCATTCCGCAACACTGCCTTACATAGCCTTATTTGAAGCCAAGACATTGTGAGATTGTAATATGCATACTTATCTAAGTGGTGCGTAAAATACATAGTTCAAGTACCACCATACATCTAAACACTTCTGCTAAAAATAATACATATGCGTATATCTTGAAACATTAATAACATGCTTTTTAATACACCGCTAACTTCTGGTCTGCGGGCAACAGGTTTCTCAACATCTTATTTTTCTCGTAATAATGTCTTTCATTTTGTGGTCACGCTGCGATGCGCCAACTTGGCAGTCAATAATAATACTCTAACTTCTACTTCTATCAAAACAAATCAGCAATTACATATTTGAAACCACCAAGCCATATATCAAGGTGACTTAAGCCTTCCGAATCGTAAACAATCTAAAAAAGGTTGGTCATGCAAATAAATTAGTCAGATAGAAGATAAACTAAAAATAAAACAAGCTTCTTGCAAATGTTCACCAACAATAAAAAAATAACACAAATAAAATTATCTTACCTCAAACACATTTCCGAGTTGCCGAGAAAAAATAAACTAAGGGCAGACATGATCTAGTGAATGCTAATCACAATGACTAACACACCAAGATGGAAGTCAACCTGATACCTTTTTGCGTGAGCGCCTTCTGCGTCAGAGTGCATTCAATTGATTATCCAGGATATGCCAGGAGCATTATGTCCACAATACCAAAAGCATAGCTCAGTTCTACTTAAGACAGGTCAGTCACTACCAGGGTGTAAGATAGACAGGTGGGGAAATGAGAGCCAAATGAGCGATCGGATTGTGTCCCCCTCGGTTTTCTCTTCTTCTGTGGCGCCATCTATGTTGAGCACCGCAAACTCTCACTCCGGGTGGGCGACCGGTGGCGGCCGGCTAAACTGACGGAGATGATTTCTCGTGGATTTTCAATGGAGGACTGTCGTGCTCTCGGTTTATTTTGCGTACTCTCCCATAGAGTTCCATGCAAATCTGATTCCAATTTTTTTCCTCTCGCTGAGCGCCATCTGTCGCAAATCGGGGGTACCCACAAGCAGACGAGTACACAATCCGGTCACGGCGCTGCGGTAGGCTTCTATGGGCCATTTCCCCACCTGTCTTACACCCTGGTCACTACGTTCTCAATAGATGGGGGGCGTATGCAGTCAAACAGGCCAGCACCGCATTTGGAAGTTAACAACGAGGAAGGGGGCGGAAGAAGCAGAAGACTGCCTATTGTTCAGCTTCTTTGCCGGTAGAGGCGCTGACTATCGCCCGACTGCTGCGCACCCTAGACGTCTGCTTTGGGGCTATACTCACAAGGATCGCAGCCAGGGATGGGCAAAATACAGGCAAATATGTATCAAAATACAATTACAAAATACTTCGTCAAAAAGGTATTTAATTACAAATCTAATTACATTTCGAAAAAAAGCATTTAAATACAAGATACAAATACAACCAAATGTATTTGGTCTCCTCTAAATACTTTTCCAAATACATTCCTCAAAATTTGCGTCAGCGACTTAGGGCACCTGCAACGGGTTTCTGGGTATCTCATTTTAATTTTGCCTCGCACACTCGAGAGTTAGTGTGCCATGGCTCTAGTAACGTAATAGAAATATAATCACAAAAAAAAATGTAATCAACTTGGACGTAATAGGTGAAAAAAGTACAGAGCTTCAAGCAGCTTTTTTTTCGATTACATATTGGTATAGACCAGCAAAGAACCGAGACGACCAAGACGCGCAGCACTAGCTAGAGAATATTTTATTGTTGCAACTCGCACCTGTTACGAAAATCTGGACAACCCGCACATTTAGAATGTTCCGGGCAAAAATATGGATGGAAATCAGGCTGGAAAGCATCACAAGTTGTCACAGGCACTTATTTAGCCAGTCTGCCTGTGAACGTCGATTTCGTCACTATTCTTGCCCTGGACTAGCACCGTTAATCACAAAGTCACTAAACGCTTGTGCTTGATTGAGAGACACTGCATTCGGTACAGAACATAGTTTTCTTCCTGCTCTTGACAGTGACAATAAATTTGAGGGATGTACTTTCGCCCACAAAATTGTATTTAATTACATTGTATTTGAAATACCCACATTTTAGTATTTAAATACAGACGTCAAATGCATTATCCAATTTGTAATTAAATACAAATGCAAAATACACAAAGTATTTAAAATTCAAATACTTATATTTGAAATACTGCCCATCCCTGATCGCAGCATTGACATAGCCACAGGGATTACTTACGGTGATGCTATTCAAATTCCGCTTATAAGTAGGACATGAGCACGGAGTGAGCACTCAATTTGAGTTTGCATCAATCAATGCGCCAAAGAGTATATGGGTAGTGGCTCGTGTCCAGTTGCTGCAATGACAAGAATAGCCGAACCCTAAAAACGTTGAAAATGCAGCACATGCCCTGTGCTTCGCTCTAATTTTTCTCAATATTTTTTGGGGGACTGCCATTGTGTGGGAAGGACTTATGCATGTTTTTATAGGAAATCAATATCAAGGATTAATTTCCATCAGTATTTACTGAGGGTACACAAGTTGTTGCACTGTCCTTCAACTGCTCTCATCTGGAACAAACTGGTCCCAACTGGAAATCAAAAGGGACCAATAGGGTTCAACTAGTTACTACTGGAAATCAATGGGGACCAGTAGGGATTCACTTGGTTCCAACTGGGAATCAATGGAGACTAGCTGAGAGGTCAGCTGGGACCAATCGCGAGTCAACTGGGCTGACCATTCTCAGAGGTGAATCAAAGGAACAAGAGGTCACCTGGGAGGAGTGACATGAGGTCAGCTGTAGCATCAAGTGGTGCATACATGCTACCATAACCTGCATTAAGACGATTATGGTTACTAAAACGTTTAGGGTACGACCGTAGCCTAAGTCTTTTACTGATCAACCAAGCGAATGCTACGACTTTTCAAAACTGCGGCATCGCGCTTGTGCCATTTACTGTCATTTCGACGCGCCAGCAAAACTACACCTACGAAAGGCAAACTCCCTTTCGTAGCTCTTGCCGTGACCAGACTTCAAGACGAAGCAGATACACTAATCGGCGGACGCACGCGGACACAAAGGATGCGGAGAAACTTTACGGTCTAATTCGCTGCTGTCAGCGCACGTCACTGCGCTGACTATGCTCTGTAATGAATGGAAGTGATGGTTTGTCAGCCACAGTCGTCACAGATAATTTCTGGTCTTGAGATTGGAATTTGGACGGGGACGCACGATTATGTCACTCAATGTCAAGCCAGAAACGAATTAAAATCGCGTCTCTCGTCGTAAAGGCCGATGTACCGCCCCAAATTTGCATAATTGGCCGCATTCTTTCGCGAGGTCGTTGCAGTACCGTCGCCGTTTTGACGCTCCGTTGCTAAAGCCCCGGAAACTGTAGTTGGTTTGCTTCGTTGTTTCGATCTAAACCGTGCTGGGTGTAAGTTACATGACCTAGAGAGAGAGAAAAAAATAAAAGCAAAACAAGAATGTTTGACAGCGACTTCCAACTACAAATAAACGGTAGGCCTATCGCTAGACCCGCAGGTGCGATCAATACAAGCAACAAAAGTGGCTGATCGGAGACAATCGGCGACGGAAGGCGAACGGCGAGAAGCAACGTCGAAAGACGACAGCGGCGTTTTCCGTAAAAAAAAGAAGGCTCGCGACCCGTAATGTTGTTGCTCACCTTTACACGCACGCATGTAAATCCGTAGCACTGCCCGTATCTCCATCCTTCTTCAGTTCGTGTCTGGAGCACGGACCAGGGTCGGAAGCACAAAAATCGTTGCTCTTTTTGTATCGGGCGTTTCGGAGCATCGGCTACATTACTTCCCAGGAGGTTCACAAGCGTTTAAAAGGATGGAATAACGCAGCAACAAGCTGAAACCGTGGAACCATTGCGAGGAGCCCACTCACACGGCTCACACACCACACCATGACCGCACGCCGCACGCACACACGCACGCACACACGGCAACACTCCTTCTCTCCCAAAAGCAACGGTTACTGCTTATTACTGTGCGTAGAATTTCTGCCTCTCTGGGAAAGACGGCGTGACTGCCGGTGGTTTCGATCACATGTTGGAGGCAGATGTCACAATCGCACATTTCTTTTTTTGCCACCGAGTGAATGAAGATTTTACGACACTTTCTCTATCAAAGCGGATGTGATGCATCGATGCCGAGGGTAGCCCTCGGATTTCCGGCCTTATCCAATATGGCGCACCGAGGTGCTGGGCGACTGTTGTTTCCGCACTGGATGTCACCGAAATATGGGCTGTAGAATATCTACTGAAGGTATTTCGCTCGGACTTATGTAGTACGCGACGCGAGGAAGAAGTAAGTGCGAAAGTCCAAATGGATCTGTGCTGAAATCAGTTCCATTGTGACGGTGAGTGTCGTGTTGTGAACGCTGTGATTTTTAATCAGGTGGTTGGTTACATACCACGCAGGTGTTTCGCCTCCTCCACAATCTGGCTCGCGGTTCCTCGCTTCCGCCTGTATTTGACGGATTGCTCTAATTCAACACGCAATGACGACGTAATACACGGGCTCTTTGAACGGCTGCGACAGCGGCTACAGGGTGAAAGTGGTGTAAGGTTTCAGCCTTCCCCAGCCCGTAGCGCAGATCGCCAAAGATAAACCTCCGGCCGAACGGTCGGTTGCTGTTAGCCTGAGATCGCCACCTTCGAGGAAACTACTAATGAAAAACATGAATAGAATCCTCCGAAAGCACGGTGTTGGGCGGAGGATCGTCGGAGTCGGCGCCGCAGCCCGGCCGCAGTTGTGAAGCCGTGCGATGTGCGGCTGAAGGGCACCGTTTGGTCGTCTTTGCCCTGCGAAGAAGGGCTCGACGTCGCAATGAGCTGGCTTAGGGCGAGCCTGCGGCGCAGCAGACTGCCGATCCTGCGTAATGTGGAGCCAGAGACCGTACTCGAAGCCTTCAGGATGCATTGGCTTCGGGCACTGCAAGTCATCGACAAGTCCAAGTGAGTCGATGTAATGCTCGCTGTCAAATGCCACAGGTTCAATTTCTTTGGTGTAGACGCTCGCTTTGAGTTCCAGAATTTGGCGAGGTGTAGCTTTACCTATTGTTCGTACTGTTGTGCCGCTTTTCAGTTGGTTGGCTTCTGTTGTATACAAGGAAAGTGGCGAGAAAAAAAAATAGCAAATGTAACTGATAATTTACGTTTTCTGCTTTACCTTCCCCTTTTTCTTATCTGAGGCTCGATAGGTTTATTGCTTTCATTGAGCTTCTAAAACGATGTGCCTACCTAGCTGCATGTAGTACATAAGGCACATTGACAGGTGTGATAATTTAACTCTTAACTCTCACCTACAATAACTAAATCAGTGGTTTTGTTTAACAATCCGAGGGAGGTTATTTTAGTTTTGTATGCCCAACGGAATTCACAATTAAAGAATGTTATTTTTAAGCTTTTTGTACGGAACTTCTGAGGTTTTGCTCAGCTTATGGCCACATCGTGCTCTGTGCCAATGACTAGCCACACCTCTGGTGATGTAAAGCAGTTGCATTAACTACACCAAAGATACGCACACTTTGTTTGAGCAATGAAACATTTGGTTGCATTTGGTAAGGATGACAATTTGCTGTAAAACTGTTCTATTGACTGCAACGAGAATGCATGCACTAAATTAGAGAAGAAAAAGCAGTGGGCAGTAGCACCCTTCTGAGGATCTGGCTCAAGTTGGAACATGCAAAATGCATGTGCGTGAAAGCCACAAGGCCAACATTTCTCCCGGGTCTTTGTCCGGCGGAATGTGCGGTATGGGCAACAGCACAATATCAGCGAGGCAGGAGTGCGACATATCTAGGTTGTGATAGGCCGACGGCCAACAGTCGGCTGCATATCTTCGAGGGGTCAGGGAATACAAGGATTGGAGAGCAAATGCCTTGCAGGGTAAATAGAGGAAAAGACCCGTAATCTGGCTGCTGGTTGATCAGTCTTCATGGTTGTTGTTGTCGTTTACGGAGGGAACCTGTTCCAGACAAAGCCGTAGGGTTATAAAAAAAATTCAGCGCCGGATGTAATATTTTCTTGCACTTAAAGATATATTATGTGGAGGGATCTTTACATGGGGCTAGCTCCATTCAAACTGCGACACATGTTTTTGGCGCTTGTCACGGTGCTGGTTTATTGCAGTAGGGCTGCAAGTTTTAAGGTGGTTTGTACATTGTTTACATAAAAGGTTTCATACACTAGACCCTCTAATGTGAAAAGGCCAGTTCACGCTTCGCCTATCTGGCTACGTTGCTTTGCGTTACGGAAGCTTACATCTGCTTACATCGAGAATTACTGGGACATCTGTGCTTCGTATGGGGCGTGGCAACCAGTTCAGGGAACAGTCTTTGCTCGCGACATGCTCCTAGTTGAATGGGCCTAGAGTCAGTTCCATCGAGCAAAACCTGTACTATATGCCGGCACCTATCACGAATGGGGCGTGACGAGTTTAAACGGACCCGTAATCACTGACGGATAAAAACGGCAGGGAGGTCATTTAGTTGTCCCGCCTCCAGGGAGAGCTTTTTACTTTCACTACCACTTCGGCGTTGTGGTAGTTTCGAGCGTGCATGCACGGCCAAAGCACGACGACAGGCAACAAGCGTATGCTGGAGGCCGGGCATTAAAACAAGGCACCCTGCCATTCTCATCGTTTCGGCAACCATACAGGTTACAATGAAGCTCTTGAGAAGCCCGTTTATGCAGGAGCATTTGCGTACGCTTTTTTACTTTGCGTTACGAGTCATTGAGATATCGGCACTTCAGGTGTTGCCCACGAAGCTACTCCTTGATAATACAGTGATGGCGCGGATGAGCTAGTGTAAGTTTACCATTCCTCGAAATATCCGAGACTAGGTAAAGAAACTGTGAAAGTAGAAGAAATTTGTACGCCGTGTTTCTTCCCCGTTTCCCAGTTTCTCCGTCTAGCCCTGGGTGTTTTAAGAAAATGGCTACTCTTCGAATTGATCGACACGGTTCGTACGAAGCATGGATGTCTAGTGACTTTCTACGTAAGAACACAAGCCGCATACTCCGTTTCACTTTAAGTTTGACCGCAGCTGACGCCTTGGCCCGATGGAGCCAGTCAAGCAGCGTCACAAGTGCACCGTCGTAGCACTCATCATCTTTGCTCGTTTGTCATCACCGACTGGACCAATCACGCACAGTGAATGCGTCACGTCCTGCACTTTTGTCTGTCTGTTTAGCCGATGTCAGCATACCGACGAGGATAGTGAGCTCCGTGGCAATGCACTTTTGGCGCTGCTTGACTGTCTCCATCGGGTTAAAGTGTCGACTGCGATATGCGACTACTAGTGCTTCAGTTTTATAATAAGTGCTGCGCTCATATTATGCTTATTTCATGTGCTAGAAAGACACAAAAGTGTGTTGACGGTTGTAGTGTCTACAGCGCTAAAAATATATATTATTGAGACATAATTTGTTTGTAAAAGTCTCCTTTTGTCAACATATTTCTTTTTACCGTTGAGTTGTTTATTATTTACTATTCACTCGTCCTGTTTTCAACACTAATAGAATATTTATCTTAAACTATTGCTTAAGTATGTTCCATTTTGTACGTCTTGCATATCTGTTATTTTTCGATTGTAGGCACTGTTATCATTTGGTTTTTGGTTACAATTCCTGAACTGGGACGGGCGGAGAGGACTGGTCATTCAGAAATGCAGGTTTCCTCTTCCGCCCTGCCGGCCTGGGCTTGCCGGACCAAATAAATACAAATATAATGCGAAGTAAGCAAACGGTACTGTGCAAGCGGGCCTCGAGATAAAACAAAAAAGACGCCAAACGTATTTGCGTCGGCCCGATGTTGCCCGCAGTAGTTCGGCCCTGAAGCCGACGTCGGACGACATCACGGGTGTGCTGAACCACCTGGATCAGATGGTGAACTTCCTGGTGGAGGAGGCGAGGGATGGGCCCAATCCACCGCAGGGGGGCATGTGCCCCTCCTCTGCCGGACCCATCCTGGACTACATGCTCATGGAGGGAGTCCTAGACAGGCTCTTCCAGTGGTCCCTCTACACGGGCGAGTTCCTCAACAACCTCAAGCTGGAGCAGCTCAGGATCTACGAGGTGAGGGTCGGAAGAGGCGGGGCCCAAGTTGCACCAGCCATACACAAGCCCATCTTTATTTTTTTGAAATTTTAGTGGGATTTTTTAGAGTATGATTCTGATGTGCAAGTTAACAAAACCAAAAAATAAATGACTGGCAGCGGGGCCACGGCTTCTTGATTATCAGTCAGGCGACCTGCCAACTGAGCTGCACTCCCTTTCCTTTTATTCATTTACCCTTGAGGCATGTAGCATTTGAGGGGGAGGGTAGGAAAACAGGGGTTGGCATATAAGCTCACTCGAAAAAATCAAACAACAAAAAAAAGAATAAGAGAAAATGGGTGAACAAACCCTTTCCTGAAAAGATTACAATTGGCAATCGGCACAATAAAGGCTGGGAGATGAGTAGTCCAAAGGTTTATAAAACGCATTGGACTTGGTAATGTTTAAGAGTTGAGCTCCTTGGTACATACTTGTAGAAAAGTTCAGCTTGAACTATAGAACAATTGGTATGAGGGATGCCAACTTGATGATTGATTTCTGTTCAGAAGTTTCACTGGAGTTTGTATCTGCAATGCAACGGGGTGAAACCATCCACAGGGTCGGCATATATGGCGCGTGCGTGATGGATTTGGCAGCTCACGCGGTTGACACGTGGAGAAACGGGGTTTGAATTCTGATATGCCTGGTTGTTCCTTTTCTCTATCTTTAATCTTATGGAAGGCTCCAGCCCATTCTCGGCTGTCATAGTGTGTTCTGGTCCAGAAGATTCATCCACCACGTGTATAAAAGCAGCGGCAACGCACTTCTTCGGCAACGCCCTTCCTTTGCCTGCGCAGAATGCGCGGTGTATTTTTGGTTTTAGTTGAAGGCACAAGTTCTCCTCATTAAACATTTATTTTTAGTTCCGAGTTCATCTGCTGTTTTTGTCTGTGACAATACAACCGATTTGACTTTTGGGGCTTCCCTCTCCTTGTTTTCTTTTCAGGTGCTCGTCAGCCATTCGAATCACGAGCTGCTGCTGCAGCAGCCATTCCTTCGCCCCCTCCTTCACCTCCTCGCCTCCTGTGCCGACTGTGCTCCGCTGGAAGTGGAAAAGCGGCTCGTCGTGCTGTTGAACACGCTGTGCGTCTGCCTCTCCCAGCATCCGCAACTACTCGAGGTCTTCTTCAGCGCCAGCTCGGACCAGGGCCCCGCCAGGTGAGTTTCCCCGAACCCCGGGCTCCCGCTCTACGCTCTTCCGAGTTATAGACAATGCCACTAAAGCAGGGAACACATGGTCGATGAAAACGGACGCTGTGCGGCAGCGCGGCCCAGTATCCATAGCAATTGGTGCTGGCGTCCCTACGTCGCTTCCGCACGGCGGTACGTTGCTCGGATCTGGTCGATACAGATAAAGCCGCGCAGCGCACCTTTGGTACGTCTAGCGGCGAGCAGCGAGCGCCACACAGCGCCCACTTTCACTGCTCGTGTGTTCCATGCTTAAAGGGCCACTGAAAAGAAATGTTTTTTTTGTTTTTTTTTAAAGAAGTTGGTTGAGGCAGATGTGCCAAAAAATTAATTTGACACGCAAACAATTTTTTTAGAGCAATATTGACAGCGCGAGACGTGATTTAGTTGTTTTCCCTCGGCATTTCGGGCGCGTGGAGGACAGGTGGATCGGCTTGGCCATCACGTTGAGGTGGAGAGAGAGTGTATGACCATCTCGTTGAGGTGGAAAAAGTGTATGAGCATTCCGTGACATTATGGATTTTGCGCAGAGTTCAGACCCAACTAAAATAAATCTCGCACCGTCAATACTGCTCTACAAGTTTTTTCCGTAAAATTGGTTTTTTGACGTGCGTGTCCCAACCAAACTGCTCAAAATCTTTTTTTTTCTTTTTTTTAAGGGCTGTTTGGGTGCTGCCATTTTGTTTGACTGCAGCGCTGTCTACATACGTTCGGGCGTTTCAACGAAATCGTCGGGGTAAAAGAGGAAAAGGGCACACATTCGATCCCGATGGCAGACGACAAATCGGCCGTCCTCCGCGGGCATTTCAACCAATTCGGTGGGGCAGGAGAGGGAAAGGGCACAGGCCATTATCATTGTGAGGGCAGTTTTGACGCGCTGTACCGCAGAAACCAGCCAAACATGGAGACTTATTTCCATCTCTCCTCCAACCCTAATAGAATGGTCTACAGCCACCCTCTGACAGGTTGAGAATGACACGGTGTCTTTTTCGAACGCCCAGCCTCCAGCACGCACTTGCTCTCTTCCGCCATGCTTTGGTTGTGCGTGCACGCTCGGGAGACGCTGAAGCATTCTCGAAAGTGGGACAACTGAAGAACGTCCCTGACGTTCTTATCGGTGACTATGGCGTTCTGAACACGAGGCCGGCGTTCAACTCTTGCAGGAACGCCCATGCTGACAGTCTTCGTACCGGGTACTGGTTGATTGCAGGGTACTTATTTATTTAAACTTGTAAGCTGTTCAGGGGCAGTTATTTTTAATGAGGAATACATTGTGAGTGTCTAGAATTGTCATCTGCTTTCTTCAAAATCTGCCGTGCTTTCCAAATGCAACGATTTTATGGATGTGATAATGGCGGTTGCCTGTGAGCAGGAGGCCAGTCACGTGGCACTTTTAATTAGAGGCAGTCTTGTTAAACTATGTTCGTTGCCTCTTTGATGCAACCTCACAGAACCAACATCGCGCCATCTATACGATTAAACTGTCTCCGTGCCCACTTGGAATATTTTTGTGCAAGCCCGAGCATCGAGCCTAACGACTAGTATGTAAACTGTGGTGTGAGACTATTCTATTTTTATTGTAGAGTTCAGTTTTGGGGCAGGTAACTCGGTGAAAACTTGAGGCGCAAGTGAATAAAGTGATAAGACAGTAGTAATGACGTGATTGGCGTCTAAGGTCACAGTACAAGTCCTAGTACATATTGTCACAAATCAAAATTGATGAGGCGACAAAAACTGAAGCAAACTAGACATTTAATGGGGCAAGCTTGGGCCCAAAACAAAATAGAGAAATGCTCGCGTCAGAGGGGTCGATGGCGGTGTGACAGCAGGATCAAGCGCTGGGCAAGACTTACTCCGGCTCGCCATGCGGAGTCCTTTATGTACCCACGTGGGTTTTTGGAACATTCGGTGTAGCAAGTTTGACGCGTAGAACATTCATACCTCGATCAGACAACAAGGTTCTTGAACTTACGAGAACGCTATATTGAAAAAATAAACAAAAGACGCACCGCTCCCAGGAATCAAACCCGGGGCTTCCGCACAAAAGCCAAGCACGGTAATCACTCGGCCACCCACGCGCTTGCTCAGCAATGTGCGTGGCAGTATACGACTGCAGTGATATTTACCGACCCAAAAATGTATTCTCTGTATGGCAATTTTGTCAGGTATGATCAAAGTACTGCCTTGTATGTTTTTCTGTCGACATACTACCTTAGCTACCTGTCTGCAGCAAACATCAAAGGAAACGTGCGCAATAAAATAATGCGAATGTGGTTGCATTTTTATCTCAGCAAAGCTCGCCAAGTTGTGAACATTACCCTCGAAAAATATCAACTCCGAGAAAAAACACCCGTGATTGGCCATTGACGCGTAGATCACCCAGAGTGTCTTGGCACGCCTGGAGATTTGGTTGTCAGATCCAGGTCCTGGAATGCCAGATTTGGTTGTCACATGTAGTCCTGCAATGCCAGGCAGTTTCAGCAGGTGCCTTTGATTTCTCTCTCCGACATTGCAGTTCGACAGTGAGGTTCCACTTTTGCACGGCCGCAGACTGTTTCGAGAACTTGCCTTCTCCAATGGGAGGGGGAACTCCTTCAGGGGGGTAAGGTTACACGCGTTGACGCACTGTGGCCTCGTTGCTGGCGTCCTACGTCGCTTCTCGTGAACGTCATGCTCAGGCTGGGCTGCTGGGTGAAGCTGCTGACATGCCGAGCAAACGCCGGGCAAACATGGAGTACAAACCAGGCCTGAAAATAGCCGTGGACGAGACGGTGGCTGATCGGACAAACACTTTGGCGCTTGCTTGGAGTTGGCTGTGGTCACCGTGATGTCGGGCGCTGGTGGGAAATGACTGTGTTGTCTGCTTTGCAAGCCTTGTGGTTTTTGCGTCTGTCTGAGCGGCTTCCAGTGTGACTATCACGGGTTTGACTGGAGCAGCAGCACAGCCCTATGCTAAAGTGGTTACAAGAAAGGCTGGTTTACATGGCTGAGCCTTTGCATTCTTCATCTCTTTTTTCCTAGGTTGAGAGCGTTTTGTTTGCTTTCTGTCTTTATTTTGACCTAGTATTATATGAAAGCCTTTTTTGCCTAATCATCATCATGGACAGCCATTTATTTTTTATTTATTTCATTCTGCAGACAGAAAGGGTCCAGTCAGGATGGGCAAAAAAAGTTGCATGTACATCGGGCATGACGGTGCAGTAATGCGATTGTAAAGTAATTGTTACTACTTGACGCTGAGAGTAATCTAACTACCGTATTTACTCGCATAATGAACGCACCCCCCACAGCGGGCATAAATATTTTGACTTTTTTTTCCCCTCACATAATGAGTGCACCTCCAATTTTCGGCTCTGCATGTCTCAAATTGCATCCAACTCAGCTGGCCACCAAGCCCACTGAGCCAATTTTCTTTCGCCGCCAAGCGGCCAGGCCAAGTCAAGTCAAGCCAAGCATAGCGATACACACTCTCTTAATGGCTGAAAGTATGTAGTTGCGGAAGTGATCAACGGTGAAACCGAGTCGGGCGCACACCTAACGAGCTGGGTTCGAGGAATTGCCCAGCCCCGGATGCATTGATGTCAAAAAACACGCCACCGTCTGTGGTCTGCTTTCGGACAGTGAAATCGTGAAAGTGATCATTCCCATAGAGTTATTATAATGTATGCTAGAGGTTCAACTTGTGCTAGTGCCTATGCCCCTTCTGGAAGGCAAATTGAAGCAGACAGCAACCAGTCTGCTTTTGCAGTGCTCCTGTGCATTCCTATGGAAAAATGTGCATGTATTTTGTCTCTTTGCCGTAAAATAACATGAAACACTTTTGTTATTTGGGTCGTACCGAATAGTATGTACCTTTATATTAACATTGTAAAAGAGTAATTGCTTTGGTTACAACATTTTTCTTTACCAGTGCATGATGTTAAACTTCGTTACATTTCAGGCCCAAATCTCTGTTCCATAGCAGGCATGTAAAAACGAGCGATGATTGTAAGCAACGTAACAATTGAAAGGAATGTAGTGTGTGTTATAATATTAAAAATAATAATAATCCATTTATTTCCATCACAAGATGGGGGGGGACCAAGGAAAAAAGCTGCCTACAGGCAGCTTGACAAACCCCTGGCCCACCCACAGTGTGCAGTCTGTAGGTGGGCCAGACTGCACAAACAGAAAATATGGACATTCATCAATGGGCATATTTAAGACCTCAGGTCTCGAAAAGTAGTACAAAACAAATCACCATTGTTCGCAATATGGTCATTTAGAGCTTTTGGCAGTGTGTATTTGAGCATTTGGAATCCATTATTTGTTCTGCATATATTCACCTTCCAGTATTCAGTATGATAGGTTATGTGAGAAGGATCATCTCTGGTTAATAAGGACAGGGATGTTAAATTCCTAATGTTTAATCTCGGTTCCGATAAAAACCTGCGGCTCAGCCTATAAGTATAGATATAGAAAATTCTGATATAATAGCAAATCGCTGAAATAAGGGCAAAATATGGGAATTACGGCGAGCACTACAAATGCAGCATACAATTTTCTTTTGGAGTATATGCAATGATTCTAGGTTTGTAGCCATTGCACGCCCCATAAAGATGGCAGTAACTGAGGTGTGAGTAAAATAGGGAGTTATATATAGGAATAGTTTAACCTTGACTGGAAGCATTAAACTATGACGTACTAGTCCAACAGTCTAAGCTAATTTTGACGCAATATTATCTACTTGATGGTTCCAAGTCATATGCTTCGAAAATATCACTCCTAGAGTTTTAAAATATTTTGTAATATCAATAACACATTAATTGTATAACAGCCGTTTTGTGGTTTGTGTTAGTTTACTTTTGGGGCGAAAGAAAACAGCTTTTGTTTCTGTAAAATTAACTTTCAAAATGTTATTGACAGCCCATTCAGACAGCTTTGATAAAGTATTATTTGCCATGTCTATAACATTGTTAGCTTTATGACCCGAAAAAAATAAGTTAGTGTCATCTGCGTATACAGTGATGTCTTGTTAACATGGACGCCTCTGTGCTCCAAACAAATTGTCCATAATATGAGTTGTTCATACTAACAAGACAAAAATACATGTATTTTCCCAGTTTGTCCCCAAAAATGGTGTTTATACAGCGAGGTATCCATATTAACGGGGTCCATATTAACGAGACATGACTGTATAACAAACTTCGGTCAAGGTCTGCCAGCATTCCGGTGATGCTTATAAATTGCGAATATGCCCGTCCTGTCGCTATATAAAAATGACCCCTCCTTGCATCTTTGCGAGCGGTTAAAAACATTCAAAACATAAAGAATAAAGTATGTGGGCTTTGAAAGGTGTGTCTTTTTATTATTTCCTATGCCGAGCAGCTTTTATCAGGCACTTGTTCTTTGGCGTTTTCCTATTTTCAAAGATTTTGAGCATGCAGGTGATGTTTTGAAGTCAGAATAAGCATCTTTGCACATATTCATGAGCAGAAAGAATAAAGCAGGACTTGTTTATTTCATATCGGACTATATTACGTGGCCTTCAATTTGTTTTGATCATCTGCATGCACAGGGAGTTACTGACTGAGTGTTACTGCATAGTTCTTGCCGTCTCTCTTGGTTTTCCACATGTCCTATGTTCGTTTGGCACATATATCCCCCATGCTTGAAAACGCCGACGTCGTGTTTACGCTAACAGTGTCCGAGAGTGCACATAAATACATATACAAAGCCGTTTTAACACCGTTTCTAATGCCATGATTTTGAAATAAAAACGCCATAACTGACTATTTATTTCGTCTGCGTGACTGAGAAATGCTTCAATCTACCTATAGTATGTGCATATTATTTGTGATATTTGCTTTTATAATCGAGAACAGGGAGAAAATGCACTTGGAAGTTACTTTCTGACTGGTTACTGTCTGCCTCAATCTGCAACAGCACACTAGCGCCATTTGAACCTCTAGAATATAGGGTGGTTCAAGTCACCAGGCTCGATCTAAAATGGACCGTAAAAATCGACGCCTGCACGTAGCCATCTAAACTTTTCGTAAAGGTGTATTCTACAGGTCGATTTTTTTCTTGTAAAATTACAGATCGTAGTTCTCTTTTAGTAAAAAATAGGGCCAAGAAACTTGCCAGGGTCTACGGCGGGCAGTGACCCAGACGACCAAGTCCAGTGATGTGATTGCTGCGCCAATTGCGCCAAACTGCGCCAAGGGGCTAACCCTGCTACATCCTGCTACATTTTGCGGAAATATGGGTAATCTGCGCCAAGCCTGCGCCAAAGGACCAATTTTGGTCGTCTTTCAATACCGAAACTAAACTGAGAACCGTAATTGAGCATGCATTATTTAGGTAGCGCAAGCGGCCGCCCAACAAAAAGTACCCTGTATCAATCGCCCATCTGGTTTTGCATAGTTTTTCCCGCCACATCTCGTTACACGCTCTCGTCGTTCATGTGTCTCGTCTCGCGTCTTTTTAAAACAAATTTCAACGGTAGACGCGGGCGTGTGTTGACGCTTCAGTACTTCAGTCGTTGTACAAAGCGCTCCAAGTACCATTTGACCCTGACTCGCGATGTCTTGTTTTGACTTGACTCGCTCAGGTTCTTTTTTTGTGTGTTTAGCTTGTACCTCGCCTGCCGGCCTGGCAAGCACGTGCCGCTGGACCAGGGCCGTAACCAGGGGGGGGGGGGGGGGGGTTAGGGGGTTCTGACCCCCCCCCCCCCCCCCCCCCGAAAATTTTTTCTGGGTACGGCCCTGGTCGGTGCACTTGCAGCCAGCCGATTTTAATCTCCACCTCTGCGCACGCGCAGTGGCGCCGGTCGGCTACCGGGTACCAAACCGGGACCGGTTCTCCCGTTTGCTGTAACTCTCCATTATATGCCACCGATGGGCATGATTCATAGGCGAAAATAAGACTATAGACACTTTCAAAATGGCCGCCGTTGTCCCCGAAACCCCCCCCCCCCCCCCCCCCCCCCCCCCCCCCGAAATTTTTTTCTGGGTACGGCCCTGCGCTGGACTGTTTTTTGTCGTATTTCGCATACAATTTTGGGAACCAGTTGGCGACGGAGCGGAGTGGCATGGTGTCTGTTTCGATCCAACAGTCATCTCCGCTCGCGCGACGAAGCGCGTGCAAATGCAAGCCTGCCGAAGTTGCCCTCATGTGCATGCGGACATGACTGCACGACAGAGGCACCAGCCGGGACGCTTGCAACCCATTGTTTTACGTTTGCTTACTTTTGACGAAAATCCGGCAAGTCGGGAACCAGTAAAACGGTGGCAAGCGGTTTTTCTGAATTGCTCGGCGACGCCCACAGCACTGTTCACTTGTGAGATGTCCCAATGTCTCTTTGGAGACATTGAAAGTGGGAATTCATTACTAGCCAAAGGAAAAGCGAGGCTTGCAGCAGCCCTGTAGAAAGTTTTGAAAAGCAAAAAGAAAAGCACCCGCTAGTTTTAATGCATTTTTGTCTTGTATAAATTTCGTATTGCACTGCAGTAGTTACATGTTTCATCAGTCGGAGACAGCTTCCATTTATTATATTGTATAACTATGTAGTCAACCTAATGCTGTGATATTTACTAATAAGCTGGTAATTTTTAAATAAATTTTAATTTGGCAGTTTGGTTCTTTTTTATCTACAGCGGGTACATATATATGTATAATTTAACTGAAGCATTGCAAAATGTGTCATGTCATTGGCATTTCAGTTGCATGTCGAAAGACTCCTAGGTGGTCGAACTTGACCATAATTTGTTTATTGCGGCGAGCGAAGTGGCCTTCGTTCGTTCAACACTTAAAAAGAATATGTTTATTTTTCAAAGAATATCTGCTCCAAAAGCCACTTTTGCTGCTCCGAAACACTGTTTTGGCTGCTTCATAAGCAACTTTTGCTGCTCCAAAACACTGCTTTGCCTGCTCCAAAGGCCACTTTTGCTGCTCCAAAACGCCGTTTTTGCTGCTCCAAAAGCTGCTCCAAAACGGCTTAGGCCAATCACATCACTGCAAGTCCAGTAGCGGGCTGTGTTTGCTGTTGGTATTGATAGATGGCGTTGGGAGCGGCGTCTGAAGGTGCAGCCGACCAGCGAAAGATAGCAGGCGACACGCAGACGAAATCCGTTGGCAGCAAAAGCGGCGCCGTTATGCAGAAGCGTTTTTTTACTTTAAGATTTGCTTTTTTTGTTCGCATTCGTTTTTTAACCGAATGTACATTTCAAAAAGGTTATATTCATTTTAATAAACCGCGATGGTCGCGAGCCATTGCGATTAGGAGGTAGCGCCATCTATCAATATGAACGCCAAACACACCCCACTACTGGACCCCTGTCGTCTGCGTTGCTGCCCGCCGTAGACCCTGGCAAGTTTCTTGGCCTTATTTTTTAAAGAAACAGAGCTACGCTTTGTAATTTTACAAGAAAAAGCCGACCTGTGAAATACACCTTTGGACGAAAAGTTTAGATTGCTATGTGCAGGCGTCGATTTTTACGGTCCATTTTAGATACAGCCTGGTGACTTGAACCACCCTATACATTATAATAACTCTATGGCTAGGCCTAAAAACGGTCGCGTTGGTCTTTGTGCAGAGTGAGCTTCGTAGGGCACTTTTCCTTCGGCAAAAGGCATGCCAAAACCGCCCCAGAAAGGGTTCGCAATTTATAGTGCATGGTTACGTTACTGTGGCGCTCTCACGACCAGTTGTGAGTGCGCCTCCGTTAGTGGAGATGGGCTCTGCCGTGTCATATTGGCACCTAAAATGACATTTGTGCGAAGTGTGTAAATGCCAAAATGTGGGGGCGTAATCAGTGCACCTCCCACATATGTGTCAATATTTGGAGGAAAAAAGTGTGTTCATTATGTGTGTAAATATGGTACATGCAGAAAAAAAAAAAAAGTAGCTAGCTTTAATGCTAGTTTAAAATAGACAGCCATATTTAATACCGTTGAAGATGCTTCAATTGCTTCATCTGCCTCCTCTTCACCTTTCATTTTTGCCTTACTTTTTCGCCTTCTCTTTCATGTCATTCTGGTTGTTTCATTGAAACGTCTCTTGTGGGCTTGAATTTGGACCATGCTCTGTTCACCCCTAAGCTGACGGTGTGGTGGGAGCTACGCGCTTGCTCAGCCAATCAAGCGCCTCCCTTTGATCACTTGACCCTGCTCTCTGCGCATGGGAATGGGCGGAAGCACGATCACACGGGGAAAGATAGATGTATGAATGGTCCAACGGGCATGTAGCTTCCGTCGCACTGTCAAGGCTGGTTCACACATTCGCCTTTGACTCTGGCCAAGTACGTTGCATTTCCTCGTAAGGGAGCATAATGAAATGAACCGACCAAAAAATCAATTTTGAAATTTTAGTGCTAGAAAATAATGCGCAGTCTGAAGAACAAAATTAGGAAGTGGCGAGCGCAAACGAGCACTTCAGGCCATTCAAATATGGAGCCGAAATCCGTACTCCCTGGTGCTTAAAAAAGGCAGGCGCGTGTCTTTTGTATTTATTTATTTAGTTATATACTTTGGAGGCCCCACCATAGGACATTATACGTCTTACAATTGACGGCAAATTTTTGTTTTCTTTTATGAATATTATGCTTTGACATGTAAATCATAATCAGTTTATCGTGTGTTTCTCACTAATCGCTCAAAATTTTCTTGATAGGGGTGTTTGTAGCATATTGCAGCCTAGTTGTTGTTTCTTTAATGTTGTACAATTGGTGCTGACACAGTGAATTTGGCACATAATGGTGTTTTGAATGCACTTAATATTGCACGAGCTGTATTTTGTGAGATCGCTCTCAACTGGTTTGATGGGGAGCGTGTTCTTCCGAAGCTCCACAGAAAATAAGAAATGATGCAGAAGAAAGAGGAACATGATGAAATACTTTGGGAAGTACAAAAAGAAGAGACATGTATTCTACTGTAGCATTCAAACCTTTGTGACCAATGAGTAGGCATAAAATTGTTTTTCTCACACTGACTTTTTTTGCAATTTTCTGAGCTTTGATGAACCTTTACTAAAAAAACTTCTTATCCAATTACACCCAAACTTTAACAGTTTATTATAAAATAGGATGATAATGCAATTAATGAAAGATGCAAGCGAACTGGACAAAATTAACGATAATAATCCCTGGAGAAGGAGAGCAAGCTTTCGTCACCTTCTCACAGCTCGTACCGCAAACGCAGGCCCGCAAACTATGCGACCCCTATTGAGCAGTTAGAAACGCGCCGCAGTCTAGGCACGTCGGTGTTTCCTCGTAAGCAGTTGCGAAAGAACGCAGTGTGCTCGGGCACGGTCAAACGTAAATGCGTGGTCCAGCGTCGGGCTTAGGGGGCGAACGGAGCATAGCATTTGTGACCGTTGTCGCCGATGGAAATGGAGAAAGAGAGACGAGCACGCGTTGCGCACGCAGGTTCCTGATCTTCTCGCTGCTCATCCCCTTTGTGCACCGAGAGGGCGCCATCGGTCAGCAGGCCAGGGATGCCCTGCTCCTGTGCATGTCGCTCTCGCGCAAAAACCAGGGCATCGGCCGCTACATCGCGGAGCACTCAAACTTCTGCCCCGTGAGTTGCGCATGCCATGCCGTGCCCTTGATGCACCGGAAACTTGTCATAGCCGGTCATTTTGCAATGGGACCTCGGTGCCTGGAACGTGTCTGCGGCCGGTGCCAAAGTGGCGATAAATTGCGTCGCGGGAGCCGGCATGGTGCGCTCTCGGACGTCGCTATCCTGGCGCTCAGTTGAAAGAAGGAAAGTGGACGTAGGGGTCGCCATCGTCGTGGCGTCCTGTCTCACGTCCGCTTTGGTTTCCGTCGACCGTCTGGCTGCGGAGCAGCTTACGGTAGAATGAGCGTCTGCCACATTCGCCTCGTTTGGGTGGAGGCGTTTGCAAACGATTGGTGCTTTCGTCACCTTCTCGCGGTTCGTATTGCAAATGGGGGCCTGTAAACTGTGCAGAGCTAAATGTGTCGGTCGGAGGCATGCTCCAGGCACTGTACCGAGACTGGAGGTCTTCCACGACCAAAGTGCGGTGTGCTCCAGAGAAAAAAGAACCGCGCTTTTTGGCCCGGGGAAACAAACTATGCATTGCGAAGAGCTCTAAACTTCCTTGAGAATATGGTGCTAGCGATTGGGATAGAATGCGGACGTTTGAGAACATGACAGTACCTGGATCGAAGGATAATTCAGAAAGAAGAAATTTTTTTGTAAGATGACGTCCGCCTAAACCTAATATTGTTGAAACAAGAACTGACATTGTGGATGCTTGTGGGATGTATATCGATGAAAACCACATGTCAGCGAGAAAGGAAATATTGTTTTCTTTTTCGCTGTCAAGTTTTTCTCAACTAGATAGAGGTTACAGGCACCCACAATGTTACTTCTTTTTCTTTGACGATATTACGCTTAGGTGACGTCAGCTCATGAGAAATTTCATTTTTCTTAATCATTCTTTGACCCAGGCAACGTTACTTTGTTCTCAAAATTTCACATTAAATCCCAACCGCCAGCGTCGCATTCTCATGGAGTTTGAGCTTTCTGCGATGCATAGTTTACTTACCCGGGCCAAAAACACTTTTTTTTTTTCTTGGGGTCTCCCTTACTATTAAATATAGAGCTTGGATCTTTATTGTTGTAAGGCTTAAAGGAGCTGTGCAACAGTTTCAGTGCTTTGCTTAACTAATTTGGGAGTTGGTGTCTCAACCTTTCTGAAGTAAAGAACAAAAAAACTCTTTTGCCTGCATGTCCTAGTTTTTATTTTGAAAAATGGAAAAAGATTTGAGGTTTTCGGCACCTCTCAACTCCTTCACCATCTTCCAAGTCACGTGCGCTGTGTCGTCAATGGGGGTCGTGTGGGGTTCCGGTGAAGAACCATCAGTGAGCAGCAAGAACTCAACCGCTTGCGACCGCGTGACCACGTGCTGGTGGCGCAGCGCGAACAGTATGGTGAAAGGAGAAAAGTCTCATCCGAGTCCGGCCATACCCGTCTGGCTCCGTCCCGCCCCCCCTCCGGCTTCGGGCGGTTCGCGGTAGCAGATAGAGCTGACGGTTTTGTGGACCTAGAATAGATGGCGCTACTAGAACTTCGTATAATAAAAGTTTTGTCGACGATACCAGGTTTTCGACGCATTTATATATATGTTTTAACGACAAGATTTATAGAAAAGTTAACTTTTATCGAGCAGGTATTTGCACAACTTGCTATCTTTCTACAAGACCCCCATTGACGTCATGCCGCGTGTTTCTCGTGGCAGCCGCTTGCGACTGCAGGTCGGGGAATATTCTAATTTTTGCCTCGCGATTTTTGCGGCGGAACCGCAACATTTCGAAGGAAGGAGGTGTGTTTTCTGTCCTTTGTGACAAGATGAACAATGTCAAAAGTAGAATATACCAATTCTTTTAACGTTAAAATCGTTGCACAGCTCCCTCCTTTAATGTGGGTCGAAAAATGGCAGTATTTTGCAAAATCTTTAATTTGGGGTTTTATGGTATTTTATTATTTTTGAATCTCTATATTTGATGTATCAAAATAATTAGTGCCGGTTATGATCGCAAAATTAGTCAAATATGCATTTGAAGACCTCCAGGCAACCCAGAACGGCATGAATTGGAGCCATTTTTCTCCGACGGCCCTTCAAGTTCTGGCGTCGCTCGCCATCACATTAACGTTGACAAGTGGGCCTAGCCGTCTCCTCTCCATTGCAGTCTTCTGTAGCTTCAATTTCTCTCTGTTAACTATTCATAATAATTTTGATTAATAAAGAATGCTGTCTTCTTTTTTTTGTGGCTGTTTTATTGAAATGTTTGGTCCGTCTTTAGGTGCTGGCAACCGGCTTGAGTGGCCTGTACTCGGTACTTCCACGCAAGCTGACAATTGTGGCGGACGACTGGTACCGACTGACGCACGAGGACATTCAGGAGATACCCGAACTGGCCATGTTCCTCAACTCTCTCGAGTTCTGCAATGCCGTCATCCAAGTGAGTCGCCTGTCTGTCTCCCCCCCCCCCCCGTTATCGTCTCTTGCAACACTCGGACATGACTGAGCTAGACAGCGGCAGGCCTTACAGCCTTTGCTCTCGCTTAAAAGCAGTAGAAGCTTTAGTGTTACGCGAGTATTCAAAATTTAGAATAATACGCTATTCAATATTCGCTTTGAGGAGAACTGCAATATTCAGACTCTTTGAAGTGTTGATCGCGGCGGGTTAGCTCTGTTGAGTGTGTTTCTCACCAAGTAACAGTACACTGCGGGAAAGCCATAGCCGCGGAGCTCACAAACTCCTCGGGTATTGTTTCCTGGCAACGCGGAGGTGCTAGTTGGGAAGCGCACTCATGAGACTAACCTGCCGCAATCAACACTTACAAAAATATGCTAGGCAGCAATGTCTCGACAGCCCATGTTCGTCACTCGCGGTTGTTTTTTAGTCGAATTGGAAATAGAGGAAAGGATATTTGCATATAGCGAGGAGATTTATAAATCCCCTCGATTAGGATAGCTGCGACAAATCTGTCATTTACATGCCACATTTTATAGATTTATATTAAAATTAACCGAGCTCAAAAGTAGACAAATGGAAGGTTGGAAACAACCTTTGTGAGTTCAGCTGAATTTTCATTCAAGCATGGTGCCAGGTAGTGAAAGACTTTAAAAAACTATTCGATATTCTAATGAAAATATTCGGCCAAAACCACTATTTTGCTTTGAAGTCGCTTCGAACTCAAAATTTGCTGTTTGCGCATGCCTAGAGGTTTTAGACCGCGTGGGGGGGCGCGACAATGCCACCTTTCCGAATACCGGTTGAACCACCCTGAACAACTGTTCCGACCTGCATGATTGAAACTCTGCACCAGTGCACTCGTACCAAACAACTGGAGATTGAAATACTTTTGGTTTACAATAATTAAATGCTTGCCTATGGAAAATTGTTTTTTGAGAAGATGAAGAAGTGTCCCGCCTAAGTCCCTGCAGGCAGATGGCCTCAAGGCATGTAAATCTAACTACCATGAAATACCGAGGATTCGCCCATTCTACAATAAGCGCCCACCTCTCAATTTCGTAGCGTTCGAAAAATATACGAGGAACATATCTTTATATATGTTGTTGACTAAATGAGCGCCCATCCCCCAGGTTTCCACGATGATCCCCAAATTTTGAGTGGGCGTTTGCTCGAGATTTTATGGTAGTTCGTAAATTCCTCAAGATTCGGCCCCGAAGTGAAGAGGAGAAGACAGTGACATTGGGCTGCCTCCTCAGAACGAGTTAAAGCACTGTAGGAAAAGTCGAGGTCGCAGCAACCCTACTGAGTTGCGATGGGAGAGAGAAACTACCTATCTAGCTCGACCGTTGCTCAGAGTCGGGTCTCTCGAGTTGCTTCCGTTCTTGCCTTGTAGGTTTCAGATCCGATGGTTCAAGAGCAGCTGTTGGAGTACATCTACCAGGGGTTTTTGATACCCGTGGTGGGGCCTGCATTGCATCAGGTGCGTACGTCGGTGGTTGTCCAGAAGGCTACAACTTCCTGTTTGTTTGTGCGCCGTGCCTTCTTTTGTCTCCTTCTAAGTTGCACATTTGTTTCAGTTGCAAACTGTTTTCAGGCTAGGTTCGTAAAGCTCTTGTTTGTTTTTTTTCTTTTTATTATCTTTTCGTTCTTGACATCGTCAGGTAGTTGGCATTTTGAACCCCTTGTCCAAAACGTTAATGTTACGAGAGGTGGTCCTTGGTTTTGGGTATATTGGATCAGTGATTGACCGGCGTATGATAGCGTTGCGGCTTACCCTTAGGATATTGAAATTGCGCCAATTTTCGTAACGTTTTGTTTTATGTCCTCCATTAAGCATCCTAAGCCTTTTCATTTAGGAAAGCATGCAGAAAATTTTGAGAAGCTGTTTTGTAGTTATTTAGGAGCTTCTCTCGAATACCGTGTGTTTGCAGCGATAATAATGAAGTTTACGTAAGACTTAGCTTTAATCGTGAAAAGAAAAACAGTGCCAAAACTCGGTTTGTTTTTCTATTTCATGTGTCAAGCTACACGCCTGGCACATCACACCTAGTTAATGTAGCATTGTCCCGCCTGACTAGAGCCAAAAGCTGGCGCAGACAGTATGCACGCGTGTGTTGGTGTGGGGAAGGAGGTTGCAGTGTTAATTCTGGTCCCTTCTTTCCACTTTTCTTTCTCTCTTTCCCCCTGTCTCTCTCTCTCTCCATCCGTCATAAAATTGGCACGGCCGGGTGGTGTATTCTCAGGACACTGCGGATATAGACATTGAGACACTCGAGAGCTGCAACCTTTTTGCGGTCAGTACCCCACCCCCTTCAGTTGGGAATTTACGTTTGCACCCCCGCCTTTTTTGGCTTGCATGCTTGTATAGCTGCACGTCTAACCACTGACACTAACGCCATTTGCTAGAGTAGTGGGTAGAAGGAAGGCCGTAGTTAAGTCGTAACACTGCTTGGGGCCTTTTGCCCGGCATTTTGTGCACCCGCTTTATTTCTCCTAGTTTTTGCCCGCTTTTGCTCGCCTTCGCCCGTACGTCGCTGCACGTGTTTGCTGCTGCGTCGACGAGGGAATAGGTAGAGCTCCTTCAGTTGTCACCATTATTTATAGGCTGCTTTTTTTTCATACTTTTTATTGGGAGTAGAAGACTGTTTTTAATTTTTGCTTTATTTTATAAAGGCAGAACAGTGTACAACGTAGGTATCATTGTTTTTTTCCTTGTCACCCAACTTTGTCTAGTTACAGAAAAGATTTAATCGAAGGTTTATGTTTGAGCAGTTTTTTTTTCCCAATTGAAAGAGAAAGTTGCGTGCGATACAAAGTCTGCTTACTTGCGGTGAAATACATTTCTAGCATGGGACAGTTTGTGGTGTCCATTTTTGTCTGGCGGCCCGCCGTCTATACTAACCTCTGTTCTGTTGGCTGCACAACACTGGGGCAACGAAAACTATGTACACATTCAAAAGAATTGTCGCCTCGTTGCGACAAGCGGAATCTGTTTTCTGTTCTACGTATTTTTTAAACTAACCCATTCACTGCGTCACATACTATACTCACTGTCACATCAAGGGGAAAGGAAGTTTTGCACATTATTCAGATGCTGTATGAAGTAGTTCTTACAAAATTTGGTTGTCAAAGGAAACACTTGACACTTTGACAAACGAACGAGCAAGCCTCAATAAAATAATAAATCTAATCTAAGATGCATCTACATACATCTCAATTCGAGATTAGTAAGGTAACTCTATGCAAAGAGCCAAACTTTTTTTGACTACAGTTTTTGGGGTGAATACAAGTATATTTGACCAGGGCCGGTATGCTGGTGAATGCGGGTGTACCGACCCGGCAGTTAAAATAGTTGCAAAAGGGATTTCGAAGTCATGTCGCCGGCTCCATGGGAGGAAGAAAGTACTTAACGTTCCAGCCAATTCCACTCGGCAAATGTAAGCCTCCCCCAACATTTTCTTTAGACCTTTCCCAGAAATAAATTTATATGCCACTCCTAAAATACGGAAACGCAATTATTTTACTCCATTTCCAACTCGCTCACCCTCTTTCTACGCGCAAAATCTGACTCGAATAATCGAAACGAGGACTTGCCTGAAGCGCTGGGTACCTTTAGCTTCCTGCACTCACGGGGTCAGTCACGTGACCTCAAAATCCGCCTTGTGGCTGTTTCAACCCCCGGGGAGACTCCCGCATTCACCACCAAACCGGCCCGGACATCGAGGGAAGAATTTGCCTGGTGTCCGACTCGCGAGGACACAAAACTGACCTCCCGTCTCGTGTCTTGCATGAAAACGACCATATCGGGTTGAACGCTTTTCGTGGAGCGTCGGTAAAGAGACGGCAATATGTGCCTCCAAGCTTTGAAGGCGAAGCATGAAACGAGACTACACATGAAGCAGCATGCTGAAGCATGGTGGCTCTGTCGATACTGGGTACAGTCATGTTTTGGATTGCGCATTTCTTGCAGAACACCATGGAAGAGATTGTGACTGCCACCTCCTACCTGGACCTGTTCCTTCGGACGGTGACGGAGCCACAGCTACTCTTGGTGTTCTTCCGGTTCCTTCTGACCGAAAGATACGAAGGTCACAGGATCCTGACAACCTTGATCAGTCGCATCGGTGGACTTTCGAGGGTGAGTGGTGAACCACAATGCTTGTTTTTTAGCGTGGAACACATTCTTGGTGAGGGTAACTTCGTGGAAACGTAAGACGCAAGAGCGTTGCGCCAAAGAGACCGGTCGTACGATGTCACCGTTGTGTCGGGACTCCCTTGTGGGTGGCGCCTCGCTCCTATTGGCTGGCTCGAGAGGTCATGTGACTGTAGCAACAACCACATAGGAAGAAGGGAGAAGTTTCGGAACGAGTCCAGATAGGACGTCGAAATTCCGGTGGGGCATCGCGGATCTCCCAGCAGGGGCATTATCGAGCTAAGGATCTGCGTGCAGGTGCACACCTCGTTACCTTGAAGACGTGTGGGCAAATGAGGACGGTTCCTCGTGCTCCTGTCATGCTGCGCCATCTCACGACGTTTGTCGGAAATCTAAGCGAACCTCGACCTCCATTCAGACACCTCGCTCCTCTTCCACCGTGGCGACAATCAGGAGCGCAAGTTTGTCCGCTTTAGGGAACAGGGATTACAATGATGTGAGGACGCTGAGCTCTTATTAGCTGATTGAGAAAAATAGTGGGTAGGCCTCAAGGCATCCAGCACTGAGGTCTGCACACTATCCTTTGCATCAATGCCAATCAAAACTCGGCGTCATTCTGACGTCATCGCAATTCCTGCAAAAGAAGCAGACAACTTGCTCTCTGCATTGGTTCTCGTCAGAATAAGAGGTACGAGTCTCGGCACATAAACGACCGTGCTAAGATTTGCCGATTCAAACATGTTCTGTCTATGACAATTCTCTCGGGTAGAACCAAAGCAGTGCCGCAAATTACTGAATATAAAAAATATTGATCTAAAAAAATTAATCAAGTCTCTTCTTTTGTTTCTTAGTTTGGATTATTTTATGCAACTAGCACAAGCATACTAGATGATGCAGCTTTAATACAATTATGTTTTACAATGTTAAATTTATCGCTTCGCGCTTTCGTTTTGTGACGTATCGGTAGCTTTTTTGTTACTCCATGAGTGGGAGATTACGAGAGGTCCACCGGAGACTAAGCGATGAAAGTGTTAATTGCATAATTTTGGGAACAGGATCTCACTGTCAATGTGGAAAGGAATGCTTTGCTCGTATGCTCATAAAAAAAACATGGAAGTTCTTTTTAATATTATTTCTAGCTGTGTCTGGTGACCATGGCGTTGTTTCGGACCCTTCTCGACTTCAACTGCGAGGACATCATGCTGGAGCTGGTCCTCAAGTGAGTGCCTTCCCCAAGTTGAAGAGACATCCGCTTTAAATGCACATTTCTGAGGAAACCTTACGCACTTATGCATCAGTCCTTCGGTGTGTAAGCGACCTAGCAGGTGGCACCAATCTGTTGCGGTACGCAACAGATTGGTGCCATCTGCCCAACGCATTGCCCCACAGGGGTAATACGTTGGGTGCATTGCCCCCCGTATGCATAATTGAAGCAGGTACTGCGTCAATTATGCATACAGGGGGTAATGCACCCAATGCATGTGATACAATATATTGGCTTCTGAACTGCAAATACAGTTACCAAAGGTCTTATTGTGTTTATACGCACATAATAAGAGAAACATTTTAATTGAAGCAATGCTACTACTCAAGTCATTGGTTGACCGCAGGAAGAGGACTGTTAGATAAAATAATTGTGCGAATTGGTTTTAAACTTGATTGAAGACTTTGTGAATGGTGACAAAAACTTTTGCTAGAATTTCCACAGCAGTTCCCACGCGTAAACGACTTGATTCTTGTGAAGACCAAATTTTCGTGAATTCCGCAACTCGGATAATATTGTGAAAAATAGATTTCATGGATATATTACTCTATGGTAACGAATGCATAGCAAAACCACTCCCAATTGCAAATAATTAGTGCCTGCGAATAATTCCTGAGGGCAGAAAAGCAAGAGATCAAGTATAACCGTATGTGAGCGATTTGGCGAGCAACGAGACAAGCGACGCAAACGTGGGCCCATTGTTGCTCAGTCGGTTGCACGACGAGGCAAACCGCGTGAAAGTGACGGGAGCAAGGGACCACTTTTCAGTGTTGATTGAGCTTTTGAATTCAGTGCTTCATACTTGGCGTGGAAGTGAGACATGTCCCAAAGAATCCTCTCTCGCTCCACCTCATCAATGAGGTGTTCGCTGAAGCGGTGATTGTAGTTGGGGTTATTACCCATCGCAAACGGTAATGAAACGAAGTTTCTCAATAACGCGTAACCGAAAACAGCCGCGCAGTCGCGTGTGCAAAGTTGTCGCTTGTGCAAACCGATAGTGACATAAAACGGAACGTTTCGTGCTATTGGCTAGTTGCTTCAGCCACTCCGGGCAATGAACGACGTGTTCCAGAAATCTAGAACCAAGCGATGCGACGGGCGACAGTAACAAATCTTTGTCGCTCGTCGCTGACTTTTGTTGCTTGTTGCCGCCGCTCGTCTCGTCACTTGCTTACATGCAGTTCAGCCTTCACTCTTAGCAAAATTTGCAAAACACATATGAAGTCATTTACAGTAAAGAAACGATTACGCAGTACAAGTCAATCCTGCAAAATGTCGCCGAAATGCTGTTGCATTTCGACGACATTCTGCACAGTGATTTCGGCATCAATTTTTTTACAGCAAAGCTGTTACGCACTAGGATCTGGGAAAATATGTGTCCGCGGATGTTGACAGAAAACTCTCCATTGGTTGTAGCAAGTAGGAATAAATAAAAATAAAAAGATGGGACAACCAGCGTGAGTCAGCATTCCTTGGCCTTAGATAGTGAGGTCCTGATCCCTTGCTATCACGTCTAGGCATCGTCCTCGAGGTTGTCCTAGAAGTCGTCCTTAAGGTCGTCCGAAAGATCATCCTAGGCGTCGTCCTCGAGGTCGTCTGAAAGGTCGTTCTCAAGGCACCGTCCTTGAGGTCGTCGTAGACATCGTCCTAGAAGTCATCCTAGAAGTCGTTTTCGAGTTTGTCCTAGATGTCATCTGAGAGATTGTTTTAGGCGTCGTCTTAGAGGCCGTCCTAGACATCCTTGAGGTTGTCTTAGAAGTCGTTCGAGAGGTCGTTATAGGTGACGTCCTAGAGGTCGTCCTAGATGTCCTAGAAGTCGTCCTTGAGGTTGTCCTAGATGTCTTCCTCTAGGCGGCGTCCTCGAGGTCGTTCTTGAGGTCGTCCTATACGTTGTCTTCTATACTTCGTTTCAGCTTCGGTCCGAGCGCGGCCGATGTTATGAGCCGAAGGGCCAATCAAACAGCGAAAGAGGCACAACGTCATGGCGTGCCCTCTGCAGTTGATAGGACCAGCGTGCTCTCTGTGCGTGCTCCTTCGCCGGCTAGTCCTATCAAGCGCAGAGCGCGCGCCATGACGTTGCACTCTTTACGCTGTTTGATTGGCCCTTTTGCTTGTAACATCTGCCGCGCTCGGACGGAAGCTGAAACGAAGTATAGGCGTCCCGTCGAGGTCATTTTCGATGTCGTCCTAGAAGTTGTCCTTGAGGTTGTCCTAGACGTCGTCCTCTAGGCATCGTCCTAGACATCGTAAAAATAAGAGCTTCGCTGGTTCTCCATCTTCTTGTGAAGTGGAAGGGCTCTACAATATTTTGTTATGTTGGTTTGAAAGAGAAGGTTATGTGCACTGCCATTCTTTACAACCTCCCGCACTGCAGGTACCTGGTTCCCTGCTCGCACGTGATGGTGAGCCAGCGCAGCCGCGTCTGCGACGTGGACCTCTACAGCTGCGCTGCGGAGAAGTTCCTCTCCCTGGTGCCGGCCTGCTGCTCATGCGCAGAAGACGCGCCGACACCGCTGTCCTCCCTCCTGTCCGTCGAGAAAGTGACGCGCGGAGGAAGTCTCCAAGTTCGCAGCCGCCGACCCCGCCGCTCCTTCTCCGGAGTCCTGGGCAGCTACGAGGCGGGAGATGCTCCGCGCGGACTCCCATTGTCGCAGACGATGATGGCGCTCAACGGAACATCGGTGCCGTCTTCAGCGCCAAAGGGCTACACGGGCTACCACCTCTACCTCGCAGATGCGCGCAGTGGTGTTCGTTCGACGCGACGCGCCTGCTTGAACTGGTCTTCGTCGTACGACGGCGCTTCAGATCTAAATGGCGTTGCTTCTGCGACGACGAGGGTCGAGGCGAAAGCAGACGATGCGAAAGCAGACGACGCAAAGACGGACGAAGCATTGGCGGAGGACTGTTCGGTCTCGGCAGGGGACTCCGGGATCTTCGTGACGCGGGAGTGGTCGACGGCGGCGGCGGGCGGAAAGGGAGGCTTCGACGCGTTTGGAAGCCCCAACATCGGTCCGTTCCTGGGCGTGCTACTGGCCCGACTGGAGATGATGCCGCAGAACGACGTCTACACGAACCTGCAGTTGACGGCGCTCATTGGGCGGCTAGCGCTGTACCCACAGCCGCTGCTGCGCTCGTTTCTGCTGAGTCACTCCCTCGTGTTCCAGCCGAGTGTGCGGTCCCTCTTCCAGGTTTGTGTGGCTTACGAGTTTCGTGCTGCTTCGTTAAAACGCTAATTATAAGCAATGCAGCTTACTTTCAAGGCCGGTTCACACACGCATTGCAGCACTGAGAATGCAGAATCGGTGCTGCATCAGCTCTACTGTCGGTACTAGCTCAGTGCAGTAAACTTTCACTTGAGCGAACGTCGGAATAGCGAATATTCTAGTTCAACGAACTTGATCAGTGGACCCAGGATTATTTTTGCAATCAGTTCAACGGAGTTTTGTGCTCTGCAGTACTGGTGTAGCTGATGCCCGCCGCCCCACCGCCTCTGCAGCGGCGGCGTATCATTGCTGGCGTTCGTAGCACCCCCGAGGCAAAGCAGCGGTGCGGTAGACAAAAACGATCCACGTGGTGTGTCTGTTTTTTCTTTGTCATCGGTTCTTTTCGGCCTTCTTAGCTTTGGTAACAACGGCAGGACGGCAGTTTGTGCGCCCACTTTCGTAATGAGTGCGACGAAACGGAAGCGGCTGTCTCTATCAGGCAAGCTCAAAATCCTTCAGCGTCTGGACAACGGTCTAGGGCAAGCGGACGTTACAGAGGACTATGGGATTGTACTGTCGACGTTGTCAACGATAGTGAAACAAAAGTCGAAGCTTGAAGGAGAAGCTGCGTTCAATCCCAACAGAAAACACTCTGCATGGGATATTTCGAGCCAGTGGACGATGCCGTTGCGGTATGGCTTCGTAGCTGCAACAAGCTGTGCCAGAGGACGTGCAAAAAAACATAGACTCTCTGGACAGCTTTGTTACTTCATGCGCTTTAAAAGGGCTGGTGCCAATGAAAATTAGTTTTTTTTCAAAATGAGAAAGGCAGCAACATAACTGTTATGCACTTTGTATAAATCTATGTACATGACTCCATAAATTGCATTTGACACTTATAACTCGATGTATGCTGTGCCCTATGTCGTTCCATGTTCTAGTGCAGTGGTTGTCAACTATCTATGTTTCGCGGACCCCTTGTGGTTCGGCGGAAATGATGAAGGACTCCGTTCGTGGCGAAGGGAGGGGAAAGGTATAGGTTCAATATAATAATGAAATGATTTAATAAATGTATATCACTAAGGGCTGGTGTGAAGTAGCCCGAAAACTGGAAAATTTCTCCCCGATCAGAAAAAATACAACTTTTATTGCCGGGCTTTACTGATGAGGCAGGGCTTCGCGGACTCCCATTTGAGAACCACTGTTCTAGTGAGTATATTCAGTTTAGTGAACTTTCAGTTAAGTGAACTATTTCCTTGGGTCCCTCGAAGTTCACTCTAGTGAGAGTTTACTGTACTGAGTTGGCACTCCATGGTGTGTAAGCAGAAAATGACAGGGTCACACTCATTGTAGCACTGAGTTACCGCCGCAGTGGATGTTCGAACGGTACTTAAGTCTGTTTGAGAACCCCTGGCCCGGCGTACGGGCATTCTGACGAAACGTTTGCACTGGCTGCAGGTGCTGGGCTCACTGAAGCACAAGGTGGATAGCCTGTCCTACACACTGCCAAACTTCGAGGAGCTGTTGTCCAGGGCGCGCTTATTCTTCGCGACGAGGGAGGAGAGGCTACTCGCGGACGCACCGCCAAGGCTCTACGGAGACAAGCCCGTGCACCGCAGCCACAGCTTTGGGCCGGACCTCAACAGGGGTGAGTGCGTTCGACAACCGCTCGAGGCTAGCAAGACGCTCTGGCGGCGATGCCGATGCAAGCAACGCTGTTCCGCTTGAAACGCTGTTTGGGGGCCTTGTCTTTTAGGTGGTATACCATAAAATCTCCAGCAAGTGCCTACCCAAAATTTTGAGCTAATCGTGTAAAACGGGGGGACGGGCACCCCTTAGGTCGACAATATATAGAGATACCCTATTATCTCCGACTATTTTCTGGATGTTACAAAATTGAAAGGTGGGTGCTCACTATGAAATGGGCAGACGCTCTGTATTTTACGGTACTTCAATCCCCACCCCTGCCCATTTCTATCTGGATAAGCATTGTACCGGCATGTGGTCGAGCGTCATTACTGCAGTGTTCGATAAAGTACATCTAAAAATTACCGAAAGTGCAAAGTAAATGAGAGGTTATGTACCTCAAGGGATGTAGTAAGTACAGAGTACTCTAGGAGCAACTTATTTAAAGTAAAGTAAAGTACTTTCAAAGTACAAACACTTTTTAACACAAGCTTTCATGATGCTCTTTCATTCTCTTATGGGTTTTTTTTTAACTGGTGCGCACGCTCCGAGAGTAATCAGGGGTGCATCAGTTATTTTCGGAAATGGCGGAGAATATTGGATAAAGTCAAGTGGCCACACAGCACAGAGCAATCCACTTATAACGATACCGCATGTAACGATGTACTGCCTATAGCGATCAGTTTCTAGAGTTTCTAGGCTAGAAACAATCAGTTTCTAGTCCAGATACAACGATAATCGGTTATGACGATTGAAATTTCGTGTTTTCTCATTATCGTTATAAGTGTATTGCACTGTATTTGTTTTACTCTCGCTGACAAACTACTTAACAGATTGAACTTATAAGGCACTTATTTGTTGAGAAAGCATCATTTTGTGATACAAATTTAACGAGGACAAATTTAAGCAATGTACTTTGAAGTCGGGAGTTGTACTTTCCTCGGGAATTACCAGAAAAAATAAGTGCAAATACACACTCGGAGAATGTACCATACTTGGAGTGATTTACAAGTTTTCTAAGCCTACTCGAACTAGTAATTTAACTACAACGTAGTAAAGAAATTTCGAACACTGCTAGTGCGAGATGCACGTCAAAGACCCCAGGGTAGCGGTAGTTCTGCACCGGCTAAATTCCTTCGTATGGCGGAGCACCGGACGCCCATTGGGGTCGGCTCCATCCCCGCCCCCAGAAACGTTGAGACGGTCAATGGCGGAGCACAACGTATTGCCCGTGCTTCCCGACACTGTATCTCGAGTTTGGAGGGTCCCATTTTCTAATTGCAACGATCGCCACTCTTGCCTGCCCCGCACTAGGCACCAAAATGGTAACGGCAACAAGAAAATTGGGGAATAGGGTGCGTTCTTGTGTCACAAATTGTTTTAGTGAAATTACGCTATATCCGACGGCAGCGGTGTTACGCTTCTATTAATTTTCAGCATCTGTGCCCAAAGAATGATTCGGGTCGTTACGTTTAGCCAGTGAGCCGTAGTGTCATTCCTCGTGGTAACTTCGGTGGTGCCGTCCGCAGGAGAACCGAAGAGGCGCAGCCTGGGCAGCCTGTTCCGGCGGCTGGGGCCGCCCAAGGCCACACCGAGCCCCGTGCTGCTAGAAACCGACCAGCACCATTACAGGTAACATTTGGCTGCCTGGTATCGGCGTACTCGTAAATGATCTGTTCCAACATAAAGCTTTTGCTATAACCGCCGACAAGATGAGAATGGCAGGGCATCGCTTTCGAATGCCCAGTCCTCGGGAAACGGACCCGTTGCCTTCCATTGTGCCTTGGCTCGGCACGCGCACCGAGGCTCCCGAGACGTTGAAGCGTTGTCGGAGGCTGGAAGCTTACGCCAGAGGGGGGGGGGGGGGGGGGGGGGGGGAGGAGGAGGGAGAAACGACTTCTTCGAAAGGACGGCGAGCGTGCAGGCGAGTTGGTGAATGCTCGATGTAACCCGAAACGAGAAAGGAAAAAGGAGACAGTTAAAGAAATGAAAGACATTTACAATCTGCTGTAATGCTAAATTAGAGTGCAGCTCTTGAGTAGGAGGAGGAGGGGAGGGTATGGAGCGGAGGGTATTCCTCTCCTCCTCCTCCCCCTCCCTCCCTCCTTCGTGACGTCACTCGTGAAGGTTGAGACCTTCACGAGTGAAGGTCGTGACCTTCCCGAGTAACTTTTGTGACATCACTCGTGACCCTCGTGACGTCATTATGGGAAACGTCCCATAACGCCACGTGCAGTGATAGCGCCGCCGCTCAAGCCGGAAACGGACGCCTAAGAGCTCCGCTCTCAAAGAGGGAGAACAATTACCGTTTTTAAGACATTGTGTTTGTCACTCTGATTATGCATCATTGTTTTCCTTTTCTGTCTCGAGCTCAGTTGTGTCGAGCGAAACTCCTCCCAACCACGCTCATCTTGCCAGGGGCTAGTTGCAACGAGGGTTACCAGGAGCAGCACGGCGTTCAGTTCTAAAAACTCAACGAGTGCTGCTGCCGTTAGTTGTTCTGGGAAGTAGGAAGTCTGACGAAATCTCTGCGGAGCAAAGAACGCGACGCGTGACCGTTGTCGACGACGCGATTGGTTGCAGGTTTTTTCCGAGGCCCCCCACGAGCGAGACAAGCGAAGAGGACGTGCGGCTCGAATCGGTCAAGACGCAGAATGCGGTGCTGTGCGCGGTGGTTCTGGAAGAGTTCCTCAAGGAGTTGGCGGCCATCAGCCAAGAGCATGCCATCCAGCAACTCTCCTCGTGACCGCCGGGCTCCGTCGTCGTCCGCTTCTCAATGGACATGGCCTCTGGACGCTTTTCCCACGGGAGGCGACGCTCTGTAATACCGCGGCGCGAATGGCCTACTGTTACTGTTTGTTGTCAAGTAGCGCCGTTGTTGGCTGAAAGAAAGTAGAGCTTACAGGTCGTCTGCCACGAGCAACGGGTTTTTCGTTGAACCTTAGCATTGCTCACGAAATTTGCTAAGAGCTGGCCACGTCGTCTTTCGGTCTCAAGTCTGTATAAAGTTAGTGTACATAGGGTTTGTTTGGGGAGCAGAGCCACCTTGTATCGCGGGAGCAACTTTGAAAAACACAATAGACGCGCGACCACTCGAGCAACTGCTGCAGACCAATTTATGAGGACAAGCAAAACGTTCTAGACTGTGGTTCAGTCTCTTTTGCTCATGGTTTGAAGGTAGAAGTTACCCTGTCGCCTCGCAAACACGTTTTTTGTGGACAGCGTCACTTTTCAAACGTGATTGAACGGTAGGTTTCTGGAATTGCGTGTCTTTACCCGTTCTTGCATCGGAACGTTGCGAACGTTCCTCTTAGCTCAAAGACTGTGACCGTCTCCAATTGTGACTCAGATTACAAGTGTAGCGGGTTTCTTGCTTAAAAGATAAGTTGAGAGATTGGGAGTGTGCAGTTCTGTGTTGTTGGCAATGCTCAGCAGTTCCTGAATCCTCAGGTGCAGGAAGACGAGTGCTTTAGAGCATTGCACCGAAGCGCTGCAGTATAGCCATCTTGTAGGAAGTTACGTCGACAGTGGCTTGGGATGGAAGGATGATGGCATCAGATGTGCTTCTACAAGTTAAATGCATTCGAGACAACAGGTTTCGTGCTTTTGGAAGTGGGTTAGTTTTGTACATATGGTAGTATTTCAGTTACCGACTACTAATAAAATAATTTTTTTAAGCATATTTTAGAGATTTATTATATAATGTTTAGCATTTCGAGACATTGATGAATTTGGACGAGATAGTAGTTTTGCAACCACATCATTTTGAGCCGAGGTTTCTTTGCTGTGCTTTTTGTAAAGGTAGCAAAGAGACAGTTTAGGTATTAAAACAAAGGTATGCAAGTATGAAGCATTGTGTGATGTTTCCTGTATATATAGACGAATACTGGTAGCAAAAATTATTTTTGCGACATTCTTTTGGTGTGCAGATGCATTTGTAGTGACCAGTTTATGTGTAATTTCGTGACGGAAGAGAGTTTTCATACGCAGCTTCTGTGGTTTGACATACGTTTTAAAGAGGCAGAGGACGATAAAGTGAAAGTTTGTTTGTCTTATCCGGTGTCCGTTCACAGGTGCGTTAGCTGCATTGGCAAGAGCAGGCAGGAGGCAAAAAGTCTGAAGCCAAAATTTATGAAAGCTAGCCAAAATTTTTATGATTTGTCTACATTGTGGCTTTTCTGCGTTATCGGCTTTGTCTTAATAGTTCTTAACAGATCAGCAAAAGAAAACACTTTCGCCTGTTATTCCCATTCGATTCTGCTCGTGAGAACCAGTGCTCCGTGACCAAAAGCTCTAAAAAAAAACATGAACTCGCCGCTTGAGCACAGTGTGTAGACGGGATAAACCTTGTGATATACGTCCACAGTTGAGATGTTCCATTCCCTGTTGAATACTTTGTGCCTAGTTGTTGTTTTGCTGTAACGATTGCAGTAGTAGTACTGGCTCGTAGCACAGCCTGTTCTTACTTGTTTTCGGGTGCATGTGCATGCTCACGACTCGAGGCCTTGTGCCAGCTTGTCGGATGCCATGGATGGAGGATGCGGGGAGTATTGTGCGCAAAGAGGCCACGTTGAACATGGCGAGGTATTGGAGTTAGAAAGTCCCAGGATGCACCATTTGCATAAGTTATTGCAAGGACGCCAGAGGCTTTAGTTTGCGGTGTGCTACCACGTTAGCTGGCAAGGTTAAAGCGTCGCAAAGAAGCGGCCTCGCTGGCGCACATACTTCCGTGCAGTGGACTGCGCGCAAAGGTTTCTCATCTCGACTCCATGGCACCTATGCCAGTTATGCATTAATTTATTTAGGACGACAAGAGTTATTTATGAATTGCGGCATATAGTGATTGCGCCGACTCGCTTGATCTCCAGTGTTTTTCTTGTTCTGTTGCTGCCTCGAGTATTTGCTGAATGGTTCGAGCACCGTTGTGTACCAGTGCATTCAGCCGAAGTGACGCACGACAATGTGGGACGCGACACAAAAATGTACAGCTAGCGTTTTCAACTAGGCTACATTTGGCCGTGATGGCAAGAAACAAGGCAACGCCTCTGGGGAAGATCTCTCGTGCAATCTAAAAAGCATCTGAAGCAGCGTCTGTCTTTTTCAGAGGCCAGTTTTACAGTGGCAGCGATTTCTAAATTTGTTTATAGTTTGCAGGATGCTTTTTTCTGGTGTTGCTTTCATGAAACCAAATGTTCACCAAAACAGTGATGTCAACAAAATGTGCAGATACCGCATCTTTTTCAGTTTCTTGAAGAAAGAGTTCGTACGAGGATGTCTCGACGTAATTTTGTCTGGTTTTCATTAAATATTTGTTATTGGAATGTGTTCTTTCTCTTGTATTTTCTAGACAAGAATGTTGCCTTCTGAATCTACCACAGTAATTTGATGTTGCACCCACCTTTCATTACCCTGAGTTCTCGTACACACAATACTTGTAACGGAAGGAAAATGCATTCGTACGGAGGTTCCTCTCAGAATGTCAAAAGCTCACACATTCGAGACGGAGTTTGTAGATTTAGAAATCATATGTCGCTATATCATATTTCAATTCTTCCGATATGTCCCGAAAGATGAACTGTTAAAATGTTACAGCTATGTCCTGAATGCTCATTGTCAAAGAAAGAGTATTTTTCACCGGCTGGCCTGGCATGGCAATCAACCTGCTCAGAATTTTCTCAGCGTTTTGCAAATAAATGTGGACATCGTCATCATTATTGTTCCGCAACTTACCAATCTCATCTTCCTTCTCATTTGCGCACCATGACCAATGGACAGTGTCAAATTGCTGGTTGCAGCCGCATTACGTTTGCCCAGTATAAGACCATTAACCCCTTGCCTACTAATAGCGAGTGTCACTCGTGCCGCCATTTACGGACCATAAAACCCGACCACGAGTGCGACTCGTGTTTCGGTTTCAGAGCTTGTTTTGTGAGCTCTGCGGCAGATGGCAGCACTACCCCTGTTGCTCCTGTTTACCTTTGGTTCTTTTCTTGTTTGCTTTGCCTTTTGACAGATAGAGGGCGCTCCATTAACAAAATTAAGCGCGCTATTGTAAGCAAGCGCGCCAAAAACATGTCTTCGGCGCGGAGGTCTGCTTTGGCGGACGAAGATATACAAAGACTTCTTTTTGAAAGTGATGAATGCGCCAGTATTTCTGACGACGAATCCTGCTGCCTTTCCGATTACTCGGAATCCGATGAGAGTTCAACGGACAGTGAGAAAAGTGTTGAAAACGATGCGAATCCTGGAAGCATTTCATCGACTTCAGCATCTGCACGTCAGTGGAACTGGGAGAAGAGGGACAACCAGCCTGCTCAGTTCACCTTTGTAGAAACCCCAGGTGTGTCAGCAAGGGTTCAACGCAGTCTTGGTGAGAAGACAAGCGCCTTGTCGACCTTTTCCGTGTTTGCAAGTCATGATTTTTGGGCGTCTGTCTCTGCTGAGACAAATCGCTAGGCCGAACAAGAGATGGGCGACGAGGATCGTCCCAAGAAATGCTATGAGGAGCAATGGTTTGACACCACTCCGGATGAGATGAAGGCATACTTTGCCTTGTGCATCATTATGACGCAAGTGAAAAAACACACAGTCAAAATGAACTGGTCCAAGAGGTCCATAGTGGAGACCCCAATTTTCGGCAAAACGATGTCCTATGTGAGGTTTCTGCTAATCTCTCGATTTCTATCATACTGTGAAGAACTACTGAAGAAGAGGAGACGACCAGAAGTCCTGGTATAGAGCACGAGACTACGCCTGAAAGCCAAGGAAACGTTTTTCTTTATTTTGACGCAAATTGCTTGATTTAAATAAAGCTTTCTGTGCGATCTTTAAAGAAGAATAATGAGTAGGCAAGGGGTTAAAGAACTTGCAAGTGCTTAACTGTATTATGGCAAAGCTTTGTTGAGCGAAAAACAACAAACATGGGGATCAGCATGTGCCACCCCAGGGACGGTTTGTTAGTGAATGCGGCTATTTCTCCCAGCAGGTATGAGGGATATTTTTCAGGCCACGTGACCTGTTTGGAGGGCAGGTCACGTAGCATTCGAACTGAGTCCGCTCAGGAGACGTAAACCTTGCCCATTTCTTTATTTTATTTCTCGCTTAACACAACTTTTTCCTGGATGTGCAGCTCCTAGAGCACACAAGTGCAGTTCATTTCACTTGCATTCCAAGCCTGTTCACCCTTCTTTTGCATGCCAAAACAGACTCGAATAATTGAAGCAAGGACAAACTTTTGACACCTAAAACTGCACCCATTTGCCTGTCTCGGTGCCAACTATTTTGGGCTGTATCGTCAAGTCTGGCGCAGCTTCCACAGTGCTCTAACGCTGTCGAAGCTACTTGTGCGAGCGCTTTGATCCGTTTTGCGTTTTCTTCGCACGAGAGCACGTGTGGACGTGCTCTCGCAGCAGTGCTAGCTGCAGCACTTTGGAATCTACAATGCTATGGATACACGCTTCGCTAGCCTTGACGACGTATCAACAAATATTTGAAGCCGAGATTTCTTTTATAGGTACCTTGTACCCATAAAGCCAGTCGGGTGACCCAAAAACCCCTTCTGCAGGAATTTTAGCCGCCGGGAAAGATGCTGTATTCTCGCGCGTTGGCCGCCCCCCTCCTTTTGACAAAAGCGGCACAAGACAAGGACATTAAAGGGGCACTGACACATCAAAATCATTTTTTTTTATTATCCGAAACGATTGAAAACGATGCCGGGACATTACTTTCAAAATTTGAAATTTGGGAATTCAGTATTTGTGAAGTAAAAAAACAATTTCCAAATGCCGAATTCGAAGTTCCCGCGCGATCCGCGCCGGTGTGTTGACGTCAAATATTGCGGAGTCCTGAGAGTCCACTTCCTTTCACGACTCCCTGCTGTTGCCATGGCGACCCAAAGCAAGGAGGAAAGGAGCGAGCGCCGGCGTTGCGGTGGATCGGTTTTGAGCGGTGTCGCCTGTTTTCCGTGGGAGGATACAAATCCAGGAGACGGCACCACAACGAACACCCAATGTTTGGTATTTCAAAAAGAAGGGCCATAGTGTGTTCGCAATTGCGTTAAAAAACATGTTTTAGGATTGCCGTTATTAAATGTTATAGAGATGTCACCTACAAAGCTTCTAAATTTCATGATTCTTGACGTCACGAATCAAAAGAAGCGAGGAGGCGAGAGGCGGGAGAATCAAACGCCAAAAATAAAAAGGCGCGCGCGCGTGCGGGAATATTTTTTTTTGCGATGCGGTTTTATTTTGCGTGTCTATGACTGCAACTTGCATCGTTTTAGACAATAAAAAAAAATACGACCTTTGGGGTGTCAGTGCCCCTTTAAGTAAGAGACACAGCACAAGTGTTGCTTTCAACCGACTGCTTATTTGGAACTACTCAAATGATTGGAAATAAATTTGCAGGGGAGATTAAACTTCAGATGTAGGTGTACTGTGCAAGCTTTCAACTCTCTGGGACAAATTTACATACCTGCATAAGGTGATGTGTCAGTCTTTGTTAAGAAATCTTTGATATGCAAATGAAGCTATTAAGCACCATTTTGACTGCTTGAATGTAAAGTGGGGGATATGGGACTTTTAGGCTATCTAGTTTTAATAACACAAATGTAAATATTTCAGGAAGAGTTATTACCTCAAAATAAGTGATGAATATCTCTCTTATGTCAATTTTTGAGAACTTAGTTTATCACTGAGGACTTCCAAATTAAAACAAAATCAAGTAGATAGCTCGATTCCCCAGTAAATTTCAGTTCAGAAAGATGTTGATTGTGGTATCGGAATACTTTCACTTTCAAACAAAAGATTCCTTCAAATGAAATTCGCAGCAAAAAGTGGAACTGAAAAAAATGCATTCAAACATTGAACTCCTTTACCTTGCTACTGCCTCACAATGTGTTGAAAGTATTTTATATGAAGGTAACTACTGGGCGTATACGGTTATCAAATTTAGTGTGAGGGTGTATAATTGGTTTCTGAAACCGAAAACCTCAACATTAAAAAAAACGAATTTTTTCAAAAATTTTTTAAATTTAGGTTTATGTCCCCCTTAACTTCCCCAGAATTTGTTTTTTCCAGTTCAGGGGCACACGGTCATCTATCGCAATGAATAGCCAGATCACCCGAGCGGCCATTTCTTACAGACACCGCGTGCTCTCGTGCCCCGCCATTGACGCACCTGCCCGTTTGACCTAGGCGCCTCGTCGCAAATCATGGGAATTTCGTATACGACGGAGTAGGCACAATCTACGAACTGCTTCGAGCGTTTCCTTTTGCACATGTTACCTTTATCTTTTTTGTTGTTGATTTTGTGGCAGAGACCAGACAGCTTTCCTGGGGCCGAAAACACAACCAACACATCAAAATGCGACGCCACCCTTTTTAGGCTGTGTGAAACCTTGTGTATGTTAGGTACGATGACGGGTCTCACTTTTTTCCTGGACCTGGGTGCTTCTTCATCATTCTTTTTCCTCTTAATCTTAGAAACAACCGTTTCGGTTACCTTCTGAAGAAAATGATTGGGGTGGCCCGACGATCTCGGGCGTCCCGCCTGGTTGAAAAAGCTATTGCTTATGGTGTGTTGGCACGATTTTGCGAGGGGACAAGGCATTGCATCTAGATCGTCCCACTGTGAAACAGTAGATCCTTCGGACCTTGCGTTGTGTGATCTCCTGCGGGGCAGTCGAGGCGGGGCCTGATCGGACGGTGGCTAAAGTGGACACCCACAACGTTCATGCACTAGTTTTTTTTGGTGCACTAAACGACATGCGATTAGTAAAATATCCCTATTTATCCCAACCGAAGTTTCATTTCATAATCCCTTTAACGTAATAAAAAAGAAAACTTGCTTAAAGGGTTTGCAAAAAAAAAACCTGCACCGGCAGATAGTGGGTATACACAAAATATGTTGTTCAGACCTTACCCTTAAAATCGAGGTAAATCAAGCTCATAAATTCATAATCACACATATTTGATTCTTTTCACTGTGTCAAATCATTTGATATGGTCACACGTTAGACCATACAATTCCCGATTCTCCCTCTGCTCACCATTTATTTAATGACACGTGGTATGGTCATATGACATATGCTTGGCATCAACCTTTTTGTGCTACGTTGTCAAGGCCAGCATAGTTTCCACAGAGCCGCAGCCACACACCGCATCTCATTTGCACGAGCTTGTGCTAGCCTCAACAATACTTTCCACCATCGGCACAGCAAAGAAATCTCCGTTTCCAAGTCTCCCTTTGGCACAGCGGCAGAATGTATGGCTCACTATCTCGGATTCCTAGGTTTGATTCTTGTTAGAGGACATTCGAAATTTTGTTCCTCTCAATTATCCGGTTTTTTTTTGTACAAATTTTTTCTCCAAAATTTGTGTTGCACATTTTCGTATTTTCACATGCCATCTTTTTCGGGGATCCTAACCCTTAAAGGCCGACGACCATACTCCTGATTCTGCAAGGCAGAAGATCCTGCTCACCGTGGGGGAGGAGGAAACAGGCAACGGTGGACAGGGTAGAAGGGAAAGAGGAGGAAGCGGGGGAAAAGTGGAAAGCGCGAACTGGTCGTCGGTCTTTAAGGATATTCTTCGTTAAAATTATGTAAACCAGACCCGCATTCAACCTATCATAAACACCTTTTATTCGGGCATCAACGAGGAGCAGAGTAAAATAACAATAACAAACCGGACTGGATAACAGTGACTAAGTTCCTCCCGCATCTTTCCTACTTCACCTGACAAGACTGCTAGACAGAATCCCTAGGAACATGATGAAGCCAATCTGTCGGTTGGAGACGAACTTGCGTGCACAGTCGGCAGGATCGTTCAACTTGAGCGTGTAAATCTGAAAAGAAAAAAAAAACGAATTCCCGGTTCATTGCGCTCTACAAATAAACTGCAACAACAGCCAAGGCGTACACACTATACACTAACACTAACAATGACATTGTGTGGTGTAGTGTGACCTAATATTACACTGTCACATGTCTCATGACATCAAATAGTCACGCGACGTCAGTGTCATGTGATGTCACAATGTCACATGCACCGCGACGTCGTGCCACGTCTTATACAAAACGCACCTTGAGATTGGCTGCAAAACCTCGCCGTAAAAACAATACTGCTTCCAGTGGAGGGTATCCACCCAACAAACATTGAAGGCCACTCTAACCAGAAGTAGACAATTTATCCTAACATCCCCCACGATTGCGCTTCGGTATCTCGAGGATCAAGCACTTTAAAGGGACACTGACGGGGTATGTACGGTGGCGAAGGTTTTTATTTGTGCATGACATATGACAGCCCAACTACCCAGGACACAGTTTATGGCTCAAAATTTGTTTGTTTTCTTTCCACCCGAGAACTGGCTGGTTTGAGTCGCACTTGCTCTCTTCTTCGTGGTCTCGTGCCGTTTTCTTTGGTTTAGACACAATTACCAAAGATAATCAAAGTCATGGGTCATCGAAAGCATACACTCAATACTAAAAATAGACAAAAAATATTGTACCCACTTTTTGTGGCTCCTAAAAAGCTGCAAATATGTTGATTAAGAAAGAAAAAGAAAAGTTGCACATCCACGTGACTTTTGTAACTTTCTCCTCCTCTATACTTCGTCTTCCTCACCAGTCCAGTTTCGGTTTCAAAAAGTTCCGTATTTTGACTTTATTAAAAATATATGTGACGCTGTAGCAAAATATTAATTGGGCAGTCTTCGGACACTATAATGGATCGCCTGGCAAAACATTAAAACAAATTTTGGGGGATGTCAGTGTCCCTTTAACCGTGTCTGGATTTATTGTGCTGCCGGACATGGTCTATCGTACATCGGGGGTCTCACCTTGGGCACCCCTTTCCGAACGCCCTTCTAGTCGAGGATCATCCTCCAAACCCGCTCGCCGGCAATTTGTCAGCCTTGCTGGAAAACCATTGTTTTCGGACAGTGTCGATAGGCGCGGCATTGCTGCGGGCCGGTTTTGCCCTCGTAGGCTATGTGTCGTGGGCTACCGCCTATTACAAACGGTGCTGCCACTATTCTCCATCTATTCGCTTAGTTGGTTTCCACACTCTATAGGTTTGGGCATTTGCTCTTTTGAACGGTGCAGCAAAGATATCTATTTTCCACATATATAAATATGCCAATGCAAAGCGAGGGAGACACGATTGTAGTCGCTGACATTGTTAGAACGGCACGGCGTCTCTTACGAACGCCTAGGCTCTTGCGCATGGGCTCTGGAGACGCCAAAGCATTCTCAAAGGTAAGAAGCTGAAGCCGGGACAGTCGAAGCTCCTTCCTGCTGTTCTCAACCTGCCGGCGACTACGGTAATCGGATTCTTCAAGCGCGGCACAAACTACCAAGTGATAAAAAGAGATGACACGGCTGGCAGAAGCGAATGGGTTAGCGCAAATCTGAGGCCAGTCTGCCCACCTGATTAGCGAGGTGCGCCCCCGTGGCTACGACGGCGGCGTAGTACGGCCAGCACTGACCAGAGGCGAGTCCGCAGAGCGCCAGATTGCCGACCATACCGGTCGAAAAGAGGCTCAGGAAGCGCTTGGTCCGAGGACCAAACTTGAGAGCGGTCGACTTCATCCCAATCACGGCGTCGTCTACCTTGTCCTGAGACAGAGAGCAAAGAAAAGAAACGACTTTCGCTAACGTTCGAATGTTTCGAGGTAACGAGCCTGTGCAGGCACCAATCGAGCAAAAATAAAAGCGCTCTTGTCAGTGCCAAAGATGTACTATACTCCATCTTGCATTAGGTCCGAAATGGCCAATCAAGCGGCGCCAGAAGTGCGTCGTTGAGGCACCAGCCTTTTCTGCGCGTTGGCTAACACAGGCTAGACCGATTGCGCGCAGAAAAAAGTACAGGATTGTGGGGCACTCTCTGTGCGTAGCAAAGGCACAAAGACAACAAGTGCCATGACTACGCACTTTTGGAGCTACTCGATTGGCACCATCGGATCGTCGACTGCGGTCGGACTTTGAGTGGAATGGAGTATATAAAGTAAAGGGAATACTAAACTCGTCTGTAAAACTGCTACACCCTACGAGAATTACCGATAATGAACATTTGGTCCGACACAACTTTGACATATAAGGGCCGGTGCACGATAGCGAGCCACAAGGTGCCGACGTGTGCCACTTGTATAGTAAAGCTAAGAATAAAGCAAAAACAAAGTTGAGGTATGGCTCTAGTAATACTGGTATAGATATTCCGGTATTTCGGGCACAAATACGAAGATACTGACGTCGTGTAAAATTGCTTTCTTAAAAAGCCGAATTTACTACGGAGACGTTCGAGTATGGCGTCTAAAAGTCTGGGAATTTTTTGCAGGAGCGTCAAGTTTCACCCGGGTAAAGAAGAGACGATAAATGGATTGAGCACTATCCGTTTAACCAATATATTTTGTTGCTCTGACAACTAATCTGCTAGCCGGAATACTCGAATTAAGTAATTTACGCAGCAGCTCAGCAAATGCAAAAGAGCTCGAACCTGGAGGCCTCACCACTTGAAGTATGAAATTAAAATCAGCCTGACATTTACAACTGAAAGACGCCGAAGGCTAAAAGATAATCTCAAAGGCTTTCGCAACCTAGAGTCACTGACTTAGCTACACTTGAAAGTAACGCCACTACGGCCATCTTGGAGCTATACATCATTGTTGTCGGTCGTCCAAAGCTTTATCTGAAATTGCAGTAAAAGGTTTTCCATCCTTCAGAAATATTAGGAAAGGCTTCGGCGGAGCAAAACAATATCGCCCGAGTATCTGGGCACTGCACCTAGAGCTTAGAAAGTCCCACTTCCAAATTGTGGCGATCGCCCATTCCGCCAGCTTTGCATTAAGCATCAAAATGGCGGCGCCCTGAAGAAAACGGACAGGTTGCCGGTATTCTAAATGCAGGCTATTAGGTACTTCTATTGCAAACGTGCGAGCAGATTTCGGATTCGCACTTGCCTGATGCGCGTAGATGGTGTCGTAGATGAGCGTCCAGCAGAGAGACGCAGCGTACAGTGGAAGCACGACGGACCAATCACACGCGCCGTGGACAGCCGCCCAGCCCAACAGGGCTCCCCAGTTTATGGTGAGTCCTGCGCAACATGGATGATTTTGTGAGACCTCAAGAAAGTAGGGACTCGCGAGAAATGTCTAGAGCACTTGCATGCCCCTTGAACAGATCCACAAAGCCCAGCAAACTAATTTAAGAGGGAAAATAATTAACTGTGCAATATAAAAACGAGGAATGCTGGCGTCAGTTCACAGGCAGTTTAGTACACAGCCCGTACTGTATGCACGCTAATTGGCGTCGCTCTGTTTACGAACTATGCTGGCAGGTTTTCAGCAGAGCATGCAAACAACCAATCATTGCAATCCGTGAAATCAGCCGAGCAAGCGGTGAATCCCAGAAAAGGCTTGATTTTAAGAATTCTATCTAAGCTGGATTTCAAGCATTTGAAGTGTCATGGTAGACGTGACAGTTTCATGCGAGCACATTATCTCTGTACACGCACAGGTGTGTCGCGTCGTGTCATATGGCAATTAATTGCACAAACATGAAAAGCAATTGCAATGCACAAAGCTTGTTTGCTACGGGTTGAGAAACATGTGGTGTGGCACAGAGCGGAGGGGAGGGGAGGGGGGGCTCTAGAGTGATGTATCCTTTGAACAAACTTCAAGGCATCTCAAAACAAGTTTTGCCTAAGGGGAATTGCAAGTCGAAAAACATAAATTCTTTGAAAAAAAAAAAGTGATTTCGGGGTTTAGTGTGTTTTGCCAAATTGCAATTTTTTAGAAAAAAAAAATCTTTTTTTAATTTTTATGTATTGTAGTTCAATACTGCACACCCCTGCAAAGTTTTATTGGACTATCTTAAATAAATAGAGAGAAATTAAACATTTTTCGGTGAACAGACGATGCAGAAGCATACTTTTTGCAGATGGGAAACTTAAAACATTTTCTGTTTTATAACTGCTGTAGCTCTGCACCGGTACGCCTAGAATGATGATCATACTCTCAATGGAAAGACAATTTCTTCACAGTTTCAGTACATTAAACATCTTTGTTCGAGAGTAAACACTATTTGGGCAAGAACACCATAGAAGTGCAGCTTTCACATAAAAAGAGGCCATGCACATGGACAAGAATCGGAAAGCCCGCCATGACTGAACAGAAAACTGAACCTAAAACCGACATTCACTTATAGAAAGTCATGTGGGTTCGTCTGCTTTGTTTTTCGACGATACCTGCCCCTCCCACAATTTTTGATGCTGGTTCAAGTGTCCGCAAGCATGTCCAATTCCTTGCTCGTTTCACAATCAAAGTCCACATGCCGACAACAAAATGACACTCAAAGAGAGCGTTAGAAGCTTAGACTCGCTCAGGAGAGCTATGCAGGAAATCGGTTGTAAGCAGAAGGAACCACCAATTATGCTCTTTGTGCCTTTTAGTTGCTACCACCACCAGTAAAAACAAATGTAGTGGTGTGGAAATTTCAAATGGGTTTTTCTCAGTTTCAATTTTTTGCAGCAACTTTTGTTTTAGGAAATCTATCATTTCAATGAATCGCCGAATTTATTCTTCGCTGTGGATGTTCTGAACCGAAATTTAATGAGGAATGCAGCTAGATATTAATTATCTTTATTTAAATTAAGTTTTTATTGCCAAAAAGTAGGGCTTTGATGAGGAGAAAATTCTGCATTACGTGGAATGCTTCTCAAATTGATATTTTTGCACAGAAAAAGCACAGGTTACAGGGAAGAAAATAAATAGCCGCACCCCCCATATGTTCTAGTTAAGTATGAAGCTTAGAAATGCTCAACATTTGGCAGAAATTTTATACGATAGATTTCCTTGCTAAGTGAGGCGACTTACATCAATAGCTGTATCCTCCCCCTGTAGTTTAACGGAAAATTGTCCTACGGAGATGAAACGTCATATAGTGCATTTTGGTCAAGGAAATGAATAGTCCCCCTTAAATTTAATCAATATTGAGCAACTGGTTTAAAAGTCGACACTTGCAGGTGGTATCAGATTTTAAATCTTCATCTTTTATGTATAAAAAAAATGGTTGCGAAATTAGTCAGATATGCATTTGAAGACCTCCCGGTGACCCAGAAAGGCATGAATATGAGGCATATTTATGTGCGCGGTTCTTCGAATCGTGATGTCGCCTGTCATTGCGATTATCTTGAAAAGTAGGCCTAGCCATCTTCTTTCCATTGGAATTTCTTGTAGCTTCAATATCTCAGAAAAAATGATAACAAGAAATTATTTTTCGCACCACAAAGGATTGCCGCTACAGATCCATGATTAAATTCGAACACGCTTTTCACTTCTTGTAACTCAATACATTCTCACAGTTTGTGCACAAAAAGATTTTTGAGCTTAATATTGTCCTATCACAATCAAATTTGGCATGCATAAGCTTTAGGATATATAGAGTGTAACTATCTAGGTATAATTAGAATGTCAATTTTTTTTTTTTTTTATATTTATAAAAACATTAAGAAATTTTTGTTAGCCCTTTGAAAATGGTGTTTTTTTTTTTCAATTTTCAGTTGTATTAAAATAAAAGAGCTCTCATACACATTATTTTTGTTATTTATTGCACTCAGTGATTTAAAAGGAGCAAATCAGCCTATTTTACTTGGCTCTATTAAGGGTGTTACATGCCCCACATGTATGCAAGAACTTTTTTTTTGGCATGTACACTGCATCCAGGTCATAAAAGAACAAGGTATATATCAAAACCAACACCTGACTTACGAAACGGAGATCAAGCACCATTAACTGTAAAAATTTCATTCAGTTATTGCAAATAATTTTTAAAAAGTTTTCCCCTGGCGTATGGTTCACTCAATTGAACGGATGGGACACGATGGGGTTTTGCTGGGGAATTTTGCAAAAATTTGTTAATCTGAAGTTTGTTCAAGTAAATCAAGGTATTACTTCCCACAGAAAACAAAACAAAAAAAACAGGACCAGCACATTCTTACCGAGTGTAAGCTGCGGCCAGTAGGTGATCCGCTTCATGGCTGGATACAGGGTGACTAGAATCACTGAGCTGGCTCCCAGGACAATACTAGAAGGTGGGAGGAAAGCAGTCGGAATCTCAGAATTCTTGGAAACATTTATTTTCCTTTACACAAACATACAAATCCCCAAAAAAGCTTTTCTTTGTTAACCCTCAGAGTGCCACGCCCAAGTGTACTCAGGCACACTCCCATACAGGTTTCGGTTTTGATTTGCTCCCTCCCTCTCCTAACTGGGCTGTCGATTTCATTTTCACGTGTAGAGCAATGTTTTGTCTCGTAATAATGCCTGTTGCGGCACACGGAAAGTTTTGGTCAGGGGACGTATGTCTCGGTTTGCGCTTTTATTGTTCCAGAGAGGCGAACCTGTGTCGTTCAGCCTTGTGCTTTACGGCGAAAACTGACATCTAGAAATTAGCGATTAACTAACTTCATTAACAAACTAAATGTTAAAAAGTTTGTTCCAAATAAAAAAATGTTGGTTAAGGCCACTCGAAAAGAGCGAACCCAGGGTTTCAGGCCGAGGTGCCGCTTTGCAGGGCACTGTGTCTCGAAAAGTATAATTTGAGAAACATATCCTAGGTCGGAAGCATGCAGACATCGATTATCTTCGAGCCCATAGATCAGCGCGTCTTCGATAAATAAAAATACTTCATAAAGCGCGCTACACCTTTTCTGCGTGGACTTTGTGTTTGACATACGGGAAAGAAACGCGGCACTCGTAAGAGACTGGATAGGACGTGTAGTACAACACAAAATAAAGTTCCTTGGAATTTTGTTTTATCACAATATTTACGTTTTCAGGCTCGCTTCGAGTGAAGAATGATTCCGGAACAAGCACTTCCTCTGGCACGTCAACCAGGAAAAAAACAAGCGCATAATTTTCCCACTGAAAATTTACCGAAAATCGATTACGCTTTTGAATCGGATGACGGCAATCTATGAAACTTTAGCATCTGGTTCAGACCACTAGCGGCTGCATCTGAGCGGAGACTGAGCGTTCGGCGATGCATAGTTTATTTCTGCAATAAAACATCGAAAAAAAAAAAAAAATCTTGAGCTCTTACGAAGACAAGACACGCTCAAGTAGCTGCGGTAATGTTGCAGGTGGAGTGCACCAAGTAGCAACCCCTGGCTGCTGACCAGCTGATAGCATTAAAAAGAAAGAGCTTTAGCTATGGTATATACACTGCAGAGGTTTACTCAGATACATACCGTATTTTACGGGCCATAATCCGCAGACTTAACATGTTTAAAAGTTGAAAACTGCGGCTCTGCGTACTATCTACGCGTGCGGACTATACAAGGATTTTGTTTTTTAAGATCGTTCATTATGAGGACACGTGACAGATTTTATGAATGAAAGAGTATGTTAATGATGGTCTGTGTGTAATACAAGCGTCCTTGTGAGCTCAGAAAGCAGACATTTGTCAAGGTATGAGAAGATTTTCGAGTCGATTAAGCACCAGGTGCGGACAGTGCACGGTAGGCAAACAATGCAGCGAATGCAGACTATCTAAGCAAAAGTTTTACTTTTTACCTTAAATTTGCCCCTGCGGACTTTACACTGGGTGCGGACAATAGCCCGGAAAGTACGGTAGTTGGTAAACTCTCTTTAGAGGCTGATGGAAGACACACGTCAAGAGCGTCCATCTAAGCTTCGCAAACATACCGTAAAATCCTGAGAGATTCCCCACCCGTGAAAGATAGCCCACCTCTATTTTTGGCTTGATTTGCCATATCTTTTTAAACACAAAAAAGATAGCCCACTCCTAGTAAAGGTAGTGTTTGTATCAACGATGGACTCAGTGTAAATGCGGCTAGTTAGCTATGGCAGGATATAAGCAAACATTTCTAACTGGGAAGTACAGTCATCTTTGCTCAGGACCCTCACCACGACAACAACCTTGGAAGCGACATATGACCTAAAAATAGCATTTTTACAACTTTTCTCGACTGTAGATTGAAAGTTAACCCACTCCATATTTTCACCCGATTTGCTCTTGGTATTAGATGGCTGAACCTCATGGCTGCCACCCCATTGGGCTAAGCAGTTTCTCAACGTGGTGAAGCACAGGTCATCGGAACTGAGGCGTCATCATCAGACCCACTGCTGCTATCCGAGTCCGAAAAACCGATGGAGGATTCGCGACAACTGCCACGCTTGTGAGCAGGCAGCTGTTTCCAAGGAAGCGGAAGCGGCCATGGAAGCGGCCATGGCTTTCAATGACGACGATATGCCGTCGGATTCACACCAGGTTTAAAAATCTCTAGCTGCTGCCACGCAGGAAGAAAAACGCAGTTACCAAAACTGTAGTCTTGAAAGTATGTACAAGTCCGAACAAATAATGACAAAAGTCAATGTACCACCCAAACGCAAGTCTCCCGACTACAGTAGGCTCGCGATAATTCAAACTCCGATATTTCGTACTTCCGGTTAATTCAAACAGATTTGAAAATTTTGGTTGTCCCGCTATGTTTTTAATGTATTTATAAGCCGCTTAATTCGAACGGCGTTTTCGCGTAATTCATACTCTTTTGTTCTCGCGGCCCCGTTGAGTGCGCTTCTTTCCGAGCACCGGTGCACCGCAGAGAAGCAATACCCGCGGAGCTTGCTTTCGCGAGTGCTGCTTCTCTGCAGTGCACCGATGCTCGGAAAGAAGCGCACTCAACGGGGCTCAAGCCGGCGCACATCAGCGGCAAACTGTGTTCACATTATGTGCTTAAAGACTAGCAATGATGACGAAGACGACATCGAGGATGAGGAGCAGCTCACTGGCATCATGCTTTCTGGCCCTGAAGCACATAATATGAACGCCGAGCTGGCGGAATACGCTAGTCTTAACGACGATGTGTGTGTTTGTCGTGATGACTCATTAGAGGACATAGTACAGGAAGTAATGGCAGCACAGTGCAGCAGTGAGAGTGAAGATGACGGACGATGAAGGAAGGGATGACCCACAACCAACTGTCACAGCCGCAGAGGCGTTTAAGCACATCGCTCAGAAGTTTCTGTCTGCAAAGGAAGAGTCCCGTAAAAAGCTACTTGCGTTGGCTGGTATTGAAAATTTTGTTTTGAGATCTCATGTGCTGACTAAACAGTCCACAATCCAGAACTTTCTTGCCGGATGAATAAACTTAACGTCACAGTTCTTTCACCAATGTGTTACGCCTGTATTTGCTTATAATTGGGCCTATGTAGAGGAAACTGGCAAAAATCTGCTTTGTATGTGTAGCTATCCATGTAACAAATCATAATGTTGTCTAATATCATAGTATTTAGATGAATTTCTGATAATTCAAACTAAAATCTGTGACTTCCTGGAGTTTGAATTAATGAAAGTCTACTGTACTAACTTATTATACATATTATTTATTGATACTGTCAGCCCTTGCAGGGCTATTACAGGAGTGGTAATATACTATAAAAAGGAAAACATTTATGCACAGAATTGAAAGGGATCAATACATACAAATATAAGAAATAATAAATTCATGGCTTGTCAAGCGCTATGCACTTTATATTTTTCCCAAAATCACAAACATTTGTTAAAACGATGCTTTTATTAAAAAGCTTGTTCCATTCTCTAATGGCTTTTGGAAAGCAACTTAATTTAAAACAATCATGATTAACGGCTGGTTGCCTAATGCACATACTATGACACCCCACTGACATGAGTATGGCCAACTTTCTGATCTCTGAAAGGCAGAGAAGATGCCTTCCAAGCATAAACAAGTTTCCAAATTTCTCCTCAAGTTTTTCTGGACATTTGGAAGTTCCCTCCTACAGCCACAAAGGCCACCAATTAAAAATGAAGAGAACCATCACTTTCGTGTGCCGAATATCTCGCACAGGTAGCAGCAAATGTCACGCACCTGTACCAGTTGAGCTGGAGTAGGATCAGTGTCGACAGACCAAGCTGACCACCGGTGAACACCAGGGCATCAAACATGGACAGCTGGTCAGCAGCCAAGGGTCGGTACTTAGTTCGCTCCACCTGCAACATTACCGCACTTACTTATATATTTCACCGCGTCTTGTCTTCGCCAGGGCTCAAGATTTTTTTTCTCCATGAGGCAAAACTAGAATCTTTTGCCTAGCCTTAAGGGGGAACACAACCCAGAAAAAAAATTTCTGCAAAAAACTTCGATTTTGAATTACACATTTACATCCACCAACATCTAGAGAGTATTTTAAGAAATTTTCACTAGTTTACACTGCATAGTCAATTTTTTATAAATTATTTTCTGTCCACCGAAGCTAAAGAAAAGGTAGGGTTTGGAGCCCTTAGAACACATTTTTCTCCGTTTCAATTTTCGGTATAAATTCCATTTTAGTCAATCTATCGTTTGATAATGATAATACAGGGAAGGCTCATTCTTCACTTTTCCTGACTGAAATTTAATAAGGAATGCAGCTATGGAACGTTTTTGTCACTTTACAGATGTCTTTTATAAAAAATGTTGACGTTTTGTCAAAGAAACGGCAGACCAAAAAGTTGACCAATTTTGCAGAAAAGAAAATTGATAGAAATAAATGACTTTTTACAAAAAGCTTTCCATAGCCGCACCTCCTAGGCATTCTGCTACATATCTAGCGAATAAAAATCTTGAATATCGTGATAGTTTTCCGACGATAGATTAACTAAACAACGTAGGCATGTTGATGATAAAAGCTGCCCTAATTTCCTTCCCACTTAACCGACAAACATGAAATTTTGTTATGAACCCTCTAGCATGACCACCAGCCTACCTTGCAAATTTGATTAATGTTAAGGGTTCAAAAGTTGACCCTCGTAGGGGGTGTGTCCCCTTAAGTGTTTTTTGCTTGTGTGCCAGCACCTAGGCATCCCCTCAGTCCGATTCCGTTTTTGACCAATGAATCGCGTATGTGAGACTAGAGTTCTTCCACGTGACGGGAAGAAATAATCTCATAGAAACTGTCTCCCCAGACCTATCATGAAATAATGAGCATGTGCCCACAGTTATGCAGGTGCCCAACTTCAGTTTTTTTTTTCAAAATCTCAAAATCTGCCAGGGTAGACCGAGTACATGTAAACCTAGGAACAACCCCACCTTTGTAACAGTTATCATTTTCAATGGGCACTTAGCATTACTTGCTTGTGCATGTTTTCTAAGCTCGATTAAATTCACTTACCCTTTTTGGATTTGTCTTGGAAATGTATGCCACCACTGTCATGCCTTAATGGACGCAATTATGCCAAAGCAAGTTTGCAGTTAATTTATCGCAGCACACAACTCCTCCTTTACATGCAAACCCATACAGCTCACCGTACCAGTTGACTGCACCTGTTCGAGTCGATGTACCAGAGCACCTAGCTAAAAGAAGAACGATCGACAGGAGACTAAACGTCAGGTCAACATATATGTGGCACAGAAATAGCCGACTTTGCATGCCTCCCACGTTGAGGCCGTTAGTCAAAACTCCCGTTTGTTTGAGTTGACTGGCAACTGCATGCCACGGTGACCATAGGCGCAGTGAATGAAAACATAGTCACATCGACCCCAACTGCATTGTGATGAAAAAGATAAGCATGTATGCTTTCGACATTTCGCTTGATGCCAAGCGTCAACAGACCTTGCTGTCAATGTTTCGATCCCACATGTCGTTGATGGTGCAGCCTGCACCCCTCATGAGGAAGGCGCCGGCACCAAACAACGCCAAGAGCTTCAGGTCAGGAAGGCAACCAGCTTGGGATGCCAGGCTGATGCTCCAAGCCCCAGGCCACATCAGCAGCCATGTTCCTGCACCAAAAGCGAAGCCAACGGCCACGGGCGACATGCGTGACCAAAAGCGTCGCTGTGGTCGCAAACACTCACTACGACGTTTTTAGTAGCAAGTAATTCTGTTTTCGTCGACGGAAACAAGAGCAATGCCACACGGCCAACTTTGGCGCTGCTGGTTCGGGCATGCGCTGACATCAAGCTTCCACCGTGCTTTTCAGGCACACCATCAAACCTGTTGTTCGTAAATGATGAGAAGTAGCCAGGATCACAATCTGCAACGTCATGGTAAGGCTAAGTCCCCGTCGTGTCGTCACGGAGGGAACCCTAAGAGGCCGCCACTGACAAGATGAGGACGACTGGGATGCCGTTCTCGTCCTGCCTTCAAAAGCTCGAGATTGAGCTTCGCCCTACCTTCAAAAGAACTTGGGTGTCTCGCGAGCTTCGAGCGTACATGCAGAGAGCACGACAAATGGCAACGAGTGCGTACTGGAAGCGTAGGGAACTTTCCAGTACGCACTCATACTGGAAACACGTAGGGTGCACTATAGCTGGTGCTGGGAAAGACAGTGAGTGCCGTTTTCGAATCCAGCAGCTGGCAAGTACGGCTCAACTGCACGATCATCCAAGTGGGTCGTCGTCTGATGCTGGATAACATGCGCTATTTTACTCCGCACTCTTAACCACTCATCACGCATTGATCAATACAGATCATACTCTTTATCTCCTTACGATGTACCGCACAGGATGCTAGAAGCCAGCTAAAAAAGTCAGTGAGTGATGCATTTTCAAATTTAACAGCTGGCATCTACGACTCAATTGCATGTTCATCCCAATGAGTGGGCAAGGCGACAGCAAACCGGACATGTCGCATGAATGGTTTTTCCCTTGTACGCAGTTTTGGCTGCTGCTACTGCTGTTGCACCACAGTTTATCGGCAACGGAGGACACGTGCGGACACGATCAAGTAGGGACCATCAGCCAACAGGACTATCCGGCAACTGAAGTGCTCGTCACCTAGATTAAGGCATCACCTCGTCACTATGTGCAGAATGACAAGGACTGCAGTCACGTGTTTGATTGGCAAATCAAAATCCTGGGAGGCACTTCCGCGTCGGTTTTTGGGGATATAAAAGTGCAGCTGCACAGATCACCGATCAGATGGCAAGGCAACAGCAAACCTGACATGTCGCATAAATGTTTGTTTCCTTGTACGCAGGTATGTGGCAAATTCAATGATTACTCGTACTGCTCAGATGAACGCTGTCTATTGCTGTTGCCTTGCCCAAGGTGTGTGAAACTGCTCTTTGTTGCAATTGGTGATTGTCAGGAGAGCATTCGTGCTTTTAAGGGGAGGACATGTTGAAGAAAATTCTGGCCCAGGTACAGATACAATGCGGGAAATACTGGAAAGCCAGAAAGAGATGGCGGCTAACATACCGACATTGGTACAGGACTTAGACAGGGTTGCCCATTGTTTCCCCTGCTCTTTATGATATACCTCAGTGAGATGTAGAAAAGATTAGGGCAGTGCAACCTAGGTTTTGACCTGACTTACATGGAGGAAGGACATAAAGTAAATCAAGTATTGCCAGGGTTAATGTATGCAGAGATCATAGTACTTGTATCAGAAGGTCGTGAGACAATACAGGAACTGATTAGAATTTGCAGCAGGGAAGGGGACAGTTTAGGCCTACACTTCAGTAGGGACAAGTCAGGTATAATAGTTTTCAACGACGAGAAGGGGGAACCCTCGGGGATACATGTCACAGTGATAGAACATATAGAAAAGGACAAATATCTGGGAGTATGGTTAGGTGAGGGAAAAAAGTATCTAATAGTACATGTAGATATTGTAATAAAGGAGGGAAAATGAGATTCAGCTATTATGAAACACAGGCCACCCTTAAGCTATAATAGATATGAAGTCGTTAGGGGTGTATGGAAGGGAGTCATGGTGCCAGGACTGTCATCTGAGAATGCAGTACTGTGTATGAGATCAGAAATCAAGGCAGGTTTAGAGATACAGCAAAGGAGTGTGGGTAGGTTGGCATTGGGGGCACATGGGAATACACCAAATGAAGGAGTACAGGGGGATATGTTCACACTAACTGAAGAGCGTGTTGGTAACAATGACTGGCAACAGAAAGAATGAAACAAACCCTGGACAAGACAAGGGACGAGGGAAGAAATGTTTGTCGTCCCTTGTCCGGTGTTTGTTTTATTCTTTCTGTTGCCAGTCAGGGGGATATGGGTAGGGCATCTTTCGAGAGTAGAGAAGCGATCAGTAAAGTAAAATTTGAACAAAGACTAGCTGAAATTGAGGATACACAGTGGGCAGGGATAGTGTACAAGTATCTATATATGAAAAGTCTAAACACTAAGTGGACAAACCGAACCTGCAAGCTGAGATCTAAATACATTCAACAAGATGGGGCTGATCAGAGCATTTCAGTAGAAAAGGGAGTAAAGGAAACTGGGAGGAAATTGTGAGAAGAGAGAATGCAGGGGAAATCAGCTTTAACAATATACAGGGCACAAAAACAAGGAATAAAGAAGGAACGTTCGTATGATAATTCATCAGGGAGCTCATTGCTGTTTGAAGCTAGAACGGGGGTGCTAAGAACGAAAACGTATAGGGCTAAATTCCAGTAAATAGTCACCCTATGCGACATATGCATGTAATTTTAAGGTGCACAGGGCTTCATCCCACCCTCTTGGGGTAGATGACTATGGATTTAGAGGAGGCACTGGGATTTGCAGACATGGATGGACAAATGGATATGGAAAGAGTTGCGGTAACTAAGAGGAAACTGGAATATTAGTGAAAAGATCTGGGGAGGGGTAAAAATACAGATAAAAATAAGCAATGGAAACACTTTAAAAAAAAGGGAGGGTTGTGTTAAGAAAAACAATTTATACAAATAAAAAAAAAATAAGGGGTAACGAAATGTTGGGCTAGGTGGCGCAAGCTGCCACCCGTTACGAAGGGTATAGCCATTACCATCCATCCATCCATCCATCAAAAAAGCTTTGAAAAAAAATGAGAGGCTATTGAAGTGGCTACTTCTAAGATAAAAGATCTCAGTAAGGAAATGACACACAAGGAAAACGAGTGCATTTGGAAGCAACCATAGTAAAGCTGAATCTGACACAGAAACGGAGCAACACTTTGTGGAAAAAGTGGTGGAAGCAGGGCTGCCAACTCGAGGGAAATTTCCCAGATTAAGATAATATTCAGGTCTATGAGGGAGAGTGCGAAACTCTCCCACAGAGACCTGTACGATCTGCGCAATGAGCTGGGGAAGGCTGAAACCTTACACCATTTTTACCCTGCAGCTGCCTTCGCAGCTGTTAAAACAGCCCATGTACGTAATTGCGTGTTAAATTAGAGCAATCCATCTTTCATGCGGAAGCGATAAACTGCGAGCCAGAATGTGGAGGAGGCAAAACACTTGCTCTGCTATGTAACCAACCACCTGATTAAAAAACTTTCAGCCTTTTTACTCTGGTGAAGAAGGAAGAGCAGCGGAGCTGTACTATGTGCCGCCAACTATGAGCAACAACGAAAAGCAGACAACCGGCAAGCCGGTTGTCTGGTTGCTGCCGTCACTCATGGACGGCGGTAGCTGTTCAGAGTTCTGTGTCATCAGGCCATTTGAGGGCGGACACGATCCTGGGGAAACTGGCCCTTAACAGTTTCGCTGTAAAATGAGTGTTGAAGTTAAATCTGTCAAAAGAATTCACCGTTTCGGAAGGGTGGTTAGGGGTAAACCGAGACCAATAATCTTGCACTTTAGAAACTACAATGAAAAACAAAATGTTCTTAGAAATGCTAAAAAATTAAAAGGAACACGCATATTTATTAACGAGGACTTTTCGAAAAATTCCAGAATGATAAGAAAGATGCTGTGGGAGAGTGCGAAAGAAAACAGGAAAAGGGGAGAGAAGGTATACTTATCGTATGATAAACTGAAGATTAATGGAGTTGAACTTTACTCAGCCAGTGAAATACCTTCACACGAGCATGGTTATTGATGGGCACCTGGTTTACCAGAGGCAAAAAATGTCCTATTTATTAACCTTAATGTGAGAAATATTGCAAATAAAACACTCGAGCTAGAACATATTTTAATAGAGCATGACCCCAACCTGGTTAGACTTGTCTGTGACAGATGATACAATAGTACCTCCCGATTACGTGCTCTTTCGAAAGGGCAGGGAAAGTAGAGGAGGAGGTGGTTGCTCTAGTAGTCAAATCTTGCTTAAATTCTTCCTAAATCGAAAGAGCCCCAGGCATAGAAAATGTATGGTGTAGCATCAAAATAGAAAAAAGTGAGTTAGTTGTAGGAGTACTGTATCGCCCCCCGCAAATGCCTCGTGGATATTTGCAAGAACTAAGTGAGTTCCCCTTTAAACTGAAAGTAAGTTCCAAGAAGGTTGTTTTAATGGGTGATTTCAGTCTCGGTGAAATTGACTGGGTAACGTTTGGATCTGGGGACCACGAAGTATCATCTGCTGAGGAACTTTTAGCTATAGCCTTCCCACATAATTTAACTCAAATTGTTAAGGGACATATCAGAAAACAAGGGCAATCAGAAACTCTTTTGGATTTAATATTTATAAATGAGAACCTTATAAACTGGGCATATGATTGCAAGACTGAACTGGGAATTTAGGACAACAGCACAGTACATTTTGCGTTGTCTTTAAAGGCTAAGCTCAGGAGAACTGAAATTACTTTGTATAAAAACTTTGAAGAGCCAATGACCAGTCAGTTATTGATCAATTTAGCCTGAGCTATGACAACTTCGAGCACCCAGCTGGCAACCCGTCGATAGAAGTGGATGACCTATGCCTATATTTTAAGGGAATGGCACTTAAATGCACTCAGAAGTTTGTCCTAGTGGAAATAAGGAAGAAAAACTTGAACAGTCGTTGGATTATAAGAGACATAATCCACCACAAAAGACGATTATCAAGGTGTAGAGCAGTGGTTCTCACTCATCAATGTTTTGCGGACCCCCTGTGGATCGGTGGAAATGATGGAGGGTACCCCATTTGTGGCGAGAGCAGAGGAAAGGTATGGGTTAAATATAATAATGATTTAATAAATAGATATAACTAAGGGCTAGTGTGAAGTAGACCCCTCTTACTGACATACACGCGACTAGCTTTAAAACTGAAACATTTCTTCTCGACTTGAAAGAAGACAACTTTTATTGCCGGGCTTGACTGATGAGGCAGGGCTTTGCAGACCCCTAGAATGCCTTCGCGAATCCGAAAGGCTCCGCGGACCCCCATTTGAGAACCACTATTGTAGAGCAGGAGCCCGCAAAAGGCATGAGTTTCAGCAGGGGTTTTGGCAGAGGTTTTAGCGACAATTGAAACCAAGTAAAAAAGTAGTTACCAAAGTGATAGTAAAAGAGGTGGTTGAGGACAAGACTGAAATTGCAAATCGTTTTAACCAATATTTTTTCCGTGTTTTTTCCGCTGATAATAACATTTTACCAACATTTTGTCTGTTTGAGAATGTGCCCCCAATCGAAGACGTGAAGGTCTCAGAGGAGGAAAGTTTTTCACAGCTATTTTTTATTGATCCAAAGAAAGCCGCCGGACCAGATGACATATGATTCATAATCAATTCTTGAGGCATTATAGTGGGTGGTGTTCAAAATATGTTACTGTCATTTTTATTAAATCGCTTCCAGATGGGTTCATTCCCAATGACTGGAGACTGGCCAAAATAATACCTATTCTTAAGACTGGAAATGCTAGTAAGGTCACTAATTATAGATTCATATCATTAATATATACTTGTAAAATACTTGAGCATGTTGTTTCGAAGCATATAAGGATGTTTTTAGATACCTACTCTTTACTTGATGAAAAACAGCATGGATTTCGAAAAGGCCCGTCTACCACAACCCAATTAATAAATTCACAATTTTTCTTTGACTCTTGACAAAAGAGAACAAATTGATGTAATTTTCTCAGACTTTCAAAAAGCTTTTGATAAGGTAAACCATAATAAATTACTTTTAAAGCTTAGGCATTTACTAAAAAATTCAAAACCTCCGCAATCAATAGAAATGTTTTTGTTTTGTAGAAGGCGATTTGTGAGTATGGGTGGACACATTTCCATGCCTTGGGAGTCCCTCAGAGTTCTTTACTTGGGCCCCTGTTGTTTTTGGGTTTTTACCAACGACAATCTTTGCAATATTAAGTAAAGGTACGACTTTTTGCTGATGACTGTATATTGTACACCTATTTAAACAATGATTCCGACCATGTTGAACTAAAGAAATGTTTGCGGAAATTTAGCAAAAGGTGTGAGATCCGGCAAATGTCTTCAAATACTGCAAAAACAGCTTGCATGTAAATTTCACGTAGGAAAGGTCCTTCAGTGTATAACTACTACTTGAAGGGTGAACCACTGTCTAGGATAGATGAATTGAGGTATTTAGGAGCAACAATAACCAGTGATTTAGGTTGGAACAAACATGTCAATAATATAATCAAGAAAGCCACAGCTATGCACTGGTCAATAAGATAATTAAAAATGGCAACCACTGAAACTAGACACTTGCTTATAAAATGCTAATAAGGCCTAGATTGGAGTATGCTAGTGAAGTTTGGGATTCGCACACAAAAGATTTAATACTGAAATTTAAAAAAATTCAAAGAATGGCACTAGGTTTCATTTTTTCGAAGTGCAGGAGACAGGATTCATTGACGGAGCTGTATTCTGTATTCTAAGGCAAGTATCATCTTATTAGAAGAGAGGGGAAAAATATAGGCATTTAAAAATGCTTTTTGTGATTTTAGATGGAACACTGCAGATTGATGAACACAGATTAGTCAAACCCGATCTATCTGCAATCACATGTAATGAGCATAATAGGACAATCGCAGAGTACGGATTCAATAAAAGAATGTTTCAAGAATTCGTATTTCCTTTGGACGATAACGGAGTGGAATAAACTGCCTGAAAGTGTTGCTAAATCTAAACCAGTTTTGGATTTTGTAAATTAAGTGTCTCCCAAGTAACCAATAGACCTCATGTCATTATTTTTGTTGTACTTTAGGGCTATTTGTTATGAGTATTAGGTGTCGTATAGTTTTTTTTGTACTCACTCTTATCACAGTCCCCATTGGGGGACTGATAGTATAACGAAATTAAATAAATAAATAAATAAATCGGGTCGTGGTGTGATGCTGGACAACACACACTTTTTTTACTCCGTCTTTTTAACCATTCACCACGCGCATCGTACTCACCGATGGGTTTGTCTGCCCGCATGAGCCGCAGGTAAGGCTGCAAGGTGGTCGGTGCCAAGTGCACCAACCTCTCCGGCAAAGTCCGGCGGTGGGAGACTGCGTTGCTGCGCGCGCCGTACGCTGCATCCCTTCGCGTGGAAGACGACTTGAACCTGCCGACGCAGCTGTGATTCGACGTCTTTGCCGACCATCTCTCGCTGACCCTGTCGCCCACTGAACACACGACGAACAGTCTGCAAGCGGACATCCCCATGTCCGTGGCGCTGCACCACTTCAAGCTGGGCAGTGCCATACCGCGTCCAGCGATACAGCACACCGGTTTCCCCAGCATAAACAACATGATCACAGTCGTCGACTCGATTTCTCTGTTCTAGCGTTTCTTTCTAAGTAGAAACAACGCAGTCCTTCGCTAGCCTCATTCTGGGGCTGGAAGACTGGCAGAGTTGGCTGCAACACGCACGTGTTTGGTTTTCACTGCCCTCGCGACAGCGTCGACGCTGGTGTCGTCGGAGCGAATAGGCGGCGACCGTCAACATGCCTTTAGTGTGGCGGTCACGAGCGGAACAGTTTCCGCTCTCGCCGAAGAAAAAAGAAGGTTCCGCTTGCGGTCACATTGTGTGCTGCCGGGGAGGTGTTCTCGAACGTGCGTTGGTCCGTCGACGAGAGTTTCCGCCGCGTCGTACGTGAAACCAGACGTCCTTGATTGTCCTACAGCTTATCCTCGTAGAGAGTGTAAATATGCGCGAAAAAAAAGTACTGCGCGTGCGCTCGTCTTTTTTAGAACGCGATAACCAACGGAGTCTTGAGCAACGATCACGGCAGCGGATGGTAGCGTCGACGGTGGAGGCCAGTCAAGTGATGAGCACTGCGATTTCAGCGTTTCAGTCATCCCAGCTGCACGCGCCACACGCGCTCCCGCGAATGCGAAAATGCGCTGCTTACTGGAGGCTGCAGCTGGCTGCAGCTTTGGATTGGATTCGATCGTTTTTTATGTTGAATGACCGTAGATGCTCCGTAGATGTTGCCAAAGATAAATTAATCGAATCAGGCGGCGGCTTGCGCCGTCTAGCGGGACTGCCACCTTGCTAATAGTCAAGTTGCGGTTTCCATAACGTTGCAGAGGCTGGCCGCAGCGTGCTGAAAACAAGTTTTCTACTCGTTCGTCGTCATTCGCCGAAGAAATTTTTTTAAGACCCTGTGTAAGCGTTGAGTGTTGCCGTTGAGAATACGTGGAGGTTTTTACGAAAGCGCAGTGCCACAGAAAAAAGGCAGAACTCGTCGAAAGCAAGTTTTGCCGGTCTCGCGGCGTCATCAAAGCTTCCTTGGTTGATTAAATTAGGTTAGGTTAGGTTACACAGTTAAATATCCGTGTATAATGGGGGAACGCATAAATGTTGTTGTTGTCGTCGTCGGCATTTATGGACCGCGTGTTTATTTTACTCAGGTGTGCCTTTCTTTCCAGGTCACCGTTACCCCCTGGATAACGGCGAACCAGTGGATGAGGACGACCTAATTGCCCGGAAGCACGACAAGCGGTACTCGGAGGCATCGTCTGACCAAGACATTTTTGCTACCGGCAAGGACGCCGTACACTACTGTGTTGATGACTGGGCTTTGTCAGTGCATCCATTTTCAAAATACTCAATTTTAAGTCGTGTATTATACAAGGCTTCGTCACAGGCTCCCGCATGGCAAAAGCCTGGTCCGTTTCATCGGGTGGTTTTCTCAAATTTAAATGATCAACATTTTCGTCGGCCGTTTGGCATGTCTATGCCGTTTCGGTGTCTTCCAGTTTTTGTTTAAATTCCATTTCCTACCTTTCTTTTGTTCGTTCAACATTTTTTTTCTCCAGCACGATTGATTAAATTATCAATGAGCAGCAGGCACGTTCTTTCCCTAGGCGTGGAAACTGGCAGTTTTGTGACTCCCCAAGGTCAGGGGGGAGTATTTTATTTCATGTAAATGATCAGTCAACATGCCCCACCTCCCCCCTCCTTTCCCACCCTAAAAAAATGCCGTTCAGTTTTAAGTTCTCTTTGTGATATATTTTAGTTTTTCAGCGCCAAAACTAAGGTAATTAAGCTACATATTTCACTGAGTACCGCTACACTGTGTGAAAGGAGATTTTAAATTTCCGCAAATCGTAATCGATGCAAATTATGATGCGGGGAACGTATATGTAATATGTATGAGGCACCTGGAGTATAATTACAGCGATCGCGCTAACTAATAATACCAAATGTTGGATGTCTAACTGAAATGAGATTTTTTTATTTTTTTTTTTATTTAGAACATATTGAACTCAATATGCAGTTCAAAAGGAAGCTGACCAAGTGGAGCCGGTGGAGCCATCTCCAAAAACATTGACGCCAAGCAAGGAGGTGTACGTGTATTGCGTGTATTGGACACGACCAGCCGTACTGGCCTTAATCGAACGCTGTGCCAAGATGAAGAAAAAAATAAAAAAGTAACCCTGTCTCCAGGACGTTCTGGAGAGGGTAATACGATACATTTTCAGCTATTCTGTATTATCGCTGTGAAATGAAGGAAATTCATGCTTGTGCCACAACTCTGTAATGGCAACTTCCTCTTTTTATTTTTTTGTAGCACGCTTTTTTATTTTATTTATGTTTTTAACGAAGAGAAGGGAGGTATGTCTTTGCTTACCTGGGACTAGACACCTACAGCGCGTAACGTTTCACACGAGCATGTCCGAAGATGAGAGATGTTCACAAAAGTCCAAATGTTTGCCACTCATAGGGAACTCGCCGGTTTGGTGGGCTTGCTTTCAATATTAAAATGCAGAATATCGATTTTGAGTACTATTTCGGGGAGCGTTCATTTCGACAATCTGGTCACAAGAAACTAAATACACTAAAATATTTGTGGTGATTTATTTCAGGGTGGCCGATACCCTCAATGAAATGGGGTACCCTGTCACTGAGGACCAGTATTACAATAAATTGAAAATTTTGAAAAGAACGTATAAAGGTGTTAAGGGCCACAACGCCAAGAGCGGCAACGACAGGTACGTATTTCAAGTCTGCATTTTTATATTTCTTAAAATAGATTTTGATGAAATCTTGCAGCACTGCATTAATCTCGCATGAAGGATTGGCCATTCCTCGAGGAAATGGATGAAATCTTCGGGCGAAGGCCGGAGGTAATCCCTCTGGCTGTTGCAAGCACCTCAGCTGGTCTGAGCGTCAGGGAAACCGGAGAGGAGCCGAAGGCGGAGTGCAGCCGAGGATGCAAGAAAAAGTCCAAACTCTCGGAGGCACAAGAATTGCTTTCCAAAAAATAGGCCTTAGAAGAAAGGAAAGTCAAGGTACTCGAGGACTTTAATTGTTTTTTAAAGATTTTCTAGAACTCAAGAAAGCAGAGAAAGCCAAAGCGGAAGAAGAGCCATGATGTTTGAAACTTCGTAATCTTGAATTTAACTGCAGATGAGTGCACCTATACACGTTTGCAAGTCCGGCTTCAGGGCGCTGCCATCTTGCCTGTCTGGGGTGCGCTTGGACCAGTCATAATTCGATTACGAAGCCTTGCTAAGGCGTCGTAATCGGATTATGGCCGCTCCCGAGAGCGCACCCCACTGAGGAAGATGGCGGCGCCCTGAGACCGGACTTGCAAACGTGTATACAATGTTATTTATTTTGTGTGAGTGTGTGAAGTATAGGTCACAATGGTTAACATGTTCGCGTTACCACGGGATCACAAAGAAATGTGAAAGTTCCAACTAGTTTTTAATTATTAGCAATAAATTGATGAATATGCAAGGAATAAAAAAATAGGCTGGTCTCCTATTCTTGTGAATAAACATGAACTATGTACACGTATACCGGGGCTTCACAGGCTGTGCATGATAAAGTCTTTGCCTTGCCCCTGGCCTTTTCGCGACTCGCTGGAGTCGCTGCCCGTTCCATCACCTGCGGGTCCGTCGTCCTCGGCATGTAGGGGACCGTCGTAGACGTCCCGCCACTCCATGCATGCACGCGTTGTGCATGACGCAGGCTGCCACAGTCGCCGTGACGATGCGTTCTGGGCGGCGGACTTCAACGTACTTGAGACGTCGGAACCGCCCCTTGAGAATCCCAAAGGCCCGCTCTATGGCCACTCGCGTTGTTGAGTGGTTTGTGTTATACTCTCTGTGCTGCTCAGTCAGTCAGCCGTTGTTCCTGTATGGGACAAGGAGACTTTGCCGCAGCGGGTACGCGCCATCTCTGAGCAGGTGACTGTCGAAGGGGAACTTGTCCGCAGTCAAGATCGTCGCTGGCTCGGACCGCCTGTACATGCGTGCGTCGTGCACGGACCCGGCATCTCCTGCGCTGCAGTGAAGGAACCTCGCCTCGTGGTCGCAGATAGCTTGAAGGAGCACCGATGGCAACCCATGTCGGTTGATGTATACGACTGGGCAGCCTTGCCCTGAAGCCCCCTGCAAACGATGTGACTTCCGTCGATTGCTCCCCTTCAATTGTGAGCTCTGTCTGTGTGTAGGCGTTGTAAAGAGAGCTCTTCGGTGTGAACGCTCTTACCTTCACAGTGTGCAAACTCTTCGAATGGTTATTCAACAGGCGGCGCTGCGAGACGTGATCCTTCGGCGTTGCTTCAACTCGCAGTGTAATGCTGTGGTTCTCAAAATGGGCAATTATACTCATTTTCATACATAGCGTGCAAAGCTGTCAAAGGTACTGAAGTGGTGCTCATGAAAATACAGAAAAAAAATGTGTTCCTGCGCGCGTTTCGTGGACGAGTGGTAGGGCTGCTCTGGCGATGCCGACGTCTCGGCGGCAGTGGTTCGAACCATAGAGTTATTATAATGGTTCGAACCCACTAGACGCACAGTTTTTTTTGTTTTTAATTCTTCTTTTTTAGACATATTTTTTGTGCAAGATTGTGCGCATTCCCGAACTGCATATTTCAATTCCTCCTTTCTTCTTGCTTTTTATTTATAAGTCGCCGAGAGGCCACATTTCTACCATCTGCTCTGCCTCTTTGCAAGTGTTATTTGCCTCCAGCACCGAGTTATATTTTTCTTTCGTGCAGCGTGGAATGAGGAATCTTACTAATAGCAGCCTTGCCCCAAAATTTATAATAGGACGTTAATTGACAATAGTTGTGGCCTGAACAGTTTATTTTGAAATAGCTGTCAAGGGTAGGAATCCCCCTCTCGGGGTACTTGCGATGCACCTTCAGGCGAATTGCATTGTGTGTGAATTCGGCATGCTTGACAGTCCCCGTGCTCGAAACTTCTACATGGCGAGGTCTTCACTTCGGGGACGCCACCTTGCCAGATAGACATTGCGCCTTGTACTTCGCGACAGTACGGGATTTCACGACCGACTTCTCCGGGAAACGCGTTCTTGTACTCGCGTACACGTTGGCGATCACCTGCTTGCACTCTTTCAAGGTCTGCGCACAACGAATCTTCAAAAATATTCGAGAAGGAGAGGTACTTGAGCTTGTTGCGTAAGGCGCCATCTACTCAAAACCAGGCAGTGCCACACAACCCGGAAACCCGCAGCGGTTGCCGCACGGACGAAAACAAAAACAATTTAAAGTAGTTTACATTATCTTTTCCTTTTTATTAAAAAAAAAAAAAAAAAAAAGAATTGTGCTCCGTCGAAATCATAACACCACTATCAGTTACTAGCTCCAAGGAAGCACATTTTTCGACTTTTTTTATAAGTGTTTCTGCAGGGGACGCACTATTTTATGGGGTGAACAGACAGAGTCGGCGATGCAAACCGGTGCGCTATAGCTTTGACTGCGTTGCATGCTACGTATGAAACGGAGTATAGTCTTGAATAAGCTGCTGCACCTTCACTCACTCCCAGAGACGCACCCCACGACTGTTCTAGAAATATGTAAAATGCAGACGCAGGATTCGTTTTCGAATAATATGCACGACGCGAAACTTGTTGAATCTTGCATAAAACGAATTCTCAAAACGAGCACTCGCAGGTGTAGCTATGTGGAAAGACGCCCGCTTTAT